AGGAGATCTTGATCAGATAGTTGTTTTTCCTGTTCATAGCGATCCACCTGATTTGACCGTCTCAAAGTGCTCTTCACTTCCTTCCATCCTTGAAGCGAGCCGTTGAAGCAAGGCTTCGATTCAACTTTTTGGCAATTACAAAACCTTTGGCCCTAGAAAACCGCATTCTTTACCTCCCCTCTCCACTAACATTCCTGCCTTGGATCGCCTACCTGTCTGTTACTCGGTGTACTCCAACAAGCGTATCACTTCAACTCCTCGCCTTCTACACTGGAATCACCAGCATCTCGTTTCCACCTATGGAAGTCTCCTCCGTCGAAAACGATCGGCAAGTGTAGTTACTACCACTTTCTTGCAAAGGGAGGGTCCTCCGACTGCTGAGATTGATCGACAAGTCGCTTGCTCTACTTCTCTCGGCCATGGATTCAGGATCTGTCTGGGAGACTTGTTGGAGGAAGGGGATTCGGTTCCGGGTTTGCATCAAACAGCGAGCGGTCGACGATAGCCTCGAGAACACTCGTCAGCTGTCTCATGAGATCGACGCTGGCCTACGGGGAGTAGGTTCAACATCTAAGAGCCCTGCTATGTTCCCAAACATGGGTGCGCGCGACCATCGACGGTGGCAGAGCGAGTTGCGTAAGTTTATTATTTTATTTTTTATTTTTTATTTCTTATTTTTTTGAATCATTAGGATTATCTCTACCTATCCACCAGAGGAACTTCAGAAAACGTACAGAACAGCTCTGTTATGGCATTAAGTATTAGTCTGATCCGAATATCAGGGGACCTGTGGACCTCTCACGTGCAGATGTCGATGATTTACTCCAAAACAAGCCATGACAAATACCAAGCAGTTAGTCTTTCCTACCATCCACACCACTCGTCCTTTCTCACAAAAAAGGCAGAAAACTGGCGGAAACTCTTCGTTGGGCTATTTCATCACTGAAAGAAACCGAACCGCTTCGAGCTAAGGAAGCTATACTCCAATCGAGCGAGGAGTGAGCTACGAGGCTAGTTTCTCGTTGGCAATACAAAGATCCTGATGAACCGTACTCGAGGGTCAAGATGTCCTAGGCAGCCCATGAAGCCATCTTGCGGAAATCAGGTGGTCCATAGTAGAGTGGCGCGGAAGGGAGCCCGTGCTGCGACTTCCCCCAGACATTGTGAATTCTCATCCCTAACATTGCATATCGCCCAGTTTGAACTGACATTTTGGAACATGCAGTGGTGCTTCGTTTCTCGATGCTTTGCTGGGTGACGGTTTAGACTTTCTCCAAACGAAGGCTCCTGGATCCAAGAAGGATCTTCTGCTGAAAGTAGAATAAGCTTGGAAGGACTCTGTATCTGAGTTAACCAGCCACATCTTTTTCGTCCGCGCCTGTTCTCCCACCATATCTGAAGGAGGCCGCATTGATCCATCAGAATATGCTTGCTGAGCTCAGCAGCAAGCTCCAGAATGAGATCAGCGCCTTATCTGGAGCGGGAAGGCAAAGTACACCACCTGTATGGGAAGCGCGGTGGTGTGCTCCGTAGCTGGTCACTGCTGGAGAGGGAGACGACCTCATCATTCCCAAAATTTTGTCGGCGATGTCGACAACGATGAGCATGACGCTGCCAAAGTGCAGTCGATGGAGAGATCTGACAGTGATACAGAATCCGACAGTTCCTTGAGTGACGATGATGAGATACGTGAGAACATAAAAACGGGAAGGTAACCAGGGCCTAGCGGGTCCTAAATGGTGGTGTACAGTTGCTTTTGAGCTTATGTACACGCGAGCGCGAATGTTTATAGCTCTCGGAATTGCCTCTAACTGTTATGGGTTGCTTTTCTCAGTCTTCCGCCTTTTTTCGGGGTTACCTCGAGGATTATGGGGCATTATCGAAGGAAAAGGAAAATACTCCATCAATGATATCACTGGGCTAACAGGTATGTTCGTAAGAACTTTTCATGCTGAAATAGGTCACCTCCTAAATGGAACCTCACTAAGTTTTAATATAGTCGTCAAATGGCTGTTCAACGACCAGTATATATACCGAACTGAACTGCCGAAGCATTGTTCCAAACGAGCATGAGCTGAACATGAGCTCCATGCTCGGACGGGGTAAGAACTCAGAACGCGAGGATGAATACCCAACTGGCGCTAACGCAAGTGACAGCAACATTGGTCCTTTTGTGGAACGCTGCTAAAGGAGGAAGATTGCTCAGGCACGAAGCGCACAGGGAGTTCACATGAGTTCTAATGTGTTGGAGTTTAAGCTGCAATTGGCTGCGAATTCTAGAAGTCAAGGACGACGGTTGTCCTGAGAGCTTGTTCCTGAAGATAAATGGATGGGTGTCAGAGAAGCAAGCCTGAATATTACAACTGGTTGTTGATGGTGTGCACGATGAGGAGATGAGGACGTATGCCTCAGGTGGAACCATGATGGGAAAGGAGATGGTGGAGAGTATTCGAAACAGGACAGGGGATCACGGGACAAGCTTGTATAGCAGGCCCCCAGCTCTGAGGAAAGGAGGTTTATCAGGTATCCCTCGAAGGTCAGCTATCATCAGATGCCTGCTACAACCTGTTTTCAGGTTGTGGCCAAGAGGCAAAGCTGAGGACACAAGTGATATCATCTGATACCTATTGTGGTCGAACCGGCTCCAATGCACTGGCCATGCATATGTGGTAGGCGCCCCGGTTCAAATCGTGGCAGGGGGAGTAAAGGCCCCGCGCACTCGGGCTTTTCGCAGAGTGTTATGGATGCGCAGAGTACAGAACTCCAATAGCTTCATTCAAGGGTTTCCCCCGCGGACTGAGTTGTAATCCAAAGCTCACTGGGCAACGGAGTCATAAACACTGCCTCACTTTGGGTTTCCCTCGAGGAGTTAAATGGACTCCAAGCTCAAATGATCCAGAACAAGAAGGTTTTCGTAGATTCAACCCGCAAGAGATGAAGTCAACTCTTGTAGTTAAGACTAAGAGATACTCTTTACGATGGTCGCGATGGAAGCTGTATATTATTATTGCTCATGGAGATAAGTTGTTGGTGAGATAGAGAGCATTATATACTTTGATCTCATATCTGTTGGAACAATTGCATATTGTCCTGGAGCCCTGGAGCAAGGAACAACAAAAGCTCGAGAGCTCTCCAGGTAGTAAGCCAGTTGAAGCCATAATGGACGCGACTGCTTGAGAGGCCTCTCCGGGCAGCACCTCCCACGAGATTTTTGTCCACATCCACAGCTTTGATCAGAAAGGACTTATTACCGATTGACCCCTCACTCATATTTAAAGAGAAATAGGTCATCCGTTTTATCATAAACTGCAACAATCAATCACTCAGCCTCGGAGATGCCTAAAACTCAAGGTGCAGCATGAACATCCCAATCCGAAACCCTGGCCTGGACACCTCCGACCCATTTACACGACCTGCATCTCCTCTTCCTCTTGGCACCAAAGCATCCCATGAAGACCAAATAGCACATTAATGGACAAAAATGGGGGAGAGAATACCTGCCTAAGAACGTAACCAGAGGAACACAGGAAACAGGGAAACTTTCAGGCCCTCCGGTAGTACTCACTAGGCCACGCACATCGGACTCGAAGACTCCGAAGCGAGATATGTCCCTGAAAGGTCTGCTTACAAGCGGGAGATTGAAAACCTGATTCTGTTTCAACTCCTCGATTTAGTTATTCCTGTGTCCCGTCTCTTAAATATATCCAATTTCACCCCGGGGCAAGAGCCGATCGAGGTGCATCCCCTCCTTCCCTCATCACCCCTCGCTCCTTCCTTTTCCTATCTCATCACTACCACAACTACACATCCACATCGCACCTTCCTCATTCCTTTCTAATCTCAACCGCACTCCTAATACCACTCAGTTATTCTTTCCTGGTCCGTCTCTCATCCCATGAGAAGTGGATACCCCGAACACTCCACTTCCCTCCGTGCCAAAGCTCGGCGCATGTTGCCATCTCCGTCTTGGCGAACGGCGACGATTGGTGCCTTGGGTGGAGTTATGCGACGCTCTTGGCACCCCGCGTCCCGTTCTCTCGGGACGCAATGTGGGGCTCGTGCAGCAAAGGATACTATGTAGAAGGGGACAATAAAGACGCGGAGGAGGACGGAGAGTGCGAGAGGGCCAATCGCGTAAAGTTGGGAGAGAGATGCTTGGAGGTTTGTGGTGATTCTGGTTAACGACGAGGCATGCTTAGCACAGACTGTCTCGCCAGAAATAAGAACGACGACGCAAGGTGAAGATCAAGCGAGACGTAGATGCGTATGAAGATTACAACAGTCAGATGGAGGTCACGGATCGTGAAGCCGGGCAAAATGATCTTCCACCTCGCTTGGAAACATCGCTTTGTGATGAAGCCATGAGTTTTTCCTTTTTTTTTTTTTGGCTCAGATATTCCGAATCGAAGCACCCTGCACGAAGCACTACTTCGCACCACTCTCCCCCGAGCACTGAGGTCAGCTTACCTGTTACACAACACCTACCCCAATGACTTTTCCCCTCCCACCCTGACAGGCAGTACCTCGTGTCAAACCCAACACCCCTAAGCGTTGGGACACCTCTCATCTATTTACCACGTCCTCATAGGTCATCTCTCACTTTTTGTCCCCTCGATCGACATCCATAAGCCGAGGTAACTTTCGCTCGTGTGGCGATGCCTTCGACCCAATGTCGTCATCATCCCTAATCGCACCCCCACGTGCGCACTCCGGATCTCAGTCCCATAAACCCGCAATGATGGGAACTGTTAGGCACCGGATAACGCACGATCAAAGCCAACTCGAAGAGGGAAAATTGCGATTGTCAGGTGCTGAAGCACCGGCTAGCTTGTTATCATCCAAGCTGGGACGCAAGAGCCATCTGCCAGCGACCATTTAAGCGCAAGGACCCCCGAGAGTTTTCCACTTTCACTCGGCAGGGAAAGCAAACTCAACTACAACAGCTTCCTGACTTCTCGATTTCGCTTTCTTTCCTTCAAAGACCAAAAACTTCCAGCAAAATGAACGGCCAACCTCAACCTAAACAGACTCTCTGGGCCACTGGCTCGATTCCGCTCCATGCCGTGGATCAGCCCCCCTTTACCGTTCCCGTTTCCGGTGCGACACCGGCAGCCAACGAGACGGCGCCGCGTCGGCATCCCTCAGCCATCCCGGAGCTGCTCTCCCGCCCGGATCCGGAAGTCGAAACGGCGTACCACCTGGTGCGTCGTTCAGCCATGCTCTATGGCGATAAGCCCGCCATAGCCACCCGCCAGCTGCTAGGCACCAAGCCCGTTCGCCGCAAGATCGTCCGCGGCGGCGAAGAAATAGAGAAGGAGTGGATGACTTACTCGTTGGGCCCGTACAAATACATGACGTACAGGCAGTACTCTGTGCTTGCTGCCCAGGTCGCCGCCGGTCTGCGGGCTTTGCACCTGTACCCTCGGGAGTCGCGGGTGCATCTGTTCGCGACCACCAGTGCCCAGTGGTTGGCCATCGCCCACGCATGTGCCTCGCAGGCCATCGCAGTCGTCACGGCCTACGATACCCTGGGTGAGGAGGGTGTTGCGCTCTCGATGCGGCAGTCGGGTGCCGAGGCCATGTTCATCGACCCGCACCTGCTGAAGACGGTGCGCCGGCCCTTGCTGGAAGACCAGGCTGTTCGTGTCCGCGTGCTGGTATACAACCAGGCAAGCCATTTGCCCATCCCAGACGCCGAGATGGCCGAGTTCCTCTCCTCTGCCAAAGCTGCCCGACCGGAGCTCACCATTATCTCCTTCGAGGAGCTCCGTGCCCTGGGCGAAGCCAATCCTGTTGACCCCACCGTGCCCCGGCCGGACGATACATTCTGCATTATGTATACGTCCGGCAGCACCGGCGCGCCAAAGGGTGTCCCGGTGACTCACGGCGCTTTTGTCGCTGCGGTTGCCGGGCTGCACGCGCTCATCCAGCCGGCGGTCACCCAGGAGGAACGCGTGCTCGCGTACCTTCCGTTGGCGCACATCTTCGAACTGGTGCTCGAAAACTTGGCCATCTTCGTCGGCGCGACGCTCGGTTATGGCCACCCGCGCACACTGTCGGAGCGCGACATGGAGCCCGGCTGTCCAGGTGACATGCGCGCGTTCGAGCCCACTGTCATGGTGGGCGTTCCGGCGGTCTGGGAGACAGTGAGGAAAGGGATCGAAGCCAAGGTGGCCAAGACGCCTCTGCCGTTGAGGGCTATGTTTTGGGGTGCCGTCTGGGCCAAGGAAACCCTTCTCTCCTGGCAGCTACCCGGGGCTGGTATTATCGACGCTGCTATCCTTTCGCGTGTCCGGGCCAACGCCGGAGCCTCTTACCTGCGGTTCATTGTCAACGGGGCGAGCGGGATCGCCCCAGCGACAAGGAGGCTTCTGTCTGTTGTTCTCGCGCCCATGCTGGTCGGATATGGGTTGACAGAGACCTGCGGGAACGGGGCGCTTACCAGCCCCCTGCAGTGGGAGATCGGGAACGATGCCATTGGCACAATCCCGCCCTCTGTCGAGGTCAAGCTTGTATCGGTGCCCGAGCTCGGGTATTTCACCGATCGGGAGCCCCCACGCGGCGAGATTCTGATCCGCGGCGGGCCCGTGATTCGGGAATACCTCGACAACCCGGAAGAGACTGCCGCGGCCGTGACTGTCGACGGTTGGTTCCGGACGGGCGACATCGGTGAGTTCACGCCAACCGGTCACCTTCGCGTGATCGACCGCTTGAAGAACCTGGTAAAGCTGCGAGGCGGCGAGTATATCGCGCTTGAAAAGCTCGAGGCCGTCTACCGCGGTGTGGCTTGTGTTCAGGCCGTCATGGTCTACGGAGATGCAGACTGCACTCGGCCCATCGCGATTGTGGTGCCCAGCGAACAGGCACTGCGCAGCTTGGCCAAGGGCGCCGGCGTGAATGTCGACCGACTGACAGAGGCCGCCTTATTGGCCGACAAAATGGTTCGTAAGGCAGTCCTCCGTGAACTGCAGGGGGCTGCGCGGGCAGCGGGTTTAAGCTCTCTCGAGACGGTGGCTTGCGTCGTCCTTGTTAGCGACGAATGGACGCCTGCGAATGTAAATCTCTTTGTCCCCATCTCCCGTCATTCTTCCTATCACCTGCTGCCGCACTTGAGCTTTCCCTTTTTCAATTCTGAGTAATAGGTGCTGACTGTAGGCACTCTCACAGGGCCTTGTCACAGCGACTCAAAAGGTCAACCGCCGGGCTCTGAAGGAGAAGTACGCCAAGCAGATCGAGGAGTGCATGAAGGCCCAGTAAATCTGGGGCTTCTCAACCGCTTTCTCCGTGGAATTCATCATCAAGGCAGAATCGTTTAATGTCACTTCGGTAGGTTGTTGACATTCCTGCTGGGTTTGTCGCTGCGTTCTTCGAACATGGCTTTGTACAAGTGCTTCGCTAGGTTTTTTTTTTTTTCACTTGGGTCGAATATTGCTTGGGAAAGAAAAGCTGGATTCGGTTTGAGCTGTAACTTTATTTCTCTGGGATTGATTATATACCCAAATGGGACTGTCTTGGGATCGTTCGGGCTTGGCTTCATCATCGCAGTCCTTTCTTTTTCCCTTTTTTTCCTCTTTTATCTTTGTTATTTGCTATGCCAACCCGGTGCTCTATCACTTGACGATTTGTGCAGTCGTATTTGAAGAGGATTTGAGTCGTCGTGTACATTCAGACATGGCCTGTCAGCGAATTAGCTTGACATCCTGAGCAGTGATAAAAGCGGCTCAAAAATATCCTGCTAAAGTGTTTCATTAATATAAGCGAGATTTCGTCTTTTCTTGAGAAAAACTTCGGTCGAGAGCACTTCTCCGATGTCTATCTGGTTTCAATCAAGGGGTAGGTGTGCGGGGAATGCTACCTGGGACTGCCATTGTTGCCGGACTTCATTCGAGATAGTAGGGAAGCAAGAGGAGAACTGTTATATGGGCAAATGTGGGATGTTGGATTGGGAAGAGATGTCAGAAAAGTGAGAGGTTCACTGACGACCACAGAGTCCCGACTGCAGTTCCAAGATTAGCGACCCAAACCGCCATATATGTCTTGGCTCCTGATGCTAAGTTCCCTCCTTGAATGAGATACCCCAATCTCATTATCCATAGTTGACAAGCTACCTCCTCTAATAAGAACTTGCATGGTTGATAGCTAGGGGAGCGTTAGTAGAACTGTGGACGCATCCATTCCGTCTTCAGGCGCCTGAACCCAAGGATGTGAAATTGGTTCAGCTTCAAACCCCCGAGTCTTCCCGTAAACCACTTACGACTGTAGGGTTAGCCGGTGAAACAATGCTGAGCTTTCCTAGATGTGGTCGATACCTGTTCCCCAGCAGTTCCATACATAGATGGGGGGCATGCGTTGATATTGTGCTGATTCTTCTGGTCTCGTCTTCTTCCCTAAATGCTCCGCATCCACCACAGGTGGAATCGTACCAGGTTCAAAATGCGAACTTGCTTTGCATATTCGCATTGACACCGTGATCTTCTCAATGGGCACCGGCCAATGGCTCCTTGATTGGAACGACTGGAGACACAGCTGAAAAAAAAAAAAAAAAAGAAGACAGAACAGAGAACACAGTGCATCCGTTTCGTTGCAACTCTCAACGCAGTGTCAATTTTTTGTGGTATCTCTTTAACATTAGTATTTGTATCGTTGTTCGTTTGTCTTCAAGTGTGTAAAGGTATCCCAGAAATCGCATGTTGGGAGAAGCGAATCGCAAAGAATAAAAGCGAAAGCCAAAAACTTGCTCGGCACGCTTGCTTCTATGGCTCATGCCAAAATTACAAATCCCTCCTGACTCGCCCCAGCCCCAGAAAACAACAAAACCCCGCAAAAGATCAGCCCATATATACACCTCCAATCATCTATTCGGCCCCATGAGTACCCAACTAAAAAGCTCATGTCCCCTGCCTCCGATAAAAGATCATGTACGCCGATGCATTCCCACTCTGGTACATCTGCTCTGTCATGTCCCCAGACACTCCGGGCCCAGCCCCGATTTTGACGCGATCGACATTCTCATCATTACACCGGAACCAGTCCGTGGGATCCGGCGACGAGTCATCCTGCACATAGGCATAGTAATGCCCACCGTTGATGCCCGTGCCAACGTGCACTGTCACCGCGTAACAATCGTACTTCATGCGTCCCGCAAAATGCCGATCCTCCGTGGTTGCCATATCCGGATCTGGCTCCGCACAGAAGCGCGTGAGGTCGAGATCGCGGATGGGGAACCGAACTTTGGAGTGAATCTTGCTGTTGCTGCTGAACGGACTGGAGAATCCAGACGATGAATTGGAATGGAAGCGGTTTAGGCAGAATATTAGGCGATCGGGAAGGCGTGCAAACTTGGCTTTGCGTGAGCGCCCAGGCTTCTTGCACGTTTCGCAGATGAGGTCGGGGAAGTGTTCGGAGGTTTGATGGTTGACGAGCAGGCTTTCGAGGTCTGTTTGGCTGCCCATGCCAGAAAGATTCAAGATCCAGATGTCGCAGGGCTGGAAGAGCCGGATTTCCTGACGGCAACCAGGGTTGTGACATGTGGAGATGAAGGCCTCAAGACCGCGGAACCACTTGTCGACAATTGACGCACTGGCACGCGAATAGAGGTTCCAGTAATCCATGGCGTTTTGGATGATGCTGCCGTCTTTAGGCGTGTAAGACTTCTCACCCTTCGGGGGTGGCCGGTCACGCCTTACATTCGTCTCATCGTGTATGTTGTCCATGACGAACGAGTAGAACTCCTGTGCATCCTGCTGATAACACCCGCCAAACACTTCGGGCTCTGGTTTATGCTTGCCATCTGGCCCTTTGCCGTGAATCTCCCGAATGTATTCCTGGACATTGTTAGCGGTATTTGCCCTCCGACGGGAGAAGCCAGGGGACATCGAACCATGAATGTTCTAGTTTCCAAGGCTTTCATATCTCCTTGATGGAGCCACTTGAATATCATGGACAACGACTTGATGAGAAGCTGGGGGTTCTCCATCCGTTCTCCAGGTTTCCTAGGAACCGGGCCCCATTCACCCATCATAACCTCGTGCGAAAACCCGGGTGTGCTGAACATGGCCTGCAGTGAGCTGTTTGCGAAACAGTACACGCCTGGATTCTTGAGGCCGGGCCGTAGCCTGCGCAGGCCCTCGCGGCCGAGCGGAGGTGACTTGACGGCCGGTCTCGTCGCCGAGTATAAACTCTCACCGGCATCTCCGAGCTCACTATGTGTTCTGCGCGGAAATGCTGGTGGTGGCCGCGTTGGCGGTAATGGTATAGAACCCACGCTGGTGAAATATGGTGAACGATGATTCATCAAGCTGGGAGACGAGGACGAAGTCATGGACTCCTTGGCTCCCGGAATGGCGGGGAAGTGCCGTAGGAGCTCTTCGGTTGTTCTGATGGGGGAGATGGCACTATCGTCTGCCATGGTGCTCTCCCAACGCTTCGCTTGCTCCGGGTCCTGAATTGATCGTGGAAGGTGCATTCGTCGACTCGGAGTCAATAGGGACGAGGTAGCACTCGAGGGACTCATTGGCTCTGTCTTTGAAGGAGCCGTAGATGACGATTCCAAGGTGTTTGGTCCATACAGCATTGTCCACGCCTTTATGCCCCCGCAAAGGAGCTTGACGATGGCTTTTCGCTGCGAGTAATCGTAGATGTTGAGCGCACGGAAGAATGCCACTACGGCCTGTTCACGCGGGTTCTGAGGTGTGCTGACAATTCTCTCCGAGTCTTGGTCGTAAAACACGATGATATCGTGGTCGTGACGCTTTTCAAAGAGTAATTGCTCGTGAGCCGGTGAAATGCAAATAGCCTCGGCAATATCGCTAGCTGAGATATCCCTTCTTAATAGCACCTCGCGCTCGATGCATATGGTGGCCTCCGACATGATATGGCCAGCATCAAATTCTTCACGACTACGGATGTCAACCAGCAATATACGGAAGCTATCGTCACTCATCTTCATAAGCTGAAACAGTTCCTCTGCCGCGATGGTGTCGCCAGGGGGTATAGACAGCCCTGATTTCTTGGAGACGGGGTTCGGAGGTACGAAAGATTGGCCGAAAGTTGTGCGCTTATCCACAAGAGACGGCCTACTGCTCCTGTTACCATTCAGCGAAGAAGTGGAGGACGTTCTCGTGAAAACAGGACGAGGAGCAGCAGTTGTAGGCATTGCCGATGCTAGGGGAGAAACGGTACCTCGCGGAGGATGATAGATAGCCTCCGGGACTTTGGGCATTTCGGGAAAAGAACTGGCACTGCCTGTGCTACTGGTTGGATGTGGAGGCTCATGTGGAAGTGATTGCGGTTCTGAAGGAACAGAAGGTGGCATGCGGATCGGAGAATCCTGTTTTGGGGACAAGGTTTTGTTTTGTCGGAGATTGCTTAATCTCTCGAGCAACGAAGCTGTCACGGCACTGGCGGATTGAGACCGGTTATGAAGTACCTGGCCTTGGAGATTCGTGGGTTTCGGCTTGATCTGCGGTGGCAATGTATGGACAGACGGTGAGCTGCCTGAAGGGGGAGAGATACTGTTTCCATCTGGGCTCGCTACACCAGTCTCCCCTGGTGTCGGTATCCTCGTCGGTATTGTCGTCGGCGAAGTATATTTTGATGCCTTTGAGTGCCTCACTGTTGGTTGTACTCCTGTCCGGGCGTTGTCTGCCCTAATCTCATCTTGAATTTCGTCAAACTTGCCCAAGAGATTGTTCATTCGCTCCAGAAGAGCTGAATAACGGTCAAGCTGGCTCTTATTCTCACTCCGAAGCCCAGGGAAGGCCTTGTTTTTCGGAATGGCTCGAGTGATAATCTCACGCGCTCGGAGGAAATCCTGGAGAGCATAGTCCAGTCGACCTCCAAAATTTATGCTTGCCAACGCGCTGTTCAGCAGATTATCGGCTTCGTTGAGAGCTTTGTCAATCGGGCCATCTATGAACCTCTGGAGGTTGATGTCGAAGTACAGGACATCGTCGATATGGGCTAGGGGTGGCTTCGAAGGTCTGGAGCCGGCTGATGACCGCCCATCGGTGGTCTTCATGGGCGTTGATGGCGACCCAGCGGGCCGGACCACGGAGGCTGAGCCGGCCATGGCGAAAGGGGCAGGAAGAGCTCAGCGATGCGAACGAAAACTTCTATATTGGAGTCATGACGTGGGCGATATCAGCGCACTTTTCGGGCTGCGCACGTGGGATATCTAGGCAGCTTTCGAGAACTATGGATCAAAACGCGCGCGCGAGTGTGCTGGAGCATGCAGCGTGCCTGTAGAGCGGAAGACGCGAGGGGAGGAAGTAGGTAACCGAAGAGCACACGTCGAGAATCGAGAGATCGCTGGGAGGAGGCAAAGCCGAGTGGTAAGACGAATCCGTTTTGGAAGCAAAATCAGAAGAACGTGAGGACGAGATAAGTTGTATATGGATTTAGAGTAAGAGCACAAAGCGAAGGAGGAGAGGATCGGGGCCACAGGCGCGGTGGTTTCGTGTTGTTTTCTTTGTCTGCTTGCTTCCAGCGAGAGCTCGAGGACTCTTGTTTGTGTGATCTTGGCTGGTATGAGAGCACCTTGGCTTTGGTGTTTCCCGCAGATCTGTCCCAAGCCTCAAAATTACAAATGCTCGTCTACAATGTCACAGCAGTTCACAAGAGGTCCTTGGAAGTCGCAAAGGTGTCGTCTGGCGTCGACCAGTGGTGTCATGTGGGGTGCGGCCCTGGAGATCGGCTCTGTCTTGGCCCGAGGATACGTACCCCAGGCGGGGAGGGGGGTCCGCCAGATGCCAAGACCAAGCGGCGGATGGCCTGGGATTTCAGGCCGGTCACGAACATCTTCGTTCAGAACCTGACATTACAAAATGAGATACGCTTGAGAGAACTATGATGAACAATTCTGACAGCTTACGGCTAATTTTGAGCAAAGAGTTGATGATTATTTGGCTAATGGCACTCCAAAAGCATGGAGCCATCGCGCTCCCGTGCTGCCAAAATGACAAGCTTTGGGAAAAGTTACCGTTATTCCGTAATCGTAATGTGCTCCACATTTGCGTGCCAAGTACAGGGGTGCCTCACAAGCATGCGCAAGGCTCCCCAAGCATAGTGGGGCCAGCTCCAGCCCAGCAGGCGGCCCCTACGTAACCAACCGACAGGCAGCTGCAGCGGACAAACGTCTCTCTCATCATCGCACGCTCTCCCCACACGTCTCGCATCATACCTGCCTGTCTCTTAGACGCTTTCACGGCCGTCGCTCTAGCTGTTGTTACAAATTTGTCAGTCGGCTCGATTTGTCTTGGTTCTCCATTTCAATCGCAGCAAGCGACAGACTCCCCGCGCAATCCATTCAGGTGCATCCACGACCCCAACTGACCCCGCGAGCTCCAACCACCCGGTCTCCGCCCATACCACGGTCGACGGCGATAGACCGGAACCGCAGCCAACAAAGACAACCCCCAAACTCGCGCTCCCAAGATGATGAGCTGGTGGTCATCCGGGGCCAACAGCGCCCTGGAGGAGCAGATCGAGAAGGCCACCAGCAGTAGTCTGTACGTGGCCGCCATGCATCCCCCCCTACTGCCCGGACTACCTAAACACTGACTTGCACCAGGGAGGATATCTCTCTCAACCTCGAGATCTCCGATATCATCCGTTCGAAGACGGTCGCTCCCAAAGATGCTATGCGGGCTCTCAAAAAACGTATCAACCACAAGAACCCGAATATCCAGTTGAGTGCTCTCAATGTACGTTGCTTGGACAATATCTGCCATCGCATTGCACAACGCAACATGTCGCTGACTCACATTCCCCCAGCTTACTGATACTTGTGTGAAAAATGGCGGCGCCCATTTTCTTGTCGAGATTGCCTCCCGCGAGTTTATGGAGAGTCTAGTCTCCCTTCTCAGGGCTGTTGGCCCCGCGGCCGTCAACGCCGAGGTGCGCGCCAAAATACTCGAGTTGATCCAGTCCTGGGCCACCGCCACCGAGGGGCGTTACGAGCTCGGCTATATAGGCGAGGTATACCGCAATCTTCAGCGGGAAGGTTTCCAATTCCCACCCCGCGTCAATGTCAGCAGCAGCATGATAGACAGCAGCGCGGTATGTGTAACCTGGGCCCGGTCTTGTAGTAACGATCTTGCTGACAACCATTGCTTCAGCCCCCTGAATGGGTTGACTCAGACGTCTGCATGCGCTGCCGTACCGCATTCACCTTTACCAACCGGAAGCATCACTGCCGCAATTGTGGAAACTGCTTTGATCAGCAGTGCTCCAGCAAGACGCTCCCGCTCCCTCATCTCGGCATCCTTCAGGCCGTCCGCGTCTGTGATGGCTGCCACATCAAGCTGACAGATAAGTCAACATCCAGGCGTGCTACCCAGGACAAGTCCACGCTGTACTCAAACTTCCCTGGTAACAAACAACGTACCCATATGGAACCCCGCAGCGCCCGCGTGGAGGATACCTTCGATGAAGATCTTAAAAAGGCCCTGGCCATGAGTTTGGAGGAGGTACAGGCGCACAACCGGGGTTACAACCCGAGCGCTGCCAATGGACCGTCATCCCAATCCAAGGTCAATGGGAATGCTCGGCCGAAGTCTATCGAGGAGGAGGAAGATGAAGATCTGAAAGCTGCTATTGCTGCTTCCCTCGCTGATATGGAGGAGCAAAAGAAGAAGCATGCTGCCGCTCTCAAGGAGCAGGCCTCTAACGCCGCAACATCTTCGGCCGCTCATTTCACGCTCCCGAAAAACGACTACGAGCTTACTCCTGTTGAGGCCGAAAACATTAACCTCTTCGCCACGCTTGTTGAACGTCTCCAGACTCAACCACCGGGAACCATCCTCCGCGAACCGCAGATCCAGGAGCTGTATGACAGCATCAGTGCCCTGCGCCCCAAGCTTGCGCGGACGTATGGAGAAACTATGAGCAAACACGGTATGTATGATTCAGCTCATGAACCTCGGGTTTGAATTCTAACTGTACCAGATGCCCTTCTTGATCTCCATGCAAAGTTGTCGACCGTTGTGCGGTACTACGATCGCATGCTAGAGGAACGGCTCTCCAGGGCTTACAGCCAGCACAATATCGGTTACAATCTCCCTCCACTTCGGCAAACAACCGGAGCATATCCATCTTTGCAACCAACTGCTCCGTCTGCGCCAGCTACGGTCCCTTCTGCAGAGAGCTTCTACACTGGCGAGACCTCCAATCAAACGATTGCTCAACAATCTTACGCTCAGTCAACACCTCAGGCACAGTACGCAAACTACGACCGGCGCAGTTCTATGGCTATGGTCAGCCAACCACCTCAAGCATATCCACCACAACAAGTTCCGCAGCCGACAGGCACTTGGGGAGCGCAGCCACCCGGCCAGGCTCCTCCGTATGCACCACAACCGAGCTACTCCTCGTCACAACCGGCAACAGATCCGTCTGCTCCCGCTCTGGCACAGCCGTCTGCTCCGCCAACAGCGCCAGATCAGGTTCCTACCGCCGACCCCGCCGCATCTTTTTACTTCAACCCCTCTGCTCCCCCACAACAACAGCCATCACAGCCTCAGCCGCAACCGCAGCAGCCCCCTCCTTCCTCTGTACCCGACGCAACCGTGTCACCGTATCCGAACCTCGCACAATCCATTCAGGCGCTTCAGGGTTCGGTCCCTCAGACACCGGCGTCGGCTCCCGTGCAGCTGTCACAGCCAGCACAAGCTCCGCAGCAGCAACAGCAGACCCCGCAGCAACAACAGCAGCCTTTGCAACCCCAAAAGCCACCACAAACCCTGCAGCAACAATCTCAACAGCAGCCACAGCAGCCGTACTGGCAGTATCCTGCTGCACAGCAGATGCCGCTACCGCCCGTGTGGCAACCGTCGCAACAGCAGCAGCAGTCTAGTAGTGTAACTCCTGACGCATTCCCTTCAGCACCGCAGCATGCCCCGGCACCGAAACAGCCTGTCGTAGAAGAGGCTTTAATTGAGCTTTAGTTTGACAGGTCATTCGTCGTATGGACCGGGAGGAGTTGTGTTGTGGGTAGGAGATGCAGTAGTATGGGCATTGGGAGAACTAATGTAAGAAGAAGAAGGAGGTTATTGAAGATGAAATGGCGGCCGAGGGCTTTGCATGCATAGTTTTGTTGTATGTTTGGTCTCTGTTTGTTTGCTGGGAAGGGGATATACCCAACAACATGGCTCTTGTTCCTATTTCTTATCCTTTTTTGACGTGCCATTATCTCGATTTCGGTCTTCCATAATCCTGGTTAGCATTCCCAACCCCTTATCTTGGCCTTGAAACGGAGATTGTGCTTATCCTATATCGCATCAATGCATTGGGCACGGAAGGTGAGGAAGTCCTTATGCACAATCGGTCGCCGTGACGTACGCCGGGCGGCTCGTGCTTATGGAGCTGATCGTCCCATCAGCGTGGTCGGACTCTTCGGTGCCGAGGTGGGTCCTAAGACGCGGCCACAGCTGCGGTTACAGCGGGCCGGCCGAGTGTTTGGCTGTCCGTTGAGGTTGTTTAAACGGACGGAGAGCGCACGAGGCTGGGCTGAGGGGGCTTGAAGTTTGAGTGGGGCCTTATTGGGCTGAGATGACTGAGGGGTAAGGACGAGGCTTTCGGGTATGGATAACAGCATTGTTGATGACTCACTGGATCCTTGAAAGGTTGTGCAACGAGTTAGAACTTATACCGAGTTTAGTTTAGATCAAGGTATGCATTGGCTGTGTAAACGGCCCCCATATGTTCGTTCAGTAAAACTCTTTTCAAGAAGACACCGTCTCCTACCTGCCTTGCGCTGATGGCTGACTTTTTTCCATGAAACTGGAGGCAAACTCCTCTCTTGAGCTCCCAAGCCCTCCTGTTTTAGGCCTGTAAACAAAGAAACCGCCATGACGATCTACATCTACCTCGTCCGCCACGCCCAGGGGCAGCATAACGTCGCCGCTGACCACACCTTGCGTGACCCCGACCTTACAGCTCTTGGCATCGAACAGAGTACCCAGCTTGCGATATCATTCCCCTACCATGACCGCATCACACACCTAATTTCATCCCCCATGCGCCGTACTTTGAGGACCTGCTTTTATGGCTTCAAAAACCGGGGGAAGGGTGACGATAACGGGACGAGAAAACCAATTCTCGCGTTGCCCGAGCTCCAGGAGCTCTCCACTATGCCCTGTGATGTCGGCAGTTCCGTGGCGAAGTTAGACGCCGAGTTCAACACGTCCGAAGAAAAGGTCGTCGACCTCTCTGAGCTACCGGATGGCTGGCAGCTGTTCAAGCTAGATAGTAACAGCCTCTTTGCGCCGAATATGGATCGGCTGGAGAAGCGCGCATGGCAGGCACGCCGCCGGCTGCGTGAAATCGGACAGAAGTATGAGCGTGATCATCCCGGGCAGGATGCACACATCGTGGTTGTGTCCCATGGGGCGTTCATACACTTCCTGACGGGAGACTGGGAGGGGATGACTAAGGAAGGGCAGGCGGGCACGGATTGGAGGAATGCCGAGTGGAGGGTTTTTGAGTTTGTAGAAGGGGATGAAGATGAAGTCAGGCTGAGGGAGACCGAGGAGAGCTGGAGACGGAGGAAGGGGGATACTCCGAGGCTTACGGAGACGCAACAAAGGGAGCTGAAAACGAACGTTGAGAAGGTGCTTGAAGAGGACAAGAAGGAATGGAAGAAAGTTACGGTATGTTTCCAGGAGTAATATTTGTTAAGAGCAAGAACCTTTCTGTTAGGATAAACTGTCTGCAGTGATCATCGAGTTAAGGACAATAATAAAAAGACCAAGACATGGAACGATGCGGCTCAATCTGCTCAGTTCTCCTACGGTGCCCTCCTCAGCTGGAGAAAGACAACCCTCAGGCTCGGGCTCTTGCGGAAGTTTTGGCAGAACAAACCTAAGACAATGGCAACTAAACATCGCCGCCAGCCAATTAAGAACATCCGACTGGATCAAGTTGAGTTCGTACGCCGTTGCAGTTCCGACGGTTTGGTCGACGAGAGCGCGGTAAGAGTGTTTGGTGTTGCATCCGTCTTGGCGCGATACTCCAGACACAGGAGGGGTCATTTGCTGTGCTTCATTGGCTGTTGTTGAATTGCTGAGAATAAGCTTGAACAACGGATAAACTCCAGCAACAGAACAGCAGGCCAGCGTTACATTCTCGAAACCACAACGCGCTGTGCCACATGTGTTTAACCGTCTTGCTCTTAATGTCGTTATTGATATAGGCGCAAACTGTCAATGATTCCCATTGATGTGCCAACCCGTGCTATGAAGCTTAAAAGCTGTCTTCGGCTTCACGGAAGAAATCTCCGTCGTCATCCTCCGAGTCAAATTCCCAATGGAGGTTGGTCAGCGGTCGATGTTTCAGGGCCGATGGACACGCAAAAGCCAATGGACGCGATGGAACGATGGATGAATATTGGCGGGATGGAAGAGCAATGTAAGACCAGGACCCTGTCGGGAAGGCCCGTTCTGCCAAGATGTCCCACAGAAAAATCCGAAGTTGTCAGCGAATCTGACCAAGAAGCGAGCCTTTATCTGTTCAACGGCGCCAAGTAAGACCCACCCCCGCGTGGCCGTCATTTGATTGGCCAATTAGAGTGGTAAGAAGATCTCCACTTTCACGTCTTCCGCGCACCTTCCGCTTGCGCTGGTAGCACGAGGAACAGGGTGGGTCCCTGCGTGCCCCTGCGTGCCAGCCCGTGCTTACCCTGCCAGTCGAGCCGGTCGGGTTGACTTCCTGGATGGGCCCATGCCCCCTTTCCTCCACTCTTTTCGTCTCAGGCGGCCGCCCATTCATCTTGTCGAACCCTATTGAATCCAACGCTCCCTTCGTTCCTCTGCCAAACATCAAACATACAAGATCAGCGATACGGTCCAGTCGTTCATTGTCGCCGCCAGACGCTGCCAATTCACCAAACCCAATTGTCGCTCCTTATCAATATCATTGGCTTGCCCACCACCACTTGGGCCCATTTAGCATCGCCTATTGCTTATTGCTGTCGAAAGCATTACCGAACAATAGCAATAACCCACCATCCGCAAACTAAGAGCATTCGTCACATAGTTGCCGTTTCGGTTGCTCTGATACCAGGAACCGTGTCCTGCTAGCCGATCAAACTTCGCTGCTGCGAACAGTGCCAGCCCGGATCAGTCAGCCCTACGACCGCCGTCTCTTTTCGCTCACAGCTCTCTGGAGACGCGCGAAGTCAACTTGTTCTTCGCCATCGAAGTTCAGAGCTCCATCTGTTTGGTTCGGGTTGCGCGCCTGCGTGATCCGACAATGTCTTGCTAGTAGAGCTGGTGAAGTGTTGAGGCCATTGCTGGCCCTTGGACTGATTTAATTCAATATCCACCATCCGACGACGATTGGTTCACTTTGTCCCTCATTCGACTCTAGCCGGGCTACTGATAACGGTCGGGTTCTTCGCAGGCGAAGACCGACTTGTTCACGTCAGGAACTTCTGGTCCCTTCGTTTCTTGAGATACCCAGCAACACACTTGATCGTGTTGCTACATTTTCGCACTCGTTTTTACATCTCAAACAACTATCATCTTTTAGTTCGTCTCGCGCCCGGTTTGCGCTACCTTCGCCATGGGTTTCCTCAGCCACCGTCGGCGCAATGTCGAGGTCTTGCCCGAACAGAAGTGGGATTTCATTGTGAGCAGCGAACAGAAATGATGATGGTATAACGTGTAATCCGCTAATACAATGTACAGAGCCTCAATGACTTCAAGCACACTTCGATGGGTCAACCCTTCGCCTATGCCTTCCTCTGGTTCAGTTTGATCCTGTCAGTTGTTGTCTACGCCGTCGATATCTTTACCGCCTACCAGTTGCTGGCCCTCAACAAGTTCACATCACAGATCGAGCCGGATGAGATACCCTTTGATATCGCAAAGTGGATTTTCAGCATCTGTATCATTCTCTCGGTTGTGAACCTTGCCTATGAGTATTGGCGTGCCATTACCATCATGCGACGTGGTAGTGTGGCCGAGTGCTTCCTCGACAGCCTGGCAGCTCGCCTCGAGTCCATGCGGCTAGGAAGTGGGCAGGGTTGGAAGCGCTTCCTCGTCTTCGCGGAGCTGACCAGAAGTAAGAAAGGCATCGAGTACATTGCACTCTTTACTTTCTTCAGCTTCCAATGTAGGTTATCCGCTCCCTTGGGGATGGCATTCGGCACTGACTCTAGTCTCAGCCTGGATCCGCGTGCTCTTCTGCGCCGGCCCGCGTCAGGTTATCAATGGATTTACCATCTATTCGTTTTACAACAAGAAGCTTCAGATCGACTCCTCCAGTTTCGAGGCGGGCCTTTCGAGTTTCTTTGATAAGATCAGGGCTCTTGCGACCCAGGAACCTCGGCAAGCCGTTACTTTGTGTGGCATGCTTTTTACTCTGATCGTGTGGCTCTTCTCCTTCTTATCGCTGCTCCTGGCCGCCTTCTTTTTTGTCTTCTTCCTATGGCACTTTATCCCCCGCGAAGATGGCGGCTTGACTGGGTTCTGTGAGAGGAAGGTCAACAAGCGTCTCAAGCAAATCGTCGCCAAGAAGATCAACACTGCAATGGCCGAAGAAGAGCGCAAACGCCGCAAGGAAGCTCTTAAGGCAGCAAAGAAGAAGGGCGAGGACAGGCCAGTTACCATGAAGCCTTCATTGCCTGTGCTTAAGGACGATGATCTTCCCTCGATGCCATCCATTTCGCGAACTGAGACTTTCGCTTCATTCTCCGAGAAGGCGTCTCGTCCGACGACCCCTGGCAACTTTGAGATGAGCCCGATCACTCAAAGACCACCGATGCCATCGCGAACCGCGACGACCGCAACTGCTGGGTCTTCTTCGACTTACTCTTCTCAGGCGCCACTCCTCAGCAATGCTGCTGAGATGGGCACAAGCCGTCCGCCAGGCCGCACCGAATCCCCTGCTCCGTCGATGCCATCTGTTGCTGCCAGCAGATACCCTCCGTCTCGGGTTCCAACCAATGCATCCAACTATCCGCCGTCTCGTGCTGCAACTCCTGCATCTAACGGACAGTCCCGGTCCAACCCCCAACCCCAACGGATGATGTCGAATGCCTCGTCCATGGTTCCACGATATACGGAAAGTCCTGCGCCATACTCCAATGAACCGATACCGTCTCGTCCGCCACCTGCTTTGTCATCTGCTGGTCCTTTAGGTCAGTATAGGGGGCCAGTGGGGCCGAATCCGAGATGGGGACCAAACAACTCTGGTAGGCGACCAGCCATGGATCAGTACCAAGGCTCGAACCAGCCCGGACGCAGACCAACAATGGATCAGTATCAAGGACCAGTCCAAGACGGCAGCAGGCCAACAATGGATCAATATCGGGGCCCTAGCCAATACGGGAGGAGGCCGACAATGGACCAGTTCCAGAACCACGACCCGTATGGCCAGAGACCAACGATGGATGAATACCAGAATTCCACTTGGGATGAAGGCAGGCCGACTATGGATGGCTATGGATTCTTAGACCCACCAATGTCTCCTCTTGGTGACAGGCAGCCAACCCTGCCAAATTTGGAGGGTGGGCCTTTCAGCCAGACGTCACACAACCAATGGCCCAGCGCAGTTGACAGGGAGCCCAAGCTGCCGAATCTCGAGGAACTTTCACGGCCAGGAACAGCATGGGACCAAGAACTTACTTCTCAGAGCAGTAGACCTACCTTTGATAACTATTCCAACGCGCGCGCTAGTCCCGCACCGTCACGATTCATGCCTCAGGATAACAACAAGTCGCCTTTTGAGACTTCTGATGATAGTCGGGCTAGTCCGGCGTCATCAAACCTCAATGCCCAAGCCCAAGGTAATGACCGCACAGCTTCTGATGATTACACCACCGGCCGGTCCAGTCCGGCACCATCAACCTTCAATCCCCAAGATAATAGTCGATCTCCTTTAAACACCAACACTAATGGACGGGCCAGTCCCGCCCCCTCATATTTCAACCCCCAAGCGCAAAGTCTTGATAGCAGCAGGCGACCTTTTGATGCCTCAGGCGGCCGTGCCAGCCCCGTGCCGTCGATGTCAAGTTCACGCTACACGCGCGATGGTCTTCGTTCGCTGCCTTCGAGGCGTGGCTCCGACGAAGATCGCTTCCGGCCGATGCTGCGAAGTAACACAGCTCTTCCATCTCCTAGCTCGGAACCCCGGTTTGCGCCACCAGCCAGATCCTTGACGGCGCCGGTGTCGCCAACCTCAACACAGCAGTCTCAACTGTTGCACCATCGGCAACAGTCGAGTGACAGTGGCAGTTCGCTGATGGGCGCGGTGCTCGCGGCTGCAGACGGGGCTTTGCGCAAAGAATCGTCATCGAATTCTGGCCAGAATCAAACTCAGAACCAAAACCAAAATCCACATGCAATGACAGCGAGCAACAGCAACATTGACAATATCCCCAGCAGTAGCAGGGGGGGCTCGCGGGCGGGAGGGGCGGGCAGTGGGACTTGGGATGGGAATGACAGGAACGGGAATGGAAATGGGTGGGACCAGGACTTGGAGAGGGGCCCTCGCTACTACTAGCCCGGGGTTAAATGGAGATATTGATGGGGATTATGACCTCGAGCTGGAATTGCTGGGCATGTATCATGATCATGAGGTGGATGGGTTGGGGCTAGAAGTGAGGCCCTGGGATGGGGTTATATGATTTAATTCCCTTCTGCCTATTGTGAAGATCTTTCGATCTCGGTGGGCTTTATTTTGGGCTTTGAACAGATATTTTATTTTCTTCAAAGAGTACATACTTTTCAAGGTGATGAGAATTGAATGTTCTTTTCTGGTGGTCTTCACTCCTGTTGCCAATTGTTTACATCTCTCCTTTTTTTTCGCCTGTGAGTGACCCCTTGCTACCCTCTAGAGCAACAAGTGGGGAAGTGTGCAACGTGTGCCAAGACTTGCGCAATCTGCCTTCAGAGCCTTGCAGCTAGAGGCTGTGGCAAATGTTGAGAGGCTCTGCTCTAAGGCATGACCACCTCATACCTTACATTGGCTTCAAAGACAGTAAGTAATGCTTTAAGTGATTTAACAAGTATGAGCGAAAATCAATTATGTCTAATGTTTTGCAATTTATCCGCAACACAAGTAGCTTTTAAATGATCAATGTCTTAATCAAGAGACAAGGTGTGAAGTGGAGCGAGATGGCTGCTCAAAGCTCCACCAAGCATGTCAAAGGCTGGCGGCGACTTCGGAAGATGAATTCCCCCTCTTTAAGTTTTGTCAACTGCAGAAGTGCATCGCTAAACATGAAGCGCTTGCATACACGTGGTACTCGTGAATCGTGACTTGCAAGACATGAATCAGTTTCGAAAATCACTTGGAAACGCAATTGGATAGTTGAAGTTGCCAGTTCAGGGGTTTGCCAGTTGCCACACATTTTCAAGGTCTTACAATGGAGCCTAAAACAAAACCTCCACTAGGCTCAATTGCTGTAGAACAGCTTGTGTCAAGCCAGTGAGACACACCAGCACAGCTTTGAGGCTGCTGAGATTGAAGCCAACTTGCCAAGTCGTTGCCGACAAACATGGACTCTCGCTTTTAGTTGGCTGGAGTCAATCCCATTCTGTTGCTCAATTGCGTGAGCTAATAGAGCGGACTTCTGCCAATTAGTGCTGGGAACGGTAAAAGCAGTTATGCAATGCCGGTAACGGACCGGACCGAATTGCTCTTAGTTTCCAGCACAGGAAACCTGCCGTTGTGGACTTGTGATTTAAAAGGCCACATGAGTGGATTACGGGTCTAGGCTCCAGCTGGAGTCACAGCAGATGAGAGAAAAATGCACCTTTCACAGACCTCCAGCCAGCAGGCAACGACACGAGAAACGAGGGCATGCAGTGTGGGTGGGTGGTTGGTAGGAGATTTTGGGCACGGGACCCCCGCACACGTCCACTGCGGTCTGTAACCCAGGCGTCAGTGGCTTGCCTCCACTGCAGCGGGCGCCGAATAAGAAGCAGCGGGCCCCTCCTCCCACACCCCAGGCTCATCCACTTTTCACTTCATTCTTTTGCCTTCCTGTGCTGTCATCCCCCAGAGTGCTTGCACAAAAGAATTCTTCTGCACCTCTCTCTCTGCCGCTCGCTCAATTGCATTGCACTGGCAGTGCCGTCGTTGTCGCCATCATCTTGCTGTGACTTACTGCTGCTGCCACTGCTACTTGTCAGCTTTCTCGTGCCCCTCACTGGACCAGTGGCGGTTAGTCAGGGCCGACCTGCAGGGGGACAGGGACCCCGCATCACATATCACATCGCGCGCATCGAAGCACCACATTTCCTCGGTGTTTTTAGCTCGTGATCGGCCTCGACCTTTCTCCATCTCGCATCACATCCCCTGAAGCACCTCTCGTTCTCACGACACTACAATCATCCAACAAGCCTTTCAAGCTAAACGTCAGGCTACCGCCGATATTCTAACAGAACAAAGCATAATGGCTTCTGAGAGCTCCGACATGGCCACACAAACTCGCACGGGTCTCATCACACCCGTCAGCGGCATCCAGACCCCTCAGACCCCTTCCGAGCCACCTGCGATGATGGACTCGTACACCTTCCCTATCCATAAGCTCAAGCGTCGTCAGTCCCAGCCCGGCAAGACTCCTCTCGTACTCGTTGCTTGTGGCTCTTTTTCTCGTGAGTCTGGCCTCATCTTGTGTTTTATGGACACAATTAGGATATTAACCTTCTCCCCTAGCCATCACCTTCCTGCACCTGCGCATGTTTGAGATGGCGTCAGACTTTGTTCGCTTCAACACCGATTTTGAGGTCTGTGCTGGCTACCTCTCCCCTGTCAGCGACGCCTACAAAAAGGCGGGTCTGGCGCCTGGACATCACCGCGTCAACATGTGCAGCCGTGCTGTTGAGCCATCGCCCTGGCTGATGGTTGATCCCTATGAGACGCTCAATCGTAACGAGCGTGGCGAGCCCGAGTACGTGCCTACTGCCAAGGTGTTGCGCCATTTTGACCACGAGATCAACACCGTCCTAGGCGGTATCGAGGGTACCGATGGTGTGAGGAGGAAGGCCCGCATTGCGCTGCTCGCGGGCGCGGATCTTATTATGTCAATGAGTGCGTTCTCCCCTTTCCATATACATAGTCACAATTTGCTAACTTTTTTTTTTTTTTTCAGGCGAACCCGGCCTGTGGTCCCCGACCGATCTAGATGTGATCCTCAGCCAGTATGGAGCCTTCATCATCGAGCGCTCGGGTACCGACATCGAAGAGGCGCTCGCGTCGCTGCGTCAGTATGAGAACAATATCTGGGTCATAAGCCAGGTCATCCAGAACGACATTAGCTCGACCAAAGTGCGCCTATTCCTGCGGAAGGACCTCAGCGTACGCTACCTTATTCCCGACCCCGTCGTCGACTACATCGAGGAGCACGGCCTCTACCAGGAACCTAAGGCGTCCTCTGCCAAGGCCTCTCCTTCAAGGGAGTTGGAGAAGGAGTTCAAGGGCAAGGGGAAGGCCTCGCTTCCACCGGATGATGCTGCCCCTAGCCCGGAGGAGAACAAGCCTACTGTTGGTTAAGCGAGCTGTGCTCCTCTTCGGCGTGTCTCGAGACCAGCAAACTAATCTTCACTCATGCATTTTATTATTGGCTGGGTTGGGCAAGAACCGCATATATACACATGGACAATCAGCATCATCACAATAGATTTGGCATGCCCTTGGGGCAAAGAGGCAACAACGGAAGAAATGGCAGGAATATATATATCCTTGTGGCCCTCGTGTATTGAACGGCTTCTCTTTACTTTGTCCATAGGGTTTGGCGGCATATGGGTTTGGGCGTTAGAGCGGATTGGTTCTGGATGATTTCGCTTTGCTTGAGCTTTTTGGTCTATCACATGGGTAGGCGGTTGGGAGTTATCTGTTGGGTTAGATGTCTGCTGGACAAGCTTGTGGTTTGTATAAAAAGACTCTGGGTAGGAATTTCCACCTTCCTTTGTGCTCATTTAATGGAGACATGATATCTTGCGAAGTGTGATCTTTCTGCTTATGACTAAGAGTGAGCTTCAGGAGCTGTCACTGGATATGGCTTCCTTACGTGCATGTGGTGGCTTTGATGCAGCTTCCGAAAGGTGACACAGAGCAGATACCCGAGCCTTGTCAGGCAGACAAGCTGTGATGAGCGTGAAACAAACACTTGCTGTAGTATCTTCCTTTTTCCGACACTGGGTGCGTTCTATACTCCGAGTCCCGGAGTTACACAAACTTCCAGACCCAATGCGGCTCCAGGGCGCACACAAGCACTAGACATTATTCATTAGCCAGAATGACTGGCATGTGTGGCTCCCAGGGTGTTCAACAGCTCTCCGCCTCAAGTTTATGGTGGCTTCCTGACATAGACAAAGCGACGGATGAAATACAGTTTCTGCTTGGGGATCGTGAATTTTACCTGTTCGGGAGTCTAGCCCACTACCAAGTTACACATGTGAAACACACAACTTGTTGCATCTCACGGTCAGACTCGACGATCCACATCAACTGCGATCGATACCATCGGCACAACTCACCTTCCATATAGTTCTCGAACGCTGCTTTCGTGAACAATCCCACTTCCTTCAGGTTCTCTTCAGGCCATGTCCCATGCGGAATTGTTAAATCCTTCATTGTGATATCCATAAACCCAGCCTGCACCATCCATTACTTGCAAGTTATCTTCAATGACCGTGAATGTCCTTCATATCATCTCCCCACCCATGTGCCGGATCTTCTCCCACTGCCCTCATGCACTACTCTCTGGCATGTCCTTTCTCTGTATCTCGTCACTCGAACGATGTCTCCTGGCTTTTGACCTACACGCCTGGTCTACAGCATTGGTATGCCTCGCAGAAGAAGTAGCCCCAATTGAGGATGTTGCGCGCCAGTGTGTGCACGTGGATGAAGTCGAACGCATCGAGCATGTCAGACAGCCGCGCTCAGTCGTCGTTAGCGTCCTCAATCTCAAAGGCTATGTCGGACGGCGCCCAGGTCGGCTGGATCGGGGTTATTTCTGTGCCTATCACCGAGGCACCGAGGTAGATGTCGTCGAGGTCGCTGGAAGGGATGGGGTATTAGAGGGAATTCGCTGGGTGGAGGGCACGGGATTGTTTGGTGATAAGGGGCTGGAAAGATATAACCTACATGGTCTAGACGCCTGTGCATGTGCCGATGTCGAGGACTTGCCTGCGCTGTTACCTACTGGAGCGAGAGCTTTCCATCCGGATCTAGAGTTATCGCGTGGTGGCCATTGTGATTGCTGGGGTCAGAGAAACCACCATCACAAAAGCCCTTGTGAATACTTTATGGGCAAACGACATAGAACAGCCACCTACATTAAGTCCATGTTGTAGATATGCTTCGCGTCATTGGACTCCCATAATTCAGCTTGCCCAACATGGCTGTGGCATGTCCGGCTGTGTACCATCCAGCAAGGCGGTATCACTAACGTATGATCCACATGCCAAGTCGTCGAGACTGTCATGGCTATCGGTGAATTTCAGTTATTCGTCATCAACAAAATAGTGTTGTGTCAGTTTACTGGTTCTTTGCCTCTGTAAATTGTCAATACCAGGCGAGGAGGTTGTTGTGCTCCGAAGCACTCTAATCTATGTCTTGAGACTCCAGTTGGGCGGTCATATATCAAGCCTTGAATGTCACTTTCGGATGGAAATAATCATTTATGCCCTCAAAAATCCGTCATAAATCACTCTAAGCGAAGGGATTCTAAAGAGCAACGATCTGGAGGAATTTTTTGGGGATATTTCGCTTCTGGGTATATATATATACCTCCCCAGGGTGGGGGCCCTGACCCCTTCACGACCTCTGCTTGCCACTCAGCCAAAAAGATGCGCAGCACGCAGCGTGTCTGCAGACGCTTGTCACAAAGACAGAACCTATCAAGAAAGCTACATATATCGGTCATGTCCTAAACCTTTAACTTTGCTAGTTGGCACATTTGCCATCATATGTGGAGTAGATCTCATTGCCTACTGGCCTACACTTGGGAAGTTCAGCTTCATTTAGAATGTAGGAAGATATACGGATCCGTACAGTTTGAAAGTAATGAAGGTCTTGTCATTGTATAGTCTTCTATTAAGCCAATCTCAAAGCCTATGAGCGGTAGCATAGTCGTGCTTATGATAATGAGGCAGTAATGCAGCATATGGTAAGGATTACGGCGTGGTCAAAAGTTTGGCATTATTATTTCTCTATATTCTTTGTTACTCTTACTTGAGTCATGCAAGAAAAAACCATGAATGCTGAGGAATGAAAACAAAGACATTGGATAAGAGCTGGACCAGAAAACTTGTTGAGCAGTCTATCAGTCTTCTTGCATTACTCTGTAGTAACCGGCATCCGGATACCATCTCGGCAAACTTTCATCTCTACACACCCAGCTTCAGCTCACAGTTAAGGCTGTTGATAAAGATTGCCTTTTAACTACCTAAAAACCATTGTGAATTCAACATACTTCCAAGTCAAATGTGACATCTGATCATTGATCTTGTTGTCGAAGACAATAATGGCTATTCTGGCTTCCTGCTAATAGCAACTCGTTGGATGAATAGAGCTTTAAGGTTAAGATTGTAAATCTCACGGCGAAAATGACCGATATATAGTTGGATTCCTTCAGGTTTTCACCTGAGTACCGAGTGCCACACATGAAGAATGTAGCCTTTTGATAAAGGGTTAGTACATAGAGGTCCTTGCATATCATATCCAATGGTGTATCATAATTCAAATGGAAAGGTGGTCGGAGCGAAGGGGAAAAAAAAGAAAACTACAAATGCGATGGAGGGATCGTATTGTGACTGCACCGAAAGTCATCATGAAAACTTACCATCTATATTGTTTTTGAACCCTGCTTTTGTGAAGAGACCCACTTCCTTCTGACGAGGGTCTTTCGGCCAGGTGCCATAAGGGCAAGGAATATCTTTAACCTGGACGTCGACAAACCCGGCCGCCTTCATATATTTCTCTTGTAAATTGTCATCGACTAAAGCGAAAGCTTCGCCCTGTCTTCTCTCCGCTGGCGTGCCACACTTTATGTCACTATCCAACGGCACTGTCTTCTGGATTTCGCCAACCATGGTCTGCCACCGAAACTGACCTTCATAGCTCGCCAGCCAGCCGCAAAGCTTCGGGCAATGGAAGGCTTCCCGAAAGAGCTTGGCTCAATCGAGAATATTACCGGCCAACAGACGAATGTGTACATATTCGGATGTGTTATTATCCCGCGCCCACTCTAAGTTTGCGTCTTCAATCTCAAACCGGACGTTTGGAGAAACTCATGTTGGTTGGATTGGAGTAATGTCTGTGCCGATAACTTCAGCGTTGGGAAACATATCGCCAGCATCACTGGCAACAAGTTATTAGCCTAACATTGAGCGAAGTAGAATCACATCTGTACTGTGGGATCTATTGCTACCTGCACGGACATATTCTCCTCGGTGTTTTTTCCAAGGGAAGAGAGATTTGCTGGATCTAGGAGGACAGTTGAATATAGATACAGAGCAGAAAGAGATCGATAACGAGTTGATAAAACTATTCGCAGTGGTAGAAGGCTAGTTTGTGCCATGTTCAGAGCATTTCACTGTAAACCATGATACTTATGTCCGATCCAAGAAGTTTAACTGACAGAAAGCAGGACTGTCTTGATAACCTGACACAAGGTTGCACACGAGGAGCTCGGAAATACACAAAACATGCAGGTAGTAGTGCCAGATACGGCGCGTGCCATAAAGTGACTTGCTTTTAACCATTCTTAACCTCAGTTTCAGCATTTTGAATGGGTGAAAAAAGTGTCTCTATGAGCTTCTCGGAGTCAGCGAGATCGTAATGAAGAACAAACTGGACGTTTACACTTACCCAACGGTCCAGCTCTCGAGTATTCTCATTGAACTCCGCATATTTGGCATCCAGACGGTCTGATAATAAGAGTTAGGCCATGTATTGACATGATAAATTATCGTATAAGACCGCATACCAGACATGACAAAAGTAACAGGACGGATAGCGTCGTTGGCTCTTAGCGAGTCAAGGAACCTGGTCGCCGCATCCGCTGTGCCAACTTGGCCGATCACGAATTTCACGCCTGTTCCAGTTGTTAGCCCTGCATGTTTTGCTGAACCATGCAAATAGGTACTTACAATTGCGAGGAAATCCCTTTTCCTCCAACCTTTGACCACATTCAACAATAGCATTCACCAGTGTATCCCTCGGCTCAGGCTCAGGCATGCCGTCCGTGATGATGGTGATAAGCAGAGGACGCTCAAATAATCCGGCCTCCAACTTCTGATATACGAGCGGTTGAAGGATCTTCGACTTAAGAGATGTGCCAATAGGGGTATCGCCACGAGGTCTGAGTGGCTCAGTGATCCGTTGAAGATCTTCCACACTTAGATTTGACGCGCTCCCTACATTTTGGTTAATGAAGCATAATTCGACGCCCTCATCGTCCGGAAGAACTGTTGTGGCTATGCGAGCTATGCGCTTAATGAGTTCTCTCTGGCTTTCCCAACGACCTTGCCTGTTCATTGATGAGCTATCGTCTAGGTGGGCGTCAGTACTTAAGACTCAACTAAAATAAATGGAAAGTGGCTTAACATACCACAGTAGATAACCTGCTGATGAAGGTTGACCTTCACGGTTTTAGGGAGAACTTCCGGTTCTCCGAGTGAGGTGCTGGTATCATTGGAGAGGTCAACCGTCTTTTTCGCTATCGTCTGAACAAAGTCGATCTTGTCTTTAAAGAATCTCTCCAGAACCCCTCCATCCTTGATGAAAGTGTCCACCTTCCCCACGAACTCGTCTTTTGTCTTCGGTTCGCCTTCGAGGGCAGCAGGCTGCACAATCATCAAGTTAGGACTACTTCAATGGGCAAAGATAATTTGACCACTTGAAATCCATGCTTTAAAGAGAGATGTTCTCACCACTTTGACCTTTTTTCTCTTGAACAGCTTGGATGGATTCCACCTCGAAATGGCCCTCAAAGCCCCTTTGATGAGCTTGTCGGCTATCGAGACGACCAACAGTACGCTGTTGAGCGCAAACATGGCCACTTTATTTCGAACCGCCTTTTCCTGGATCGGGTCAAGCGCAAGCATGACCAAACTCTTCCTCCCCTTTCCACCTGCCTGGGCCTCGGCTCTCTGCAGAGCTGAAAACCCATCGTCGTCTTTGATGCCAACCGAAGCTCCGTGTTTCCTCAGCTCTCGAATCGATCTCAGATCCTCCTTCTCCACGGCAAACATGAGAGGAGTCTTGTTGCCGGCGGCCTGGCACGTCATGTCGACTGTCTTTGGGGCGTACCTGAGTAAATAGTGGATCAACAGTGCCTGTTCCTTTTCTGCTTTCCAAGCAGCGAGAAGAAGGGGAGTCTCGCCATCACCAGAGAGCCCAGCCGGGTCGGCTCCCCACTCAATTAGATCCCGGGCAAGGTAGGCGTGACCAGCAACAGCTGTCGCGAGAGGGGTGTAGCCTGTGGCCGGATCCAAACGAGTGAGGACAGCCGAATCCTTGAGCCGATGGTCATCCAAGCGGCGCTTATCGAGAGTGTCTTTGCGGGCGTCTTCGAAAATGGACATGATGAAGGAATGGTTCGAGAAGCGGAATGGATTAGAAAACAAAGTGTTTGAGTCAAAGCGGCCTGTGCGGAGGTTGTCCAGGTGAGTAACCGTGAAGGTTGGTGGGACGTGCAATAAGCCAGCAGCGTTCTGAAGAGCACATCGTTGCTATTTAACTGTTTCGTCAGGCTTTTTGTTGAGTTGATGACTTTGAGTCTTACGTAGGGTCATGTCTAGAAGGCACTTGCTGCTTCTTACTCAAACTTCCAACGCAAACGTTCCCAGATTTGGTCAAACTTCTTTCAGCTACATAGTGAAGCTATCCCAGAGGTTTTGTGACCCTCTAATTTGCCACGTCTTGGAATGGCTCGACATAACCAAAACTCTGGAATACCATTCTAGTTCTAGGTTGGGGGTTGAAAGCCATTAGGACGGGATAACATAAGGCTTATGATGCGTTGGCACCAGGGATAGGCTTCGATTTCGGTGTTTCTTTAGGGCCTGTTATCGACAGGTCAACAAACCCTACCGTCAGCATTGACCGGTTGTGAAATGTATCAGCTTCTAGCATTGCCTTCAAGCCCCAAACTGCCTGGAGGGACTATCAGGCTGCAACATCAAGTGCTTCCCTGCATATGGCGTTCTTCTCTTCCACGTGGGGGACCACAATGCGATCTTCCACATTTCCACTCGTATGTATGCTTATGACTGGACGCCATCAGGCATGAATGCCATTGTCGGGCGTCAAATTGCGTAGCCTGGTTCTCTAAAATGGTTGAAGCTTCCCCATTGTGATGTAGCCGGTACGATGAAACGTGCCGACTCGAAGACTTAACGTGGGGTACGGCATTGTCGATGATCGGTCACAAGGCTCAAAAATAAAGAGTTAGGCAGAGAAGCCAATTCTCATCGGGCGTTCAAACCCCGAGCTGAAGAAAATTTGAAGCCATCGAGCGTTGAGCTAGTTTCTAGTGCGTGCCGTGTCTCCCCCTGATTGGCACTCGGTAGTTTCTCCTGCCTATCATGGTTGCAGCTCATCGACTCTATCATTAGCACATGAATTAGATTGAGCCACTGACGATATCAAGTTGGGGTTCGGGTATCGTTGATTGGCGACTGCTGTGATCAAACTTAAAAAAAATTCTTGGTTTTCAGGAAGATGAATTCGAAGGTTCCACGAGAAAAGTACATGGACTTGCGCCAGCCGACCCAGAAGAAGCAACATTGGAAACTGTCCCGGAATAGGCTCGGTCTTCTCATTTGAGGCAATCCGTAGACTGTGTTGTGCAACCCGGACCCGAGAGAAATGATAAACGTGACTTGCGAATAAGAGCCGCCAGATTGTCGAAGTACTTTATGACTCATGAGTGAATTTATGAACAAGACCGGAGAAGGGATGATGGAGGGTAAAGATGCAGCAGGATGACCAAGGCTTTAGTCAGGCTCAGGGAGCTACGACAGTGACCCTCTTGGAAATATCCTCCTGGGGTGTGTATAAGGCGCGCGTTCACGATCCTCTGTCGAGTTGGATCAATGGCCACTCGAGGCACTCTCTTATTCTCGCCAAGTGGCCATGATCCTGAGAGGAGATTCCAGTGTGTCACTCCTTCTTCACATTCTTTTCACTAGCCGCACACCTTACCCACTCTCAAAACGATTGCCTTCCCACAATGCAAGCAGCTATCAACTCCCTGCGTACCAAAGGCGTACTGGTCCTGACACCAGACGATAAGGACACGCGCAAGGAATACGAGCGCGCCATCGCAACCAATAACCTGCAATTCCGCTTCTCGCGGCCCGAATGTGTGGTCCAGCCCGAAAACACGTCGCAAGTGCAGGCTATCGTGCGCGAGGCCCGGCGGCGTGGCATTAGGCTGACTATCAAGTGTAATGGACACTCTTATGCTGGGTTCTCCACTGCCTTCGAGGGAATTTCCCTCGATTTGCGGAGGATGAATCGCGTGTCGCTGGATATGCAGCGCAAGGTGGTCACATTTGATGCTGGATGCCAGTGGGGGCATGTGTATAGCACCTTGGTGAATGGACGGCATGTGGGATGGATAATCAATGGCGGCCGGTGTCCTACTGTTGGCGTGGACGGGTTTATACTTGGCGGGGGGCTTGGACCATTCACGAGAAGCTTCGGTATGGGGAGCGACACGCTCATGGAGGCAACAATGGTGACGGCTGATGGGGAGGTCGTGACAGTTTCGGAAAATGATTCTCCTCAGTCGCCAAAGGGCAGACTCTTTTGGGCGCTGCGCGGAGCCGGACAGGGTAGCTTCGGCGTGGTTACGGAGATGAAGCTTAAAGTCCAAAAGTTGTCAAGCCGGGACGGTACTGTGGTTGCTGGTCGGTACCAGTGGTTCCCCAAAGATGGGATCACTGACGAAGTCCTCGAGGCCATGAACTCTTTCTATACCACCGACTGGCCACGCAACATGACCATTGACAGCACCTGGATGTGTGACCTTCGCCAGTCTGTTGGCGACGGGGTCCGCTCCATCATAGCGTTTGACGGAAGCAAGCCAGAATATGACCGCAAGATCGATCGATTCATCGCGCATGAGGAGTTGCGGAAGCAGTTGAAGCGTCGTGTACTGCCCGAGCCGTCAACTCGTTTCCTGTACGAGACGCTGGTCAACCAGTGGATGGAAGAGACCGAGCGAGCGTTCCCAACCAACAAGACGTATGAGCTGTTCAGCTCTTTTGTCTACACCATTGAGGACAAGGGAAAGATCCAAAAGATCACGGCAACCATTCGAGAGCTGATGAAAGAATTTAAAGAGTCTTTCCGCGGGGAGCAGGTGGCCTTCTTCGTGACTTGGATTCATGCTGGAGGGCGAGCCACAGACTTCGCGCCGACTGACACAGCGTACTTTTGGCGAGGGGCTGTCTATCATGCCTATGTCACCGTCGAATGGGTCGACAAGTGGATGGAGCTGGATATGCGATTGTTCCTGGCCAAGGTCAAGCGGGCACTCCGGCCACTATCAGTGAATGGCGAGGCTGCGTTCCTGAACTTCCCTGACCGGGACTTCCCAGCAAGTTTTATGAGAGGGCGTACTTTGGGGGCAATGCCGATGAGCTGAGGAAGGTTAAGAAGATGTGGGATAAGGACAACTTCTTCAAGTATGCACAGAGCGTAAAGCGGCCGGAGGATCCAGATGAAGAACCGGATCAAGAAAGAAAAGAAACCGAGGAAGATCGGACTGATAGATTGGCAAGCGAGGCATGGGCCTCTTACCAGATAGAGGATTTGGATAAGACCTGTGAAGAGTTGGCTGACTGGGGATTTTGAACACGTCGGGGACGGCGATGTAAGGAATATCGTATTGATAGCCATCAGTAAAGATGCCGGAGAGATTGCTCATTCCCTCGTTGCGTCTGTCTTATATAGCACCTATCCACCCATATCTATATACATATCAGCCATGAACTTTCATATAGATGTCATCCCTCATTTATCATCATCCATACAGCGACCAGTTCGACTGTAGTACAACTTCCGAAACCAAAAACGCCTATGCCAATTAGAACAGTACGAGCGTGAGCTCTGTATCGTGAGCAAGATGTCGGGATCACAAAAACATTCGGCAGACAGAAACCGCCCATATGGTGCCTTCTTGTCGTTAAAAGCGTCGCATCACAGCCCAGAGAAAAGTATGGGCTATCTCTGCAATCGAAGTGATCTCATGCGATTGAAAAGGAAATCCAGGAAAGGTGAGAGAAACGTCGAAACTACTGATCGAGGCAAGGATCATGCACGACTCATTTCGCTCTCACTTGTCGATGATGTTGTGCTCGTCGTTGTGGTCGTTGTGCCATGCATGCTAGAGCGAGCCATCACTACGAGGTGATAGATGCCGAAGGCGATGGCAGCAAGCAGGATGAAGAGGATGATAATAATGAGGGCGATGACGTCGTTCTTCTTCATTTTGAATGCGAGTTCTGGTCAAGTTCCACACGGCGTTCAATTTGTGAGCTCCGGGATGGGTTGTGCTTCCGTCGCAGAGTCGGCAAGGTCTGAAAACCGGAAACTTGGGGGGAAAAGGGGGAAACCGTCACGCGACAGCGTCTAGCCGATTGCACGTCTCTGGAGCGTCTCTGGAACAGAATGACGCGGAGGGCCCGGAAACCAACAACGAGAGTAAGCTGAACCCAGTAAAAGACAGTCCACCGGATAACAAAGTAACCGGACGAGATGGGGGTCAATACAGTAGAGTCGGCAGTTGAAGCCAGGAATGGGGTCGACCTGAGAATTGGGAAAGATAAGGCGCGATCCTGTAACTGTTGAAACACGACTACCGTTTATCACTTCAATTTGTGCTCGATGATGCAGCAACCGTGTCAATGTCTTCGAACAACTGTGCCAAACCAATCAGCAACCCGAAAGGGACACATGCCTAAGTTTCGCAAAGACGGTGAAAGGGAATGCTTACCGCCGGCGTCACAGCAGCTGGCCGAAGCAGGATCTAGTGTTGCGCAAACAGCGGGAAGCTGTGTCAACGGATGACGTCTTCGCCCTCACAGAAGGAGAATGAGGGGGAGCGGAGTAAATAAACTGGCAGCCAGTCTCGTCTAATAGGCGCAATGTCGTCCGAGCGTAGTCTTGGTTCAACAGGACCCGCGACAGGACTCCTAACGAAAAGGATGGTATAAATTCATCCAAAATCTAGACGATGTAAAGGAACATAAGGTTCAGAGGTTGGGTCAGCCGCGTCCTGCGCGGGTGGCAGGGCGGCGCGGTCAAATAGGATGGTTGCCCCGCCACCTGATTGTTCGGCCGGAATCAACAAAAAGAGAGAGGCTGGCAAAAGTCTCGGCGCCGCCAAACGTGGCCGGGCCAGAGCTTGGCAGCCCGATGCTACCCCTGCCCTCCCAATGGACAAGGGTGCACGAGCCACCGCGGGCCCTACGCAGCACCCTCGTTGATCAGACTTGCGCTGGGGAGCTCATCGAGGCGCTTGCCGCCGCTCGCTGCCTGCTGTGATGTGTGTCAGTTGGCTGCCACATCCAGCTATGACTTGACACAAACGACACGGGATGTTGATTAATGACAAGAACGCCATACCAAGATGCAGGGTTTTGTTGCCACGAAGTGTCTCGCTGCGCTGTCTAACCTGAGAGTGCCAACGGGGATGAACTACACACTGAGGTTAAAGGTCGAAGAAAAAATCGATTCGCCAGTCCGAACGCCAAGAGTCCAAATCCTGAAAAGCATGCTCCTTTCCATACTCCATACCGCACCAAAATTAGGCATCAGACATATGAACTCCCCGAACAGATTTTGATGCTTGAACTTGTTCAGGCGGCGGTTGTGGTTGTCTAATAACCACGTGTGATTCGTAAAAACGGAGCATCTAAGGGAGAGGGGGTGTCAGCGTAATGGATATGTAAGCTCAGACTCCTTCTACTTTCAGCACTCACCTTCTGTGGGCATCTTTGATATACCACTTCGGTTGGGTGTTGTGTCTTCTGGCCATTTTTCCATCTGAGATAGACGAGAAGTTTATTTTGTTCATCAACGCAAACATCAATATGATCAATGTGGTCTTCCCAACTTCCCGGTGGCGGCTTCCAGATTTCCTCCTTCGCACTAGATGGCGGCTCTGAATGCACGGGATGCTCTCCGTTTCTCCTCGACCGCTTGTTTGCGTTGGCTTGCTGGTGCGCCGACGACGGGCGACCCCTCTTTTTGGTTTTTAGGGCATTGGCTGTCTCTTCAAAGAGTTTTTCTCGGCCGCCGATACTCTCTAGGTACTCGTTTAATGCTTCCTGGGCGTTTTCTCTACACCATGGTTAGCGCGCTTCTGGTCCAAGATTTCCCAAGAGGCAGACGCAATACAACAGATTCTCTTCCGGTTCCCATGTCATATCGGACGGATCATCGTAGCCTTCCCACTTCACCTGGAAACGTGGCTCGCCCTGCGAACCATCGTTAGTGCGCAATCCATGTATCAAGAACAGAGGGGAATTAGAACATACGGTTTTAGGATCGATCATGTGGTTGCAAATTCTCTCCACGACGTAACTGTTTCCAATGCTCAGTCTCAGCCGCATAAACACTCGTGATATACAATCCTGACAGGCGTACACCTCCTCATTTTGTTGCTCGTCGTCATCCGGGTCGTCTTCCCCAAATTCGTCCTCTTCGCGCTTAACTTTGAGATTATTTTCAGGGGTTTCCTCCTTGGATAAAGACTTTCGCCCGCGGCCACTCTTTTTTGTGGTCACCGGAGGAGGAGTAAGTTCGCGATCCGTAGCCTCATCGTCGCTGAGCGCTGCGCATCACATGCTGTCAGAACAAGCTTCCACATCGAAATGCGTCGCAGGGTTGTGCGTGCAACACATGCGCAGCCTGATCGCACTTCAATTGAGAAAATTTTGAATCGCAACGCAGGGAGGAAAGGGTTTGAGAATTGCATACTTACCTGGCGGCATGTTGGCAGAAAGAGGCTTGTGAGGCTGGCGCGAATCGAGCGCAAAGCGTTGAGATCGCTCGCGTTAGCGGCGCTCGAATCAGACCCTGGCTTGTGATGCAAGAGTCGAGAGCACTGGCGGGTCCAGCTTCGCAGACCCGACGCGAAAAAGGTGAGGCTGGGCGTTGCGATGGTGTGGCGAGTGTTGCCAGTATCACGTGATAGTGTGGCGCCGAAGGAGCGGGAAGCTGGCTGCCGAGTTGCTGGAAGGGCGGTCGTTGGAGACACAGATCAATGGAGCACCCATCAACCAACCAACGAAGCTCGCACCTCGTCAGGCTTTCAGTATTGGAGCTTGAAAAGTTGAGACTCAGAGAACGCTTTTAGAGCCACAAAGAATATCCTTTGATGACATCAAGCAGTGTGGAAAGCAGGGATGGAAGATTGTCAATGTGTGGGCTTGAGTCTTTCCTCATTTTACTCAGTGCTCCACCTCATGAGAAGGCACAATTTACCACTGCTTTTCCTGTCGGCTCTGCCAAGCAGATGTCACTCTTCAGCTTCGAGGCCACCTCTTCCCCCCACCTGCACCGTACAGAAAAATGATGCCTGATGACCGCCTTGTATTTTGTGCCCTTCAACAGCTTTATCTGGGTTTGTCTTTTTCGAGCAAGGATATTGTTGGGCGACGGAGCGTTTTCAGTAGATCATCAACAGAACGTAGCAACCATGAACAGAGACATGGCTGGAGAGCTTAAATGACACCTCTTTGCAGGAAACCTATCTAGCGTTTCTGATTGCCATATATAATTTTCATCTGCATTTAGGAAGAGACTTCCCAAAAATCATGACTTGCAATTGCGCCTATCGGTTCTCAACGGTTGATCAGCACGATCGGGCTTGATTCGACTATCACGTAATTTGCTGGAATGGGGATTTCCATCTACTAACTAAAAGCTTGAGCTCTTGAAAGCCTCTGAATTTTGACTATGCTTGTGGTTCAAACGTTCCGACAAACTTTGTCGTCGAAAGAAGGCTAGCAAAAAAACAGACAGTCCCTACGAACATACTGTGATGTACTTCTACACCACCGAAGACTCGAGGATCTGAACCGCCGATCAAGCGGTGGCTTAGTTACTTGATCTTGACAAGATCTTGTTCCCACAGTGATCTTCCAAAACAAGCAAACTGCAGAGCACTTTGGCGGTGAATCGCAGGCCGCAAGATCGCTCCTACCGCGCGATCCGGAACCTGTCGATTTGATTCCTCGCTTTGGGCTGCTCCAGTCCAGCGGGTCGGCCCCAAAACCTGACACGGAATTAAGGTGTGCGGTCACCGCCTTGGCAGGCTGGGGTGCGGCGACGCTAACGAACTGCTGGAACCGCCAAGAAGGGCACCATTGGTCCGGAAGCAGCACCCTCTAGCGCCGGCCAGAGCTTACCGTCTAGCTTCCCAGGGGCATGGGATGAGCTTGTGGAAGAGTGCGCGCAAAAGTTTCTCCTTCCTGGAAGGCCAGCAACATGAAGGGGACGACGCTAGCGACACATGGCACCACCCGGAGAGTGAACAAAAGCCGATATGTGACAGCTCTAAGTCGGGGGGCCTGAAAAAAGCAAAAGACGATGCAGTTGTGACCAACGCAAGACAATTCTCCTCTGAGAAGGAATGTGGACCTGATCAACGGGTGTCTCTGCGTCTTGTTTGGTCTTCGGCTTCCGAATAATGGATCTAGAAGACAATCTGGAGGAATACGAATTGGGATGATGAAAAATTCTGCGCGGAACAAATGAAGTAGCCGTCAGAATATGCCCGCCTAAAAAAGAGAGATTGGAAGCTTCCATTGTCATGAGACAGGCCCATCAGCAGATTGCTTGTTCGAACCGAGCCCCTGGGACCCTCCCAAGATCAAGCATGCGGTCCAGCCCGATGATCACCGCCAAGCCCCTGACCGGCAAAACGGTGCCCTCCGCCGGGTCTGGTCTTTGCCGTCTTCGGTGGAGGCTTCCATGCTTTCCAGGATTCTTGATCCTAGGAATCTGATTCCTGAGAGCAGGGGGTTTTCCGATTTGAGCATGTCAGAGTCCACCTAAGGGTGGATGAGAATTGATGAGCGTGCTCGGGGCAGGCTCTCCGAGCCGCGCACCTAGTCGCCGACAGGCCAAGCGTTTGTGGTTTACTTGTGGTGAGGATAACAACTGTTACACCGCAGCGATCGATCATGAAGGTCGAGGTTCGATCGAGGGAAAGACAACGAGACCCTGGAGCCCGGTCTGTAATTCCCGCACTCCCACTTACGACACTCACAGATATGTTACGTGCGGCATGCAACTCCGGATCCGACTATCACGCGGATTCCCTGCAGCGGATGCAGTCCAACGGCTCACCAAGCGCCCACAGCCCAGGTACATGCGTTAACGACCAGCAGGGCCCTGCTTGGTCAATGCCTACCCGGTCCGGTCGTGATACTTAGTCAGGAAACCAGACCCAAAATATGGAACGAACCGCTTTTGATGAAGTGGAAAGCATGGGTCTGTCAGAAACACCCGGCATGGATTCTTGCAAGCTTTTGATCATTCGAGACACGCGTCCATCATGACAAGACTTTTTAAAGGCCCCAGTTCTCGTCATCGGCCCGCCTTCACACTCCGCAGCCGCTACTTACACTAGATGCCACCCTCTATCACCCGACGGCTGGATCTCCCTTCGGGTGATGTGTAATTCAAAAGGAGTATCCCACCTGATACATCAGGAATTACTCACCGCAGGCGTCCGGTCTCAACACTGCAGTCAGGCTTTGGTCCAGTCTAAAACCACCATTCGAGAACCACTTCCACTCAACCAAGCAAGATGGCAGAGGCTGCAACTCGACCTCCGCCGAAGGCCGTCAAGGACAAGAAATGCCCGTATTGTCACCAGGCGTTTACGTCTTCGTCTCTCGGCCGTCATCTGGACCTCTACATCCGGCCCAACAACCCCAAGGCCCCCGATGGCATCCACGATGTCGAAGCCATTCGGAAGTTGCGCGCCAATATTACCCGCAGACAGCCCAAGGGCTCCCGAAGGAACGCCTCCATTTCAGGCACTCCCGCTGCTGCCACAGCGAGCAAGAGCGGTGATGCCAACTCGTCTGCCCCGCGGTCTCCTTTGACCCTGAGGGATTTGTCCAGGGAGAGTAGTGTAATCTCAAGGGCCTATGGCTCCAACAGCCTTTGGGACATGACCGATTTGGAAAAAGAAGGAGATGGACGGTATACGCGAGCTACGACGCCAACCCAACAACGTCGGCAGCTACTCAAGCTGCAATTTGACATCAGGCAGCAGCTCCAGGATGCCAAGGACAGGGCAAAAGCTGCAGAACTCGCTCTCAGGGAGTTGGTTGCGTCTTTTCGAGCAGCTCAGTGCGTTTCCCCCGATTTTCTTGCGCCACTTGTGTCGGGTCATGCTGACCCAGATGACAGACAGCAACTCGAGGCGCGCACGGGACCCTTCGACTTTGACCCTTTCTCGTTCGACTTTCCAGCCCTAACTCTTCAGTGTTTGGATCCTCCACCTACTCTGTTTGCCTCTACCCAGCACTCGACACCCACCTCATGGTCCATCCAGCCGCCGAATGAGGGCCAACTGGAGGCGCTGAGGACGTACTTCCGGGAACACTTCCGCCGCTGGAAGCTTGAACAGGCCACCAAGATTGCATCAGCAACTGAAGAGTTGGCAAACGCATCGGCAGGCCAAACAGCGAAGCATGACGCGAAGACTGAGGTCAGCAGGTTCGAACGGGATTCCGAGGAGATGGAAAAGCATGTGGAAGATCATCTGAATGCCACCTACATGATCTGGAGCTCCTTACCGCAGGAGCAACGTGACCATTTGTGGCGACTGGAGCTTGCACGCGCTGTCGGCCGGAAAAAGAAGGATAATAATGAGCTTAAGTTAAAAAATCGTCTACTTCAACAGGAGATCGCGAAGTTGCGGTTGGAAGTCGACCAGCTTCGCAACAAGGACGAGCCACGCGAGTTCAAAGTTGTTTCCCCTTCGACACTGTATTTGGATGAGAAGATGCTAAGTCTGTTACTGGAGGAGGGGCTGTTGAGCGGAAAGAACGGTCTGGGCTTAAGCCTGGCTGACCGCAACGTAGACCTCTCTAACGTTGTCTCGGCTGCCATTAATAGATGGAAGGATGTCATCGTCGCGGAGCGGACTGTCCTGGGTGGCTTACAGGCACAGAGACCACTTGTTTCCAGGGCACCAAGCCCAACACCGTCAACTGCTAGACTGGATCAACAGTCACTGTCGCAGCCGGCCACTTCGATGCCCACTCCTGTCGCGAGCTATCCCCCTTCTGGGACCTCAACGGCGCTTTCACTTACGCCAACTGGGACAGCATCCGCTTCGGCTCCGGTGCTGGCGACAACCGCCCAAGTTACAGGAGCAGCAAGTGATGTCGATGAATCCATGAGTGACCATGATGGTGAAGGCGACGAAGACGGTGATGCAGATGGCGATGCGGACGGAGACGCCGATGCCGATGCAGACTCTGGTCCCGCAGGTTCGAGCGAAAATAATCCAGATGCCAACCACGGAACTGGACATGATGTCGACGGCGATGCTGAAGGAGATGTTGACGGCGACGCCGAGATGGACACAGATCCTGAACCGGGCCCGGCTCAGGTCCCGGATACAACACCGTCCAATAACGCGGCAGCGATGACATACACACATGCGCATCTGCAGCCCCTCCACCAAGCAACTCCACATCATTCGCCGCAGCTACCCCAGACGCAACTGCAGATCCATCCCCAACCACAGCATACACTGCCTCAGCATCTTCAGCAACACCAGTCGGTGCAAGCTCAGATCCAGCAGCAGCAGCAGCAGCTGCACCATGCTCTCGCCATGGCTCAGGTCTCACAACATCAGCAGACCCAGCAACATGAGATAGCTGCGGCGCATATAGTTGGAGGAATGGCACATCACGGAGTTCTGCACGGCGGGATGCCTGGGTGGGAGACGGGATGCTGACCTAGGAGCGGGGGAAAAAGAGGGGGGAGAAGAGTGACACTGGGAACATGGTGCAGTTTCTCTCGGAGTGTGAATAGGAAGCTTCTGTGGATAGACATATCGTATATAGATCAAAATTCGGTAGTGCCATTGTAAGTCACAAGCTGACCTTTTAGCTCCTCCGCCAGATCAACCATTAAAAAGTCGAGCAATTCCGTGCGTATTAAGCAGCCGGGGAAGGCGGGAAACACTAGCTTCTGTGTTGAAACATGCCTAGGTCCCCTCAGGTGACATGCGAACTGGCGATTCTCCAAATTCTTGAACCAACCTTCTCAAGCTTTCGTGCACAACCCTCCTCGTGATGCTCAGGGGCTTGGGAGAGAGCCAAAGACCGACGAAGATGTGAAGTGGGTAAATCCTACGATTGCAAGACAGGGTTAGGGTTAGTTCACTCACAATCCTCCTACATGAGCCATGTCTTGGCTCAACGCAGCCACACAAGCCACATCAAGTGTGATATCAATAACGCCAACCCCTCCATGACTCACCCCGCCGATCCCTGAAGTTTCAGCAAAAAAATTCACCCCACAGCGGGGTATATTTCCAACAAGTGGGACCGCAAGGAGAAACCTCTCGTCTTGTCTCGTCTACACAACAGCGACGTCGGACCTTAAGAAAGCCAGCAAACCATAAGGGGACTCGCAATTGCGCACCTTTTGTGATTCCGCTGCTCTCGAATTTTTAAATCCTATAAAATTGCCCCTGTGTCGCTCGAACTTTTCGAGGAAGTTTCACAGGCCCGGCGCGAACCAACAGCCATTCCACAAACCAACACCCCACCAACACATCAGCACACAGCCGACCAATTGATCGCCAACCAAGCGAAAGCAATTACCACCATGGCTTCCTCGAACGCCTCCGTCCCCAATAACGAGGGGTCTGCTGCCCCGGCGGCTGCGCCCAAGCCGCCGACGGAGGAGATGGCCAATCTCCACCTGGATGAGGTGACGGGAGAGTGGGTGTCCAAGACGGAGTTGAAAAAGCGCCAGAAGCAGCGCCAGCGTGAGGCCGACAAGGCGGCTAAGGCGGCGGCTGCCCCGAAGCCTACTGCTAAACCCAAGGTTGCGGGCGGCGACGAGGAGAAGGATCTGAATCCCAACCAGTATTATGAGATCCGCACGCGCCATGTCGCTGAGCGTATGTATATTGAAAAAGGGGAACATATGTGAAGAGCGGACGCTAACGGGACAACAGTACTCAAGAATCCCGAGACCAACCCGTATCCGCACAAGTTCCAGGTCACCTACGATGACTCCAAGTTCCATGAGGAGTTTCGTCACCTCAAGTCGGGCGAGACCTGCCCCGAGCGCGAGCTGCGCATTGCTGGCCGCATCTACAACAAGCGCGCCAGCGGCTCCAAGCTGATCTTCTACGGTATGCTCTTCTTTCATACCGCTGTGGTTCTTTGCTGACAACGCAGATATCCGCACGTCGGCTGACGCTGTCAGCATCGGCACGCACATCCAAATCGTGTGCCAGGCGCAGAACGTCAAGGAGGGTGCTCTGCCGTTCGAAAAGCAGCATGAGAACATTCGCCGTGGAGACATCATTGGAATTGTTGGTTTCGCTGGTCGCACCAACCCAAAGAACCGCCAAGCTGAGGGCAAGGAGGGCGAGCTGTCCATCTTTGCGACCGAGATCGTCCTACTCAGTCCCTGCCTGCACATGCTGCCAAGCGTGCGCTTCCCGTTCTCGGATAGCGAGCAGCGGTGAGTTTTGATTATTTGGATCTGTGTAAGGTGTATTTTCTGACGGAAATAGCGCTCGTATGCGCTACCTTGACATGCTCTGGAACGACAAGACTCGCCAAATTCTCTGGCAGCGCAGCCGTATGGTGCGCTTTATTCGCGAGTGTACGTACTGTAATGCTCTGGAGAAGGTTTGGTATACTAACTGTGGTCAGTCTTCCATCAGCGTCGCTTCGTTGAGGTTGAGACTCCGATGATGAATTCTATTGCTGGCGGTGCCACTGCTGTAGGTTGCGGAACCTGAGATTTGGTTGAAGTTTTTGCTAATTCAACAGCTTCCGTTTATCACCCATCACAATGACCTTGACATGGACATGTACTTGCGTGTTGCCCCTGAGCTGTTCCTCAAGAAGATGATTGTCGGCCAGTTCGGCAAGGTCTTCGAAATTGGCAAGAACTTCCGTAACGAGGGCATCGATCTCACCCACAACCCCGAGTTCACTTCGTGCGAGTTCTATTGGGCGTACGCTGATGTGTACGACCTGATGTCGCTGACGGAGGAGCTCGTGTCATCGCTCGTTAAGGAGTTAACCGGCTCCTACAAGACGACCTTCACAACACAACACGGCGAGACCTTTGAGGTCAACTGGGAGGCTCCCTGGCGCCGCGTCGAGATGATCCCCGAGCTGGAACGCGTGACCGGCGAGAAGTTCCCGCCGTACGATCAGCTGCACACCGAGGAGACCAACCAATTCCTGCAGCGGCTGTGCAAGAAGATGAACGTCGAATGCCCGCCGCCGCTCACCAACGCGCGCATGATCGACAAGCTGACGGGCGAGTTCATCGAGTCGACCTGCATCAACCCGACCTTCATCCTCAACCATCCGCAAATGATGAGCCCGCTCGCCAAGTACCACCGCGATCAGAAGGGTCTGTGCGAGCGCTTCGAGGTGTTCGTCTGCAAGAAGGAGATTGCCAATGCCTACACCGAGTTGAACAACCCCTTCGACCAGCGCCTGCGCTTCGAGGAGCAGGCTCGCCAGAAGGCCCAGGGTGACGATGAGGCGTATGTGAAACCCACAAAATCGTTCCATGTTGGATGTAATGCTAATATCTCTGCAGTCAGCTCATCGACGAGAGCTTCCTCCACGCCATGGAGTACGGTCTGCCTCCGACGGGTGGTTGGGGCCTGGGTATCGACCGTCTGGCCATGTTCATCACCAACAACTACTCGATCCGCGAAGTCATTGCTTTCCCCTTCCTGCGTGAGGAGAAGACGGCGCCCAAGGAGAAATTCGCGGCTGAAATCGCGAACGTTCAGCCCCTCCCTGAGGAGGGTATCCGTAAGTGATGAGTTACTTGGTGGTTACGGGATGCAAATGCTGATGGCTGTGCCGCAGCCCACAAATAAACCTTGGAATGGACCTGAAGCGCGGCGTGAGGTAGTAATAGAGGTTTCCTGTTAGGGTTTTGAAATGTTGATAGGAAAAAGATAGAAAACGGGTAGTATTCACTGATGTAGTTGGCATGGTATGTCATGTAGGGCCAAGTGTGAATTGATGTTTTTGCAGCGCTGTAGTAGGTGGTTTTTTGCTCGAGTCGAACTGAACCTGTCTGGCTATGTAGTGTTTGGGGTTATCAGTGGGAAAGTGGCGAGCAGTTCTCGTCAACCAGGGATTCCTTCACTGATATTTGCCGCTGAGCACACAACACTATATTTGGAGTTTTACGCAAAGGTAAAGCTTCAATAGCAGTGGTACAACCTATAAGTCAAACATTGCCACTCATTGCACTTTATGTCCTGGAGAGCTTCTTTGGCGACTACTCCTAAATTGGGAGTTATCATCCCCGAGCCAACAAAGGGTAAAAGCAATGAGTCATTTCTATACTCGATCAATATACCCACTGACCCTGTATCGCTGCCAACAGGATCGGTGGGCTTACAGTGCCCTGGTGGAGCTCGGCCGGCCGGCGGCCATCACCGAAACACCGGACACAACCTGACCTTCAGGCCGGCGATGCCTCCTCCCAACGACGACTCGGCTCCCTGACTCTCGAGCAGGATATCATGTGGAATATGGCTTGGCAACAAATCATGTTACGAAGTGCTGACAAAATGACATGGGTTAGAGCTCGCTGTTTATACTATCTCAATTGACATATCACTCGTTTATCTTCATCTTCCTTTTTTTGGCCCTCCTATATACTCTATTTTGTCTTCTCCTGTCCACTATACACAGCTTTAGCTTTTTCATCGAAACCTTGAGCATTAACAATGTGGCTTGTGTCCACTTACAAGATTTGGGATACCTCCGGCGCCGTCAGCTCGCCATCACCGGTGAAGGTGGATCCTGAACGGAGTCAACGGATCGCCAAGATGGCCCGGAGCCCAGGCCAGCGCTTTTGCCGAGAGCTTTCCGAGACCAGTTCACTTGTGGACGAGCGTCCGCGTTTGTGACCTCGTGGTTGATCATCGCTTTGTCCTTCTTGTGTTGTAATCTCTGGGTGGTTGTCATCATCTCTAGCTCCTTCTTTCTGTAAGATCTTCACTACCTCTCTCTGCTTTATTTTCCATCATGCAATGCGCTTGATTACACAGGTTTGCACTCAGCAGCCATCAGAGGGCCAGAATTGCTTAAAATTTTCCTGGATACATCAGGAGTGGATGTGGATTGCAGAAGTGAGTTCGAAAGGACTTGTAACTCTTATCCTGGCAACGATTTACCTCTTGGGCGAAAGCATGAAGCTCTTGCTCGAAAATAAAGCCAATGTACATCAACGGGATCAAGAAGGAAAGACTGTACATTGGTATGTTTGTAACTGGGACCTGTCTATGGTGGAAGACAAGTCCTCTGGGTATCGATGGAAGTAATGGATGGGCGGATGAGATGACATGTGTGATCGAAACCACTGGCATATTTGAGGGGCAGTTTCACTCGCTCTGACTGCTCCTCCTCGCTCCAACTAAAGAGAGCATTATGGATGGATGTGTTCCCGTAAAAATTCCGTATGTAAGTTGCGGCGATAGCGCCTTGGCCTTGAATGATGATCAGCTCCAGTGCATCAGGTGGTAAATTGCCCGATGTCTTTGCCATGTGTAGTGGGGTTGATCCCTCACCATTTGATGATCGACAACAGCATCATTTCCAAAGAACATTTTTTCAGGTCTCGAAATAAACCCCTACGAACTGCCGCGTAGATTGTGACCTGTTTCCCGGGGTGCTCATATTGATATCCATTTCTGGAATTCCAAGGAACTGTAGAATGATCTTTCTTACTACGGCACTATAAAATTCGCGACCATGATTCTCAATTGCTAAATGCAAGGGCGTGTCATCATCAGGATCAACATTGTTGGCAATCTGTGGAACTTGTGTCACCAGATGATTAACAATGACAGCCGCTTCACCAAATGTTTTGTTAGCGCAATAATGGAGCAAAGTGGCATATCTTTCCTTGTCATCCTTCTCCTGATGCTGGGTATTTTTTTATAGGAGGAACTTCTCTCGGAGGGCGTTGACCAGTTTGTCACTGTGCTCTTTGGGATGACTGAGCAAGTCGAATTGGGATTGGAGCAATTCTTCAACAAAATACCACTAGTGATATCTGGCTGTGGTAAATTGGAGTCTTCTCCCAGCAGCAGAAGTGCTTTGTAAGGTTGCTTTTAGCATCTTGTTCTCATTATGCATCAGTTTTATAGAACCAAAGAGGTCAGTGACTGCAAGTAGATTCATGAGACTCCGATCTCTTTGATTATATCCTGGTCATGTTCCTTTTTCTGTCTCCAAGGGTGGTGTGAAAGACCGTCCACAGACATCGTGGTTGGGAGGATAATGATCCTAGGATGCAACATGGAATTTCAAGATAGACTGTTGTGTCTCTTTATTCTGTCTTCAATAAAAGTAGTCGAGATTATTCCCTTGAGAAGTTCCATCCTCCTTACTCTGTTGTGCATGATAAATCAGTACAACATTGCATACTTTATAAGTACGTATGTCTCCCATATCTGGTTCTGTATGGTGCCGGCATTATGTCATTCGTAGTATAAGCAGGGTACAGCAAGCTCTTTGAATTTCTGAAGCAGATACGTAACTTGAAGTGAGATGAAGGGTATTCCGTGTTGATGGTGTTGAGAAATTGATCGAAAAATCTTATGGTTGAGCGCGCTTCATTCGTCTTTACATCTTTTTGCCTGAATGTATCCTGGATATGCGTTCTTCTGTTTCAGCCTCGTCCAAAGCATCAAGGAGGATCCAAACGTGGTGCCCTTCCAGCGCTTGGTCAACGGCAGATTTCCAGTACTCCTGAGCTCAGTGATATGCCAGTCCCAATGTCCTCGTACTGCAGGACCACTCTCCTTTTTCTCATCAAATCTGTTGACATTTGATTGTGGAATAAACTTTGTTTGATCGATAAACTTCGTGAAGTAAAGACCGAAAAAGTTCGAGACGAGCCCTCTGCAACGGGGAACCACAACCATGAAAGAAGAAAGGACAAGATAATATCAAGTGGCGTTTCAAAATCCTTACTATTGCAGGGCAAGCTAAGACATCAGTGTAGACTTCCAGAACAGGCTTCCCTTGGATTCACAAGACACTGTGTTTTGGACTGTGATCCAGTCAATGAACTTGGGATGTTGCTGAATCACCAGACTCTATCACAAGTATGGCTCATTGACAAGGCTTCCAACTTCAAGAAGTTGTGTGCCTGAGATTACAATCACGAGCACCTTTCCTAAAACAGAGCGACTTTCTTCGCAGCATATGTCCTGAACGCTCCCGTGTAGACATCACACAACTGGAGAAAAGAAAAGAGTGCATGAAAAGAAGAAACAAAGATATATACTTTGCTTATAGGCTGCCGGGCTCTTGTTAAAACCTGAACACCTATTGTGGTAAGATGCGGGCAGTCCACGAATAACCAAAGAGACGGAGAGCATGTCTATGGGGTCACAGAGAGAAATGGGTAAGTGGTCCTAATCCCAAAGCACTTAGGGCTTGAGGTTTACGGTGCAAAGACTATCTCAAACAAGCCAAAAGGCAGGAAAGTGAGCAGTGAATCACGAATGAGTCACGAAAATGTCATCGCACAATTTTGTCAATTCAGCTCATCTACCAGCTGCGAGTCTGACTACCCAACAGCTTGGTCACTTGCAGCCAGTTTTTCTACCTTCAACCCAAGTGATGATGATGCCCAGAGTTCCAAAAGTCCGCACTGCAGGCGTTTAGCCATGCATTCCATCTGTATATAGTTCCCCCATATTATACCTCAAGGAAAAAAAAAGCGCCGGTATCCCAATGCTCAGCTCAACAGCAAACCAGACAAGGAAACAAAAAAGGAAAAGTACCCAGTCTATCCAACTATATGTCAACTTCAAGCTCAAACCCCATTTTACACAACTGGCGCAGCCTTCTTAACATCCTCAGTAGCCTCGCTCTCATACTTCTTGAAGTTCTCCAGGAAGAGCTTGCCAAGCTTCTTAACCTCAGTCTCGAAGCTCTGGGCACCAGCAGTCCAGGCGTTCTTGGGGTTGAGCAGCTCCGAGGGCACACCGGGGCAGGTCTTGGGCACCTGGAGGTTGAAGACCTCATAGGTCTCGTACTCGACCTTGGCCAGCTCTCCCGAGTGGATGGCGTCGAGGATGGCACGCGTGTACTTGAGCGGGCAGCGCTTGCCTCCCTGGGCGAAGCCGGCGCCGACCCAACCGGTGTTGAGCAGCCAGGCGTTGGCGTTATGCTGCTCGATCTTGTCGGCGAGCATCTTGGCATAGCGCATGGGGTGAAGGGCCAGGAAGGGCTGAGCGAAGCAGGACGAGAAGGTCGCCTGAGGCTCGAGAACACCGTCCTCAGTGCCGGCCATCTTGGAGGTGTAGCCCGAGATGAAGTGGAACATGGTCTGTGCGCGGTTGAGCTTGGAGATTGGGGGCAGGACGCCACGGGCATCGCAGGTGAGGAGGATGATGTTCTTGGGGTGGCTATTGCTGATGCAGGGGATCTTGGCGTTGTTGATGTACTCAATGGGGTAGGCGCAGCGAGTGTTCTCAGTGAGGGTAGCGTCATCGTAGTCGACCTCGCGGGTGACGGGGTCGAAGACGACGTTCTCGAGGACAGAACCGAAGCGGATGGCGTTGAAAATATCGGGCTCCTTCTCGGCCGAGAGGCCGATGCACTTGGCATAGCAGCCGCCCTCGATGTTGAAGACGCCGCGGTCGCTCCAGCAGTGCTCGTCGTCGCCGATCAGAGCGCGGTTGGGGTCGGCAGACAGAGTGGTTTTACCAGTACCGGACAGACCGAAGAACAGAGTGACGTCGCCGTCCTTGCCCTCGTTGGCAGAGGAGTGCAGGGTCAGGATGTTGTGCTTGATGGGGCCCTCGTAGAACATGACGGTGAAGATGCCCTTCTTCATCTCACCGGCGTACTCGGTGCCAAGGATGACCATCTCCTTCTCGGCAAAGTTGATGGCGACGGAGGTTGACGAGGTCATGCCCTCAGTGAAGCGGTTGGCCGGGAAGGAGCCGGCATTGTAAATGGTGTAGTCGGGGTGGAAGTTCTCGAGCTCCTCACGAGGGGGGCGGATGAGCATGTTGCGCATGAAGAGGGCATGGTAAGCACGCGCGCAGACGACGCGGACCTTGATACGGTACTTCTCGTCCCAGCCGGCATAGCCGTCGACGACGTAGATGCGATTGCGGGTGTTGAGGTAGTCGATGGCGCGCTCGCGGTTGATCTTCCAGACCTGCTGGGTGTTAGCGGGGGCTCCTTGTTATTGCTGGGATTACAAATCAATGAAATCAAGTCAATCTTCATTGTTGCCGTCGTCCCCGTGACTGCGATCGCCGTCGTCATCACCATGGTAATCTGGTGATCGTCGATCACCGCATCACGTGACTCCGGGTTGTCCGGGGCCGATGTGGGGGAGATCGGCATTGGCGCCAGCGGAGCGTTGTGGGAGTCGGCTGTGGTGTGGGGCACTTCCCCGGCCGTTTCGGACGAGGGGGTGCAGCTATGACGAAAGCGATAGGGGCTGGCTGGCTCGGCCCAAAGCTCGGGTAGACATGCAAAACAGATCTTTGCGATGTCGCCGCTGATTGCCACGCAGCTTCAGGACAAATGGGGAAATTGCTACTTCGGGTCATTTTGACCAATTGTCTTGGAATGCAGTTTTCCCCAGTTTGTCCCGCTTTCGTATCCGAGGACACAGTTCATTCTTTGGTTGCCAATCTGTTGCCGCCTCAGCCGGCGGCTATCCGCGGACAAAGGCAATACAACCAGGCCAGACGAATGGAATCGTATTTGACAGACATCGAGGGATGAATGAATGAAGCTTACCTCAGGGCTCATGGGCTTGTTGACAGGACCCCACCAGATGTCCTTCTCTGATGTCGGCTCCTTGACAATGCGCTTGTCTTGGGGTGACCGGCCGGTCTTCTTGCCAGAGTAGGCTGTGAGGGCGCCGCTGGAGGTAATAGCGGTACCAGTCTCGTACACGAGGGCATCCTCGTAGAGCTGAGCAACAGAGGGGTTGTGGATCTGGGCTAGTCAGCACTGCTATCTGCTAAAAGTCTTCACATCGGGCAAGGCGAGGGCACTTACAATCGCGACGCGGTTGTAGTCGATGTGAGCCTTGTCGTGAAGCTCCTGCTCAATTTCGGTGTGTTCCGTCCGGACGCTGGTGAGATGTTTAGTCAGCATCAATGTCTTTGGCTGTGACTGAGAGGGATAGCACATACGGGACACCGCCGGGGTGAAGACCGGTCCTATTGACAGCGTTGTTGATCATGTTGGCGGGATAGTAGAGTTCTGGGGAAGAGAGAAGCTGGCTGCTATGGCCGTTGACGGTTGTGCTTGATGAGCTTGAGTAGAACGAATTGCCAGCAACGACGGGGTGCTTCATGGTTCTTAAGTGCTTTCTGACGAGCTGCCTCTCGGGAAGGCTTGGGGCGTGTGTCGACAGGGGCAGCGGAAACTCGCACCAGTTCGGCAATGGGGAAGGGGTGTGTGTACGGCGAGCCCACACACTGCAGGGTTGACAAGCGTTGCGGATGGAGACGGCGACAGGGGACGACGCGGAGACCGGGACGGCCGGGGACGCAGGCCGGGAACTGGAAGCACGCAAAGTAACCGCAGAGGTGTGAAAGGCACAGCTGATAACACTTAGGCGACAAAGTTCACGAAGCTGCCGCTCCCGAGACAGGTTGCCGACGACAGAGACGCCATTTTTTAAGTAGAACGACAGCTCGTGGGCACGGGCGTGCTGTCCAATAAGGCATGACGACAACATTCTCAGGGCGGTTTGCGATGGCTCTGCGGATCCAACTGTGTGCTCTGTCGCCTGTGTGTTCTATGTGTAGGCAGTTAGGTACCTACCTTGTGATGCCTGTGCTTTCTGGGATCCCTGATCAAAGATGGGCCATCACTGGGCCAGACTCTAGAAGCGTTTCCAGGCCCGGCACTGAGCCCCGGTACGTGTGGATGTAGCATCGGGCTGGCGGTGATTGGGCCTTTGGCCACGAATTGTTTCCGGAGCGCCCCGACGCACCCCTGCTTCCTTTCGGGACTGGCTCACGGTGATGCAGCAGCTTGTCCCTTGGCTGTCCGGGTGGCTGATGGCCGAACGGCACAGACGTACCTTCGTAACTTCACCAGGTACCTATAACGTCATTGTGCTGCTAGTGCTTGACCAGTCTAGCCAACATCTGCACGCTTTTTAAATGAATTACGTTTGTCGGCAGTGCTCTCCGCTGTGAGGACGGGAGCTCCTGTTTGAGGTCTGCATTTATTGTATACTCTACTCTGGTTGACTGCTCTAGAGCTGCTCGCGACGGTTGCGCCAGGGAAGCTGAGCTGCTGCTGTTGGTGGCAACAAGATGCAGCTTTCCTGCCCTGGCAGCGCCAGCAGCACCGGTACCTTTTCACGATTGTGGCTTGTGCTTCCCTTCAACCGTTTCTGAGACATCCCCCTTCCTGTGCTCCTGCCGGGAAAAACAGGGTGCACCGTCCCAAGAAAACGTTGGTTTTGCTCCCCTATTGGGGAAGTGGAGCTCTCATCTCACAAAAGGCTGAGCGCCTTGAGCTTGGGCCTGGCCACATGACTTCCCCCGAGATCAAAACCTGCCCAAACCCTGCCGCCCAGCTACCACGCCGTCATTCTGCAAAGTCTGGCCAGCTATTTTCAGCGCTCACGCGGCAGAGATGAAAAACCTGCGAGTCAGGGGATCAATAAGTTAGAGCTATCAAGCGGAGAGAGTAATTAGTTCCTGAGGCAAATGGAGCAAAGAGAGCGATGAAAGCATCGAGGCCGTCGTCAATACGACAAGGCTGGAGATGACTGGACTAGACAAGAGAGGCCAGCCTTGGCTAGGCCTGTTGACGTGCCAAAGCCCCCCTCTGGACCGCCAAAACGGAATCGATTGGCACGCAGCACCATGCTGCAGCAACAGCATTTCACAGATTTCCATGCTTGACCGCGCTGCGTGCCAAGGCGTCCAGACGCTTGCCATCCCCAAACCGGGGCCGTGGACCGCCCAGATCTTGGCAACCTCCTGCTTCCAGGTTCCGACCTGTTCTCGAAAGAGCCATCTGAAAATGGTACCCCGCGTTCAAAAATGTTTCTGCCTGTGGACGGCAGACGAGCTGACAAGGCTCAGCGATCGCCGCTAAACCCAATCCCGATAGAGCGGCTTCCCCGCGAATTGTCCCCGAGGGAATGGGATCCGCATGCCACACTCTCTCATCGATCAGGAACACCTGATATTCTCTTCTCGATGTCTGTCAACACCGCTTCCCGTCCTGCTGGCTGTTGATGCTTTTTGTCCCTATCAGTGACAGTTGTTGATACCCGTATCCTTCCGGTCCCAGTCTCATCAATTGACGCCGAATTGCCGTCATCAGCGGGCAGATACGGGTTCCGGCACGGGGCAATCTGCGCAAGATACGCTTCCAATCTCGCAGATAGCGAAAGGAGCAAAAGCGCAATTCCGTCGCGATAACAATTGCCCCGCCCTCCACTTCCCCAGGTACGTACGAGCTCACACACCTTTTTAGATACCCCACCCTGTCACCGAACACCACTTTCGTTGCCGACAGTGTTCCGTCATAGGCTCAAACGCTGGCGGGGCACCAGCCAGGTCAAAAGACGCAGCATCTAGCTGTTCCGACTTTGCCCGAGCCCTGGCTGGTAAGCCACAATTACCCAGCAAAGTTATGCGGAATTAGGGTTTTCTGCGACTTTCGAGCGGTCTCGACCACGAGCTCTGTGTACCTGCCCAAAATAGAACGCTACGTGTAAAGAAAAGTTCGACGCGAGAGCTGATGTCGCAGATCATGTCCGCAGCGAGCTTGTTGATTCTTCTTGAAAGCAGAGCGTTACACTGTCATCGCAGCAACAAAAGTGACATCAGACCTCTCGGTAAAACGCCGGGCTGTGCCTTACATAAGCCTGGCACTTATCCAAATATGGAAGTGGCCTATGCGTTCATGCATGTGATTTGAGCCCCTTGGCAATTTGTGTACAATGATTGGCTGGCCAGGTCTGAACACGGCAACTGGCGGTCCGGACTCCAGCAGCCCCAGACCCGATCCTAAGAAGCGCTGGGATTACATGCCCCAGAAAAATCGAAAACGGTCACGCGCACTTGCTTGCTGCTTGCAAACGGCGGAGAGCAGCGCTGGACAGAAAACCTGACTTCGATGGAGGAAGTTCGTGATGACTGTTTTGCAAATTTCTGAAGGTCACGAAGTATCTGCACGGAAATTAGCACCCTGGAAAGGAGAAGAAGGCGTTAACGTGCATTGGTCATAGCGACAATCAGCCATTCTGGATGTTGACAAAATACATGGATTGGGTCTCGATCTTCGCCAAGAGCTGAGCCGTCACTTACAAGCACACACGATGCAGCCATCACAAACACCTGGAATTCCAGAGAATCCTGTCAACGGAAATCTCAAAATCCCTTCTTACCAAACTGTCGACCTACAGCTGCCAAGGAGTCCAGAACCGCTGGGTTGTCCTCTCCACCAGCTTCTACAGCTGCCCTCCCATTCCTAGACACAGTTTTCCTGGTCATAGGGAAGAAAAAAATCTGGGGATGGCGCCCTATCCACCAGTTCGTTTCTCGATTCCGGTTTCTCCCTTGCCCCTTAATTCGATCTCACCCTCGCACTGTGTCTTTTCCGCGATTCATGCGTGGCCGACACAGTGTCAACAAGCTGGCTGTTGCCTGGTCATTGGACCTGGACTTTCTCCGTTCCTCGTGACACTCGCACGCTCCGCCCCATTGGACCGGCAATCCTCTTCGGTCGGGGGGTGTGTCTGCTGCTCGGCGAAGGGGGTGTGTGCGTGCGAAATTCTCCATGAAAATGTGCCGATCCCCCGACATCCGCCGATTCGGGACTTCTTGGCGGCGGCTCTGTCCGCTCTTTTTTTGGTCTTGGCGGTCTCGAATCACCGTTTCACCGATCACAGCAACCTCTACGACCACAGGGTCCCACTGCCGAACATCAAACATCCGTGTACCGACGATGGCCGAGTGTAACACCAGGAACAGTTTGGTCATGATGATGAGGTTGAAGACAGAGAGTCTCTGACTTTATGGCAGGCCTTTGGTCATGTAGGTGTAATTGATCGACTCCTCGAATCCCAACGCATGAGTTCCTTCTTTCTGATGGCTTCTTCCTGTCTTTCAGTGTTAGCCTGTTAAGGAACATGGGCCCCAAGACTGCGTTCTAAAGCTGTCAGTCTCAAAAGACCAGAAAAATCACTCATTATCGGCGCCTGCTCGCGGTCTCTGGGGAGGAAGCGGTCATATTGACAGCTGTTCACCTCGGAGATTGACTAAACTACAGTTACTCCTCTCTTGACCCTGCAAGGACTGCAGATTTGCTTGAACACCAAGCAATTCTAAGATTAACAGTCGCGTAATGAGCTAAACTGCAAACGGTGGCCTCACCTTATGCCCGGTAGAACGGCACGCCCTAAGCGCCAGTGCCCTGGGCCCGTCCTGTCTCCGTCATAGGGCGACGGACGGGATGTCCCGCACTTGCCAGGTCAGTCTGGTCCTTGTCATGTCCCTTGGCCTGGCCTGACCTAGCCTCTCTCCACAGCTCGTGTGCCTGCTTGCTTCGCCTGGGGAAGACAGATCCCCTTGGCAGGTTTGAGCTTGTTTCGTTCGTCAAGCTGTCAGCATCTTTGACGAACTGCCGACTCAACGGTTGTCAGGTGATGCGATGCAATGTGAGATGAACTGACTCTCCCCTTCCCCGCAATACAGTCTGCTTGTTGTTCATGACGACAGAATCTGCTGTTCACGTGCCTGGGATGGAGGTGACTGCAAAGTTTGCTGAGAATACCGTGGGTAAATGTGAACTGTGGGATTATGGACTTCCAAAGGTCAGAATGTTATAGCATTCACAGGCAGAACAAAGTAGTTCTTCTCTTAATGCCTTGTGTCTATGAACAGGTCAGTAAAACCTCGTTCGCTCTTGATGTTTCAGCTGCGAGCTTTGTATCAAGCGTAAAGGGAGCATGTCAACTCAACTTTTGGAACCCGCCTCAGAACCCGCCTCAGAACCTGCCATGCTGAAAATAGAAGATACCTACACGACCCATGGATACTCCAGGACTAAAGAAGATAGAGGAGAGTAGCATCATTGGCCGCAATGGTCAGAAAAGGAGGGATCTTATGAGTCCTTGTGAGTCAGGGATTAGTCTAGATCTCATGATGAATTAATGTAATTCTTCTGTATCAAGCGTTCGATCCAATATCTGACCCTGGATTGTCATTATCATGCAAGGCTCTTAGCATGAGTTTTATGGTTCGTCTCTCCATATTGGACAATCGTCTTGAGCAAATGACAGCCATGGCAAAGCTATTGACTACGTATTGACACACCTAGATGGTAGCAGAAGGTGACAAAGGAGTTACCAAAAAGTCGAACCGATGATGGAGATCTAAGAGAAATTGGCTCTTCGCTGTTCATATATCTATCGAATACTCAAGAAGATCATCGTCAATTGAACCGTCAGGTCAAGAACCTGCAACTTGTTTTGCGGAAGGGACACCAGATGAAAGCCGTACCCGCAAAAATTGCCCATGACCAGAAGTACTTGCGAGAACATTACTGGAAGTCTTTCAGCATTTCCCTCGACCTTGATTTCTTCTCCAAAACATTACATAGAAAACAAAGCTCCAGAGTTACTCTGCCAGCGGCCACAGCTTGACAAACTTTAATCATGTCTAGCGCTAACTTTCTCCCGATGATCTCTTTCCTCGCTTGCAGCAGATCAAGAAAACTTCGATGGAAGCTTTGCGCTTTGTCCTCGTCATCGTCGCGAACGGCTCGTCCGATATCGCGGCCTTCCTACAAAACCCGGTCATCAAGAGACTCAGCTGGTCCCGCCCCGGGCCTTCAGGTGAGAATAGGCCACCACGGGAGCATGCTCTCCGACGCCGAGCTGGTCGCCTAGACGCTCAGGCCCCAAGTGGTCTAAGTGCTCGAAATTGAGGATTGGCTGCGGGGGGTTGACTTGCTCACCGAAGGCTTCCTTTTTTGTTGTCGCTGTTAGCTTTTTAGCGTTTATGCCAGCACAATGACCCTTGATAACAGCTCCCGGAACATGTCGGTCCCGAGGGCTGAGTCTCGAGCGCTGCTGGCAGCAGTAGCAGGTCATTTTATCCAAGAGTTTTAGCACCTGTATAAGAAGTTTGTTCGTCCATGCATTCATCCGTAACATCCTCGAACTCATCTAAAGAGCGACAAGATGAAAGGGATCTCTCTCTCCGACTGAAGGTTATATCCATCACGATCAACTGGTCAGATGGCACACTCCTGAAAGCGCAAGAGGGCTTGCTCAAATGCAAGGACATGAAGATGATTTCATTAGTCAAGGGTGGAAGAAGTCATACCGGATGCAGTGATTGGTGTAGTCAGGACCAATAAAACAAGTGTGCTCTTGGAGCACCTTAAGGAAGTGTCCTGAGCCAAGCGGCAGAGCTGGAGAACTTGAGACCTTTTATTAAAATCCTGGGGGTCATCACCCTTGTGAAGACTGCTGCATGGTGCGGTCCGATGACTGCGATGTTCTTCATATGTGTCTCACTTTGATTGACCTTTTACTGTACATATTGTGTCACAGAGGGTGTGACGCACTCGGAGTAACTGATATGCGAACTTGGCACGGAAGCTCGCTTGCTCACAAAACTTGTGCGTCCACAATCTACTTCCAACACAGACAGCTCTCTACTAGAAGAGCAAAGCCCTCATCCTCGTGTCTATCTGACAAAAGCTCCATAACACCTATCTCTCTTTTACACTTGACTCCTTTCAGTTCCATCAGAGAATGATCCAATATACTAGATAGGGCTTCGCTCTGTGATCCACCTTGTTCTCTACTAGATACTATATCACTATCTGATATATGTCCAATACATGATGCTGCATGACCGCTTTGTGAGAGAAGATGGCACAGTTGTCTCTCTGAAAGCTTAAAACACAACTGTTAAGTGAGACAAACTCTAGAGCACTTGGGACTTGCGAATGTCTTGCTAAGATGGAGATTGAACTAACACTGGATGGAGCGGGGGAAGAGCCAATATGTAAACGCATGATTTCGCGGTCTAAGGAGTCAATTGGTCCTTCCTTCTTTTCATGATCTCTCAGAAGTCAGAGCTGCCTTCAATCGGGAGGAGCGCTCATGCGGTCTTAGTGGCAACTCTTTCCCAACACAATCGTCGACCTTGTTGCAACTCTGGCTCGATCATTTTCCTCTCCTATGACGGAATACACGAACCCTAAGTTCCAAAATTTTCTACATCAGCAACACTGACAACCCTGAGCCAAATCTCATCACCCCGCAATGTCAGTTGGTGCTATTCTCTGGAATGCCTTTATGACGGCGCTTTTACCTCAAGTTCTAGCCAGTATCCCTGCCGTGTTCCTTCAGACAGAACGCTATTTCGACACAGTTGGTTTGCTGGCTTTTATCAAGGTCACTCTGGCCAGCTGGGCCTGGGGAGTTGACGCGTCTTTCAGCCTTCTAAAAAGCTTCCACTGGAGAAAGCTAGCTCTCACTTCTGCTATCCTTCTATGGGCTACTCGACGTGAGTTTATATTTCACTCTCGGTTATCGCTATCCTTACTATTATTGTTGAGAGAGCGTGTCAAAAGGGAATTCTGGGGTTGACTGGCTTTGCGATGGTTTTTCTTATGGGACAAACTTTTTCCGTTCAACGACAACCGCAGGCACACGCTTTGTTATGTTCAGGATGTGTGGCGAAGATGCATAAGAGGGAGGATCACGCATTCCGGAGAACTGGAAGTGGGCAAATGCTATTGTGCTGAGTTTTCTGTTGCCGCGCTCCTTTCATAATTAACTCCCTCGAAGTAGGAACCTATCTGTCGAAACGTATTCAATTCCACAATGGACGCGACTCCCGGTTCGACGACATGCGCAGCAGCCCTCTGCTCTTCAGTATCGCCTGGATAGGACAGGCTGCCTGGGTTTTCTTTGCCCTGATCCCCGTCGTCTTGGTCAATGCGGTTCCCGGTCTGGTCCTGGCTGCTCATGCATCAGCTCCAAGTTCACTTGACATCACCGCCTTGGCTCTCTACGCTGGCGGTCTGCTCCTCGAGACCATCGCGGACCGACAATTGTGGAGATGGATGCAGCGCAAAGCCAAGGGCGCTGAGGAGGGAAGGTGGTTGATGACTGGCCTGAGGGCTTTCTGGTATGCTCAATCTTGGCTCCGTGCAATACTCTGACAGGACTAATGCCCTCTAGCCGCTACCCAAACTATCTCGGTGAGATCATCGTTTGGACGGGTATCGCCACATTCGCCGTCAACAGTGTAGCCCTTGTTCCACAGGCGCGGTCTGCTCTTAGCTTAGACATCTTATCAGCTCTCGTGCTTTGCTACGCCAGCCCGGCGTTCGTTACGTTCCTCCTCAAAAACATCACTGGTGTTGCGCTTACAGAGAAGAGACAACGCGAGAAGTTTGGGCACTTGCCTGAATACCAGCAGTGGGTGGCTAGAACTGGAACCCTACTTCCTAAATTTTAGGCAATGAGTTGCTTCTCAAATTTTAAGCAAGGGGATGCAGATTTCTCGCCCTCCGGAATAGGGGGTTGGGTAATAAGAGAATAATTTTATCAGAATGAAGCGATTTGATATGCGGTGAGGACCGGAAAGAGTATACGGTTTAAGAGTGGATGGAGTGGTCACAACGCAGGAGAAAAGGGGAAAAATTAGAGTCCAGGGGGATGATGTTAGAAAGGAATTGGGCGTAATATTGTAGATAGGTTGGAGAGCTGGTTAGGAAGATAAAAAAATCATGTCAGGTTCAAAATGCGATGCTCCTTAGAGGGAACGTGGACTTGATAGTTCCAACCTTATAGGGTACTCCTCTTCCTGTCGCGATAACTGCTCTGAAGTGAAGCAAAATTGTTCTGTTGTTTCGCCCTCCTTCGGTACAATAAGAGAAGCTCTGACCCTCGCGGGCGGTAGACGCTTCTATTGAAGGGTATCTTTAAAGTTTTAAATGTCTAATCCTGACATTAGATCTAAGCAGACAGTTCCCTGATTGCTAAACATATCCGTGGTTTACCCACTAGGTGGCATATCCCAACCTCCTTGGGGCTATATAAACGGATTCATGTGGTCGCTCATCCCTCACGGTGGATGGAAGTGACACTACTTGTGCCGCTGGCTTTTAAAGTTTTTCCCGTCCTCCTCGACTTTCGAATGGTTTATATTGCGCCAGCGGAACCACCAGTTGACCGACGCGTTCAAGTTGCCTTCCTTACCCACGGCTCGCACGCTATGCCAGAATCCGGTTCTCAGGTACATCGCATCCCCCGGGTGCAGCACCACCTCATGAATACTAGTTACCGGGGCCTGCTTGCCCCAAACGGCTTCGAAGAAGGCCGTCCGTTCTGGCTCCTCCATCATCTCGATGCCCCGCAACCTCGAGTTACCTGTCTCCCTACCCAGGTCGGTGCACACCTTGTTGAACATCCGTCCCCCCGCCAAGGGGGCCATGATCCGAAAGACTTTTGTCCCGCACAACTGAACGAATATGTTATCGTTTGGATCACGGTGTAGGGGTGTGTAGGTCGGTTGGAGGCCAAACCAGACGCTGGAGGCGTAGAGGTCACCGTCGCCGTTGGAGGTGATGACCTCGGGAACAGGAAGGTCGCTTTGGAGTTCATGGGGGAGGAACTCTATTCGTGCTTGGGCTACGTAGAGGTTGTTTAAGCGGCCGGTTGTGGAGGGTTGGTGTTTGTTGAATTTGAGGGCGGCGAGCAAAAGGCCCAGGGGGGCTTCGAAACGGATAAAGCGCGTTTTAGAGGTTTCTGTGTCCGCCTTAGGCACTAGCCGACCCAGATTAATGTTGTACTCGAGGCTGTCTTTCAGCTGCTGGTATAGGGGTTGCTCTTGCTTGGCGAGCCACTGGAGAAACGTGGCCAAGGGGCTGTCTTGCGGCAACTCCTCCACAACTGTGGCCGGCACCAGGAGCTCGTATGGAACCATGCATTCACTATGTGGCTCGAGAGTCGCCGAGAAGTCGATCCATCCTGAGGAGGAGGTGAACCACTTCGACAGGGCAGGGAGAGCGATTGCCGGCTGCGTCGATGACGCCTTTTGTTGTTTCTTATTTCGGTTGGCACGAATGACGACGACGGCGATTTTAGAGTTGTGGGAAGTCAAGTCACGCAACGTCATCCACTTTTCCTGCTCCCGGGGAAGAAGGTCAAGAAACCTGTACTTCCCTCTTGATATGGTCCCCGACGGAGGGGAGCTGTCAGACGCGAAATTGCGCCGTATGCAAGGGCCGATTAGGCGGAGCACCTTCTGGGAGACATCCCCAGTATTTGCGACAAGGCGGCGTGAGAACGGCGAGGAGACAAGCATTGGCAATAACGAAGTGAGGTTGAAGTCAACGGGATATCCAAGGGAGGGGGTGCATGGCGTAAGGCCGGCAGCAGCGACGAAAACGGCGACGGCGATGACAGATCCGAAGTAACTAGAGCGTCAATGACGACAAAAATTCCCCCGGAGACGGTGAGGGAAGGCTAGAAAGGTTGTAACTGGGATTGGAGAGCGGACCGGCCGGAGACCTAAAATCGGGTTGAAGAGCGCAAAGTGCGGGGAAATGTGTGACGAAAGGGGAGGGCATCACGGTGGACCAACGCGCAGCAAGCGGATTAGCTGCAGGGGTGGCGCGGCTTCGGCAGCAACCGGCAGGGCGGCTGAAGAATCATCGACGTGAGAGGCGTGGAACGGTCCAAGGCTCTAGAAACGCGGAAACACGTGAGAGCCAGGCGCGCGATTGGCTGGATGGCAGGGATCAATTTTAACCCTTGAACCGGTAGCACAAGGTGTGCGGCGCAAAGGCCAGCTGGCAGCCACGGCCCACCAGCCGCACACCAGCCGCCTGCCCACCCACGAGCCATCCACTCCCAGCAGGAATTGGGAAACGCTGTTGCGGCCGCATCGAGGCATCCATCGCTAAACCTCAACCGTGGGCGGGGCACCAGCCAGCCAACCTTTGACCTGAGAAGTCTTGAGCTCGACAATATCGACGCCGTCAACTCCGGGCCACTCTTAACACGTCTACTGGCTCGGTACGGCATCCGACTTGCTTGATTTGCGCGCAATTCCCCTGCGCTCGATCATGCCCGCATCATAGAAGCAACTTTCCCTCCCATCCTGCCGCCAACGCGTCGGCCGACGTTCTACCACGCGATCAACGTTGTCTTACAGCTGATTCTCTTAATTCCATTTCGTCGCGACTGTCTACCCTCTGTCCCAGCCGCCAGGCGCTCAGATACTTAGCCACAACCACTGCCCATCCAGTAGTCATGTCGACCTCATCAGGGACCCCCGAGTCCTGGATCTCGTCCTTCTGCTCCCTCTTGGGACACGAATACTTTGCTGAAGTGTCGGAGGAATTTATTGAGGATGATTTCAACCTGACTGGCCTGCAGTCGCAGGTCGCCATGTACAAAGAGGCCCTGGAGGTATGCTTATTTTCATTGAACAACGTTTGCGCCCTTCCGATCTTCAGGCTTGTGGGACTGACTGATATCAGATGATTCTCGACGTCGAACCCGAGGAGGACGAGGAGGACGAAGATGAGGAGGAGCAATCAGAAGAGGACGCCTCGGATGGGCAAGAACGCAGGTCACACAGCGGGAGGAGACGCGGTCGCCGGGCTAGTGACCTGTCGCTGATCGAATCGTCCGCCGAGATGCTCTACGGCCTGATCCACCAGCGTTTCATCTGCTCGCGGGCCGGCATCCAACAAATGTCGGAAAAGTACGAGTTGGGCCACTTCGGCGTGTGTCCGCGCACCATGTGCAACCAAACCCGCACCCTGCCCGTCGGTCTGTCCGACATACCGGGCGAGGACACAGTCAAGCTGTTCTGCCCGTCGTGTCTGGACGTCTACGTTCCGCCTAACAGTCGCTTCCAAACGGTCGACGGCGCCTTCTTCGGTCGCACCTTTGGCGCTTTATTCTTGATGACTTTCCCCGAGTATGATCTGTCGCGCTCTGGTGCCGAGCACGCCGCCAACCTGCCGCGCCCGCAGAACGGTGGCGAGGAACCCATGCTCAACGGCATGTATGTGCGTAACATCGCTCCCGGTCTGGGTCGTGGGAAGATTTATGAGCCCAAGATCTATGGTTTCAAAGTGTCGGAGCGGTCTCGCGCTGGTCCGCGCATGCGTTGGTTGCGCGACAAGCCTGATGATATGAGTGTGCTCGACGAGACACGGCGTTTTCACGAGCAACAACGTCTTGCCGCTGGCGGCGCTGAGTCTGACTCGGATGATGATGTGAGCATGGGTACCAATGGCCGGCCTCGCAGGCGTCCTCCTGGTAACCTCCGGCTGAGACAGCGACAACGCGAGCAGGCTCAGGCGCAAGCTCAGGCAAGGAATGGCACCGGCAGTCCTATGGCTCTCGAGACTAATGGAGGCGAGTCAGAACTCTGAAAGAATGTAGAAGCGGGCCGTCCGTGGGTGTTGCTTTGCATCCCTAATACCAATCATCTACTCTCGTGTCGGCCCGTCTCTGTCTCAGGTCTTCAGGTTCTTTGATTGTCAATAGAATAATGGGAGACTTGGATGACACATAACCGCTACCACAATTCAACAAGAACAACAACACCAAACAATAACGGTTGCCATGTCCGTTTTCTCTTTCATCCCATCGAATCAACTCAGCATTGTCGGCGTTTTTCCTTTTGCTTTCCTCAGCACGCGCAGCAACCTTTGTGATGAAATGGAGAGACGGATATGGCGTTGCCGCGGCCGGGTTCGGGATGGCTGGCTATTGCATTTTGCATGGACGAGGAGGAGGACGGGTAGGCGGATGAGGAGATGGGTGAGGCCAGCGTGGGAACGGGAGTTGGAAGTGTTTTCACGCTCTGATGATGATGATGTACCGAATGGAGCCTCTGATAGTACCTGCCTTAGGTAATATGGAGCATGATGATTCGTATTTTCTCCAACATGTTTGGGGTCTGCTGAGGATAAGTCTAGATCGCGGTTGTGTTTGACTCACCAACAGCCGAGTTCACCTGTCTTTCTTACACATTCTCCTTTTGTCCGGCCGATGCCCTGCTGCTTGCCATATGGCTGATAGTACTACCTACTTGGAATTTTTTTTTTCTCCGGGCGAGCACGTTTGCAGCATGCTCGACAAATGAAGGGGTCATTACGAATGTTGACCGTGCATAGAAGCAATCCATCAGCACAATACTAGATGTTGATTCAAAGAGCTGGGCTTATGGACTAGCTATTCACCATCGCAGTCATGTTTTTGGCTAACAAGATCAGTGACGTTGCCACAACATCAACTTTCATGGCTGTCAGTGTTGAGCTACATATCATGACTCACAGCTGCATGAGGTACTTGGGTCTTTGACGGACATGCTTGGAAAGAGTGAAATAGTCTTGCGGTTGCTGCATCATTTGGCGGGCTACATGTCTCAACGACTCCAGCGAGACTCAAACTATCGATCTACACATTTGCCTCCATCGACAGATTGGCGGTGAATCACCATTTGATTCATTGCGCCTCCATCGACTGAACATTTGTGGTCACCGCTTGGTGGTGTTGGCTTTAGAAAGCCTTCTCATCTCCACTCAAACCTATGGTGAACGGCGGGCGGCACCGTCTGTAATCTTAGGGATGAGCTGCTATCAAACAGTAACCCTTTGATATGGGGCAATTCGCAACTTGACGAGACAGCCCAAAGACGAAAATCGGTGGAGTCGACGTAAAGTTGACATTTGTGGCCGATGGTGTGGCTTATAGGGCCGTATTAGTATCCTATTGGTCTGTCTGCATGAATCAGGCTGTGACTTGTCCCCGAGCCCAAATGATGCTTCCATCTGCCGGCGTGGATCTTGCCGAACTCTACAACTTCCAGGATCCGAAAACCAAAAACCAACTTTGAACTCGGCTCCACATGGCTCACCGCCGAGGCCAAGCACAAAGCTGAGCCATCTTTTTTGCAGCTGCAGCTTTCCCCTGAAGAGAAGTTGACACAGAGGCTCGTTGAACTGGCTTTTTTCCAAACACGGCAACTAAGAACGACATGTCAAGGCCTCACTTTCAGGTTGACTCAAACCTCAGCTTGGCCCCCACCAAAGTACGCCCGCCCAGTTTCGATCAATATCTGGATCTGGCTTTCGGGATGTGGGCAGCATGTGCTCCGACATCACCAGCAGCTGCTTCCCCGTGCCAGGGTGTCCAATGAGACGTCGCGCGGGCAAACATCTCCACATGGCGGAGGGCAGGAGCGAGAGATATTGCCAGGGAATTTGGGATGGGGACTTGGACTGAGCGTTCGATGTCCCTCCCCCACCTTCGCCTTTTTCCAGATGTTCCATTGAGCTGGATATCCCGTAAGCAGAGGCCAAAGTTGGATGTCTTTTGAAAAGATTAAGTATATTCGACGTAAAAAAGCTCAATCGGAATTTTAGTGCTACGAACAACTTCAACGACTCAATCCCAAACATGAACCTTCCAAGACCCTCACCATTCTCTGAGCCGGCGTTCCCCCGGATGTTCGCCGTCGATGGTCGCAATGAAGTTCTGGAATCCGCTCCGCGCTCCAGTCGGTGGAGACGCCCGCGCACGACACCGCTCATATCCCGGCAGGCACGCGGCGCTGCCCCATCGGGACACGAGCCGCCGGCAAGGTTGTGTCATCGAACGCGAGCATGCAGAAGCGGGCAAAGGATGTTGATTTCTAATGACGGGGCCATGCCAAGCAATTGCGTTCCAACACTAGCGCGCAGCTTTTTTTTTTTCTTTCACCCAAGGCATTGCTTTAACTCCCTGTGCCTGGGTTACCTGGCCTGGAATGGCGGCTGATTACATAGAAAGGCACCCGCCCTGCTGGGTTCGCTGGCCTTTCCTCAAGCGTCCTCATGAAGATCTCTACTTCCTAGCTGTGAGGCCTCTTCCTGCCACTCTCCGACTCAGCAACTCACGTAGACGGCGCGGAGTTTGGAGATGAGTATTTCTCTTCGCCCGTCCTCCTCCAATTGTATTCGTCTGTCCCTGTCATTTTCTGTTGTGACTTGTTGATTCGTGGACAGTTTTTCTGCTACATACCCGAGGTTTAATTGTTCAGTCGCAGAGCTTCAGAGCATTCGAGGAAGCTACCCCCTTCCGAACCATCGAATTTCCTGACTTCCCTAGGAATCACCCTGATAGTTCTCTGTCAGCTTCCAGGCCGGGGCCGTCATGGACACCAAGGAACCGGTACCCACCGAGGCGCAGCCCTCGTCGTCGACTTCATCGACTACTGCCCGTAGCATCGAGGAGCACATCGAGGAGGCTCGTCGTAACAATCCCAATGGCACGACCCGGCCTACCGGTGTCTCGGTAGAGCAAGCCGAGGCTGACTTCGCCGAGCTTCAGCGCGAGCTATCCCGTATGTCTCGTGTCAGCCACCGCTGCAGCCACGCCGGCGACAACGACAAGGCCCTCGAGGCTGGCCTGGCCACTTCCGAGGAGACATTTGAACAGTTCGACCTTGAGGCGGCTCTACGCGGTAACCTGGATGAGGAGAGGCAGGCGGGTATCAGGCCCAAGCATCTTGGAGTGTACTGGGATGGGCTGACTGTTAAGGGCATTGGTGGCTCGACAAACTATGTTAAGACGTTTCCGGATGCGTTTATCGACTTCTTCGATTTCATTACCCCTATCAAGAATCTGCTTGGATTCGGCAAGAAAGGGACTGAGGTTACCATTCTGAATAACTTTAAAGGTGTGTGCAAACCGGGTGAGATGATTCTCGTCCTGGGAAAGCCCGGCTCTGGGTGTACAACGTTTCTGAAGACCATTGCCAACCAGCGCCATGGATACACCGGGATCACTGGTGAGGTGCTCTATGGCCCCTTCACCGCTGAGGAATTCCGCCAGTACCGCGGCGAGGCTCTCTATAACCAAGAAGACGACGTTCATCACCCAACCCTTACGGTCGAGCAGACCCTCGGCTTTGCCCTCGACGTCAAGGCCCCTGCCAAGCTTCCTGGCGGAATGACGCGTGAGCAGTTCAAGGAGAAGGTCATCACCCTGCTTCTGAAGATGTTCAACATTGAGCATACGCGCAAGACTATCGTGGGAAATTCGTTCGTGCGTGGCGTGTCCGGCGGCGAGCGTAAGCGTGTTTCCATCGCTGAAATGCTCGTTTCGAATGCTTGCATCCTTTCCTGGGATAACAGCACACGTGGTCTCGATGCCTCAACCGCCCTCGACTTTGTCAAGTCCTTACGCATCCAGACCAATCTGTACAAGACCAGCACCTTCGTGTCTTTATACCAGGCCTCCGAGAATATCTACAAGCTTTTCGACAAGGTCCTGGTTATCGACGAAGGCCGGCAAGTCTACTTTGGTCCTGCGTCCGAAGCCCGTGCTTACTTCGAGGGTCTTGGCTTCCTGCCGCGTCCCCGTCAGACGACCCCCGACTATGTCACCGGCTGTACAGACGCCTTCGAACGCGAGTATCAGGAGGGCCGGTCCGCTGAAAACGCGCCCCACAGCCCCGAGACCCTGGAGGCTGCGTTCAAAGCGTCCAAGTACTATGCCGACCTCGAGGAGGAGATGCGCCAGTACAAGGAGAACTTGGAGAAGGAGACCGACAAGCACGAGGACTTCCGCGTGGCGGTCTGTGAGCAGAAGCGGGGTGGTGCCAGCCACAAGTCGCCTTACTCTGTGGGCTTCCATCAGCAAGTGTGGGCGCTGATGAAGAGGCAGTTCCTGCTCAAGAAGCAGGACGTCTTGGCGCTGGTGCTGTCGTGGCTGAGGAATATTATTATCGCTATCGTGCTAGGTACCCTGTATCTGAACCTGGGTCAGACCTCGGCCGCTGCCTTCAGCAAGGGTGGTCTGCTGTTCATCTCGCTGTTGCACAATGTGTTCTCTTCGTTCTCTGAGCTTGCGGGTACGATGACGGGTCGCGCAGTGGTTAACAAGCACCGTGCGTATGCGTTCCATCGCCCGTCAGCGCTGTGGCTTGCGCAGATCTTTGTCGATCAGGTGTTCTCAGCTACGCAGGTACTCGTCTTCTCGCTGATTGTGTACTTCATGACCAATCTGGCTAGAGATGCGGGAGCGTTCTTCACGTTTTACCTGTTGTTGTTGTCGGCCAATCTGTGCATGACCCTTTTTTTTCGGATTCTCGGGTGCATAAGCCCTGATTTCGACTATGCGGTTAAGTTTGCGACAGTTGGTATCACGTTGATGATTACGACTGCGGGTTATCTTATTCAGTACCAATCTGGTAGGTGTTCTATCTCTCTTTTCTAAGCCAAATGCTAACCCCCCTCTAGAACAAGTTTGGCTCCGCTGGATCTACTACATCAACCCTGTCGGCTTGACTTTTGCGTCGCTTATGCAGAACGAATTCTCGCGCTCTGAGATGACTTGTACGGCCGAATCGCTTATTCCTTCTGGCCCTGAGTACAATAATATCAACTACCAGGTCTGCACGCTGGCCGGTTCATCTCCTGGCACGCTCAAGATCCCGGGCTCCTCGTACCTCGAGAAGGGCTTCTCGTACAGCAAGGGCATCCTCTGGCGCAACTGGGGCATTGTGCTTGCCATCATCGTCTTTTTCCTGCTTATGAACATTGTCACTGGCGAAACTGTCAGGTTCGGCATGGGTGGTAACCAGGCCAAGGAGTTCCAGAAGCCAAATGAGGAGAGGAAAAGGCTTAACGAGGAGCTGCGCAAGAGAAGGGAGGAGAAGATGTCCAAGGCCAAGGGTGAAGAGTCTGACTCGTCAGAAATCAACATCCGGTCGGATAGCATTCTCACTTGGGAGGATCTCTGCTACGACGTTCCGGTTCCTGGTGGTACCCGTCGTCTGCTGGATCACATATATGGTTACGTCAAGCCTGGCCAGCTGACTGCCCTGATGGGCGCTTCCGGTGCCGGTAAGACGACTCTTCTGGATGTCCTCGCCGCACGCAAGAACATTGGCGTCATCACTGGCGATATTCTCGTCGATGGCGTCAAGCCGGGCAAGGAGTTCCAGCGCGGTACCGCCTACGCCGAGCAGCTCGATGTTCACGACCCGACCCAGACCGTTCGTGAGGCTCTCCGGTTCTCGGCCGATCTGCGCCAACCGTACGATACCCCTCAGGAAGAGAAGTACCGCTATGTGGAGGAGATTATTTCCTTGCTTGAGATGGAGAGTTTTGCGGACGCTGTAATCGGTACCCCCGAGGCCGGCCTGACGGTTGAGCAGCGCAAGCGTGTCACGATTGGCGTTGAGCTGGCTGCCAAGCCTCAGCTCTTGTTGTTCCTGGACGAGCCCACTTCCGGTCTGGATAGCCAGAGCGCGTTCAACATCGTTCGCTTCCTCAAAAAGCTGGCTGCTGCTGGCCAGGCGATCCTGTGCACCATCCATCAGCCGAACGCTGCCTTGTTCGAGAACTTCGACCGCTTGCTCCTTCTCAAAGCCGGTGGCCGCTGCGTCTACTTCGGCGACATTGGCAAGGATGCCTGTGTTCTGCGCGACTATCTCAAGCGTCACGGCGCTGAGGCCAAGGATTCTGACAATGTCGCCGAGTTCATGCTCGAGGCGATCGGTGCCGGCTCGTCTCCCCGCATTGGTAACCGCGATTGGGCCGACATCTGGGCTGACAGCCCCGAGTTCGCCAACGTCAAGGAGACGATTCGCCAGCTGAAGGAAGAGCGCCGTGCCGCTGGTGCCAACCTCAACCCCGAACTCGAGAAGGAGTATGCCTCGCCGTTCCTGCATCAGGTCAAGGTTGTTGTCCGTCGTGCTATGGTCTCTCACTGGCGCTCGCCCAACTACCTGTTTACGCGTCTCTTCAACCACGTCGTCATCGCTTTGCTGACAGGTCTGACCTTCCTCAATCTGGATGACTCTCGTCAGTCCCTTCAGTACCGCGTCTTCGTCATGTTCCAGGTCACCGTCCTCCCCGCCCTCATACTCTCTCAGATCGAGGTCATGTATCACGTCAAGCGCGCTCTCTTCTTCCGCGAGCAGTCCTCCAAGATGTACTCGTCCTTCGTCTTCGCTCTCTCCCTCCTCGTCGCCGAGCTGCCTTACTCCATCCTCTGCGCGGTCTGTTTCTTCCTGCCGCTGTACTACATCCCCGGCTTGCAGTCTGAGTCCTCTCGCGCCGGCTACCAGTTCCTCATTGTCCTCATCACCGAGCTCTTCTCCGTCACTCTGGGCCAGGCCCTCGCTGCGCTGTCACCGTCCCTGTTCATCTCTTCTCAGTTCGACCCCTTCATCATGGTCACCTTCTCCCTCTTCTGCGGTGTTACGATCCCCGCACCCCAGATGCCTGCTGGGTACCGCACCTGGTTGTACCAACTCAACCCGTTCACACGTCTCATCTCCGGCATGGTTGTCACCGCGCTGCATGACATGCCCGTACATTGCACTCAGCACGAGCTGAACTCATTCACCGCGCCACCAGGCACCACGTGCGGGGAGTACATGCAGCCGTTCTTTGAACGCGGCGGGGCTGGGTATCTGGTCAGAAACGATACTACAGCATGCGAGTACTGCGCGTACAAGGTGGGCGATCAGTTTTATGAGCCGCTGGGGCTGAGCTTTGACCACCGGTGGCGGGATATGGGGATATACATCGCGTTTATCGGCAGTAATCTGATTATTCTTTTCTTGGCCGTAAGTTCCCTCCTTTTGACAATGGTGAGAGTGTGGATAGGAGCTGACATGAATTGCAGAGCCGGTTCCTCAACTACAACAAGCGGTAATGCACAACGTGGTGAAGCGAGAAGGTGGTGCCGAATTTTTGAATACATTGTTGGCATTGCACGATCAATTAGTATTGCACTGCACTGGGGTTTGGATAGATAAAAAACCATTTACATGGCATCATGCCGGTAATATCTAGAGCTGGGTTGGCTAGAGGGCAATCTAGTACAATAGAGTTTGATAGACAGTGATACATGGCATCAAGAGCAAATATCATATACTAATCAATTTTAAACACAAGCCTCTAATCCTTTTTTTATCAAAACAAAGGTGGCAGTGACCAGGATACCAAGGATAGTTGTGGATGATGACAAAAACAGCGATATCACAACACAAAACTCAGCAAGATGGTCGTAATCAGTTCATTGAAGCAACAAATGCCATTACCAAAAGCAAGTAGCCCAACAGCAGCAACAAACCCTAAGCTAACACGAGACAATGCCACCAAGACAGACAAACTGGTAACAAATGCAAGAAAACACCCCCAATTTTCATCCTTCATCCCTTGTTTCCTTATTTCACACCTTAAGCAGTAGCCGCAGCCGGCTGAGCCTCCTGCGCAGCGGGCTGAGCGTTATTGTTGTGAGTAAGAGCATTGAGGACCCGCTCTAGGCCGGGAACCTTATTGAGACCGGACGCCTTAAGCGGATCACCACCAGCCTCCTCCTTCTTCAGATCAGCCAGCCGACGAGCCTCGGCATGAATGTCTTGTACCTGCTTGGAATGAGCGGTGTAGAAGTCGACGATCCTTTTGCCAGTCGGAGTGTGGGAGGCCTTCTCAAAGTACGAGGACAGGCCGGTCAGGAGCGAAGTGGCACGGCCGGTGAGGTTGTACTGGGCGTCGGCCGCAAGAGCACGGTCGGTAGCGTGGTACTTGGCATCAAGGTTCTTCAATGTGTTCAGGAACCTCTGGGTAACGTTGTGCTTCTCGTCAAGAGCAATAGCAGCCTGGATGCCGGCCTCAGCCACGCAGTAGCCGTGAGCCAATATCTCAGCGAGAATCCGTGCCCTGGGCTTCTCCTCCTGGCGGATCACGGGAGAGCTCTCGCCATTTGCAGCAGCGTTGGGCTCGTTGGGCGGGGTGGCAGGGCCCTCGGCCGAGGCCTCGCCTTCCACCAGGATCTCGTTGCCGCCAAGTGAAGTGTGGTTCAGGAGCAGAGCGGTACGGGCCGCGGTCTCCTTCTCGAATGTTACGGTAGCCGACTTGGTCTCTGCGCCGGCAGTAATCTCAATTGAGGTGATCTTGCCGCTGAGAAGGGTTAGTTGGGCATTAATTGATGGGTAGGGTGAGGGAGGGGAGGGGAAGAGTTACCAGAAAGAGAAGAAGTCCTTGATCTCCTTGTCAGCAGTGTTAAGGCCGATGTTCTTGACGTGCACTGTTGTAGCCATGGTTGAGGTTGTTTCTGGGTGTTGACTGGGAAGTTCCCTGGGAAAGCTGCTGGTGATTTGAGAAGTCGAAAGAAAGTTAGGTGGGCAGAAGAGCAAGCGGGGAAATCGGCTGTCTTTCCCAACAAGCGGGCGGGGTAAAGTGGGCTATATGTAGATCGGTCGCTCGGTGCCTGATCAGTGACGATGCACGCAAGAATCCTCGCAGAGAGAGGCAAAGAGTTGGGAGAAGAAAATAGGTCGAGATCCCTGCAGCGGTTGGGCAGCGCCAAATAAATGAAAAAGAGCTTGTGAGGGTGGCGTGGTGGATTGTGGGCGCCAAGATAGCCGACACAACACGAGGTTGCTTTTAGCTCAGGAGATGGGAGGGCAAGTAATCGGTCGGTTAGCAGTATGTAGCCTGTGAGGGGCGATTACCCTGCTGGCCGATGTCCCACTGTCGTCATCCCCCGCCAAGCATGTGATTCTGACGGGCCTCGTCATACCTTGACAGTGTGCTGTGGCTGCTACGGTGGCGCAGCGGCCCGCGGCTGGAGGAGCGGTTATCACGCTGCGTAATGTTATGCCTGTGTTACTCGAGGCGCCTGCTGAAGTTCAGAACAATGTGATCGCAAAAAAGCAAGTCTGCAATCTTCGGCTCTATGGGGCACCTATTGAGGAGGCCCCGACCAATGAACTCGTGACAAAGATTTGGCGCATCCGATGTGGAAAAGAGGCAGCTTTGCCAAGTTGATTATCTTACAGTAATTACACTACCGCACACAGTCCTCGATTTCCGCCTGCCAGCTCAGAACAAGCTCCCAGCCCTCCCAGGACGCGGATGCTCCGGATACTTGCGCGTCAATTCGTCATCCATGGCGCCTTTAGGATTTGACGCCAAGTGCTGTGCATCAGGCAGTCAGCATTAGCTTATTGTAAGGCATTCTGGCAATAGGCAGTGCCGACCTCAATGGCCTCTTTATTGTGCTTCTCCAGCTCTTGGCAGTCGATATTGTCGTGGAACTTGCCCTTACCCATAAGGTCGTGCATCTGGCAACCCCACGAGCGTTCGGGTTTGGGAGACTGGCCGCCTTCTTCACGGTCAGGCACCGCTTTCTTTGCGACTGTGTCGGCCATAACGGCGGATCGCCCGGGATTGCAGTGCGCTGTATCGAAAATTGCTTGATCTGGTTGGGCTTGTTGGTTACTGATTGGGCCGCGTGTCAGGGGGTTTCACATGCAACGGGACGCGAAGGTCGCGAAAGTGGGCGTGTTAGCCTGATCTTCGGGCGATGCGTTTGGAGATTTGTGGAAATGCCGAAATTGGGCTTGTTGGGGACGGTGAGGGTTCCTTATGCCATTCTGTAGCCTTCGAGAGCCCTTCTCGCTGTCCTCAACCCCTCCCTCTCGATGTTCCGGCGATGATGTCATGGGCGCAGGTGACAAGCTGGATGATCCGGGATGCAAAGACCACCGAACCCGGTCGCACATGCATGGGCCCGCTTTTTGCACCGGAACCCGCTTTCAAATGCTCGGCAGCGTTCGAGACCTTGTCGACGACCAGGGCAGCTTTCTGACCTTCCATCCTCGACTTTTAGTTTCCGAGTGAGAGGCTCGAGCAGCTCAACTGCTGCCATCTTTGGTCTCAAGGAGAGGTATCCGAATGTTTTGATCCTTGTTTATTCAAGATAGTGATCAAGCAGGCTTTTAGTCAATCGCAATTCGCAACAGAATTGCGATCGACCTCACCCGATCCCAAGTCCAACCCGTAAGCCCCTTGAGCCCGTAACATGGAAAGCTGTACCGCTCCCATTCATCCATCTTTCATCTCATCTTCGTCTCTACAGATTCTGTACCCATAAATACACGGGGAGACTATCAATCCTCTTTTTTGCATTTTCTACCCTGCATATTGTGCCGCCAGCTGCTCAGCAACTGAGCAAAACTAAGCATTTCTTCATGTTACCCATTTTTCTGTCGTAGTTGTGACTTCACGACGAGAGAGAAGAAAAAGCTCTAGCTCTCATTTGTTACCCTTTATATTTCTCTCCAAAATGTACCGAGGTTCTGCCCATACGTCTTCATTCTCAACTGTCTTGTCATAGCGACAGCACATACTGTCCAACTGCAAAATGAAGGATTTAACGCTGCTGAGACGGAGCCGTTCTGCTCCCCCATCTGGCACCAATCTGAGCAACACTCATCTGACCCATCTTGGGATGCCCCCCGGGACAAGCTCGGTCGATCACAGGACGTGCTCTCGGGAGCCTTCCCCAGAGCCCTTACCGGACCGAAAGCACTGGGGCAAAATCTCCAAAGATTTGCCGTTGGCGCTCTGGTTGAAGACCAACGACAATGTCGTAAGCTTCACTTTTCTTCTCTCCTAACTCCCTAGCTATGCTTCTAACCGGAACAGCTCTCCTCCAGAAACAGCGTTGCCGCCGCGGCTGCCATTCCCCGCTCGTTCTCCTTGCCCGCGCTGCCGGGCCCCGAACAGATGGACCTTACCTCCGACGGAAGATCCACGGGTGAGCCCCAAGTCGAGGGTGAGTACATTTTCACCCCAATGGACGTCGTCTTCCCGGTCCTGCCCCACGCTCCGTGCCCACCATCTGTGCCCACTCCCGGCGCAAACAGTTTTCTCGGCAGCGGGGCGGGTACCCCCGCTCCTGTCGCCGGCCCGAGCTCGGCCTGTTTCGGGACCCCGCCGTCCATCCAAAAACGGCCCCGAAAGAATTCCTATTCTGCACCTTGCCCTGCCCCCATCTCTGGTCTGTTTGGTTCTGTCCCACTTGGCTTTTCGCCCGCGCCCTGGCAGCACAAGCCGCCGGCACTGCAGGACCTGCCCATCCCTCCTGGGGGACTGTCAAATCGGGCGAGTAGCGACTCGGGGGGAATGATGGAAGTTGAAATGGAGTTGGATAGGCAGGGTGTTGCGAGGGTTATTGCGGAGGTAGGGAGAAGATTGGGGAGGATACAGTTGGCGTCGAGGGGAGGAGATGGGGAGGGAGATATTGAGATGGAAGGGATGGAGGAGGGCGAGGAGGGGGATCTGATTGAGGAGTAGTGGGTGTTTGGCTGTTGTTTCTGTAAATTGCTTGAGATACCCAGTTTTAGTGTTTACGTGCTTAGCTTGGTGGGATGCATCGTTCTATTTTGAGTCTGACCGTGAAGCATTTTTCCCCCCTTCTGCCTGACATAACTGTCCTGGTTTCGCGTGACGCTCGATGTTTGCGGTTGACTCTTAACACCCTGATGTTGATTGACATCAAATCAAATATCTCACACATGACTCTCTTATACCCTGCTATTCATGATCCAGGACTCCCCAAGAGCCCGTGTTGTTATAATTGCTTAATAATTCTAGGATTGAGGCCTTCTTGGCCAATCAGAGAGCACGGTCGGATGGCGCAATGGTAGCGCGTTACTTTCCGGTTTGGCGCAGACAATCCCCGCACATTCAATTGTGCAATGTCTGTGTTCTCCTGCTGGTAAAGGTTCTGGGTTCGAGTCCCAGTCTGATCGATTTTTGCTGCATTTTTACTTGTCAATGTGCAAAAAGTGGAGGGTAAACGGTGGGGATATGTACTTGAGGGTTTTAATGAGAGTTACTGTCAGGGTTCGGTTGAGGGCTTGGCATGAAAAGAAGGTTGCTGTGGAGATGTCAAGGTGTGACAAATCAGGGAAATAGAAAACAAAAGGGGTAACCCTAAGTTGGGGTGATGACTGGGAGGTGAGACAACTGTGCGCTGGTGTTGGCTATGACTTGCTCAGCATGGAGGAAAACTTCGGACCGCTGCACTCACAGGGGAATTTTGCCAGTCACTTATCGACACGATAATTTTGGTGTCTGTTCCTCGGTATTTGAGCTGGGTTCTTTACCTATTTGGGTATTCGAGACCAGCTGGATGCAGCTCGCACACATGACGACGATTTAACCTGCGCGACAAGCGTGTCGTACACTGGGGTTAATCATATGAGCGTACACTAAGAATTTGATTCAGTAGTGCAGTAATATCATATGTAGCATAGCGTGATATTTAACTGTTGTTGCTTGCTATAAAGGGTTGTGGTGGTAGACCCTCGCCCGGGTTCCAGACTCCGCACCCACTCTTCCTTATTGCCCAAGCACTCAGGATAAATTTTCTCTCTCACTTCCAAGTCCTTGACCATCTTTCTCTCCGTAAAAATTTAAATCATATCCTAAATACGCGTAAATTTGCACGAAGCAACGCACGAACGGAGTGGATGGCGGAGGCACATTTCGAGAGAGTCAAGTCCCCTCCGGCTGCTTGCTGGGAACACAACTCCAGCAAGCCGCTGGACGAACAAAACACTAACTTCGAGGTTTAAACTTTTCCGGATATCTTCCTGTCATCTAGCGTTATCGCCGATAGCGCCTCTGCCTCTGGTAAGTACTTATGGCAACTTGAGCATTCTAACACGCGAGAGTTCCTGACCCTCTCGCAGTCAAAACACGAGCCATCTATCGAGCTTAAAGGCAAGAAGCGCATCCGCTTCGTAGACAATATTGAACAACCTCCGCGACTGCGCAGCTTCTTTTCCAAACTCAGGACTACCGTCCCAGAAAGCGCACACGTGTCGTAGCGGCCTGCTTAAGGAGAAATATCGCATCCTCTCTTTCACCGACTGGCGATTCATCCTCGCAATGCTCAAGGAAATCTTCCAGGCCACCTGCAAGAGACTCACTCCCAAAGACAAGCCCACGCATGAGATTGTTCACGATCGCGCTCCTCCCGCCGCAGAGCAGAAGTCGTTATGTCGCACAGAGGCGTATCTTGTCTTTCTCTTAGCACACAAGATGTGGGGCCTTTACTAGAATATCGTCCAGTTGCCCAAGCATATCAGGCACATGGAAAAATATACTCGGGTCACAAAATGTCGGCGCTCAGCTGCCGGCAATCGCTGCTGAAAAGAAAGAAAATGCAGACCCAAAGAATGGTGCTATGACCAGGAAAAAGCGAAATGTAATATGACCTGGAAAAGATGTGTTGGGAAGAAATCAAGACCATTAATTTTTGGCAGGAAATATCGCTGAGTCAATCAAGTCTGTGTGTCTGTTCCACGGGTTCAAAGGTAGCTAGAGCAGTTAACTGCAGACTTCGCAGCAAGCACTTTTAAGCTGTAGGAAACCTCATCTATCGAAGACCCCAAGTTGATTCAACATACCGGCGCCTATCCTGCCAGCGTGGTCAAGGACAGTAAGCCAGCTATTCAAAGGGCTCTTAACAAACTCGTCCAAAATTTCTACAAGCTGGCGTAAGATCTGCTCGAACATATAAGCATCCTCACTACCGCTATTCTTATATCCTTCGTATCATGGAGTTCTTGAGCACTGTCACGAAAAAAAACTACCACGAGACTACGGAAATTATGGGGAACCTAATAAAAGCAGCAAAATCACGCATCAAGGCAGTCTTACGAATCCTGAAAGCAAGGTACTAGGCTCAATGAATCTCTGCTGGTTTTACAAAACCAAGTTTTGACTAACGTGAATAATTTCCCTCGTCAACTGCCTATCATAGGTAGGTAGAGGTAAGTAAATAAAACGCACGGCAGGAAATTTAAAGGAAAGCTTGAGAGTCCCATTCAGCTGTTACTGTCTTGGAATTGGCTATTCCGGGGCTAATACCAACGACAATCGCGTCCAACTCGACGGTCTAAGCCTTTTTTTGCGCTCGCTTAGTAGATTCGTCGACAAAAAGAGAGATCATCTTTCGGACATTTCTGGTCATGTCGATCAACCGAACACCATTGGAAATAGTACAGGATAGATCAAGAGGCAGGATTCTCGTAACCAATAGCGATGAAGACCCCGGGAGTTATGGGAAGCATGATATAACTAACATTATCGTACAGGTACCTCGCGCAACACCAATGTGAAGATAGCCCAAGACCAAAAGTAGAAACGAGAGCACGGTACAAGTCATATCGTACACTCTCCATATCCAAAAAGGTCCAATCTGTAAGCGGAAGCAAAGACAGAGGAAATGTCAGCCATATCATACAATCAGAGATCCGTTCAAGGCCCTCGGTCGTCGAGATATGGATGAGGAGCAATGAAGCTGCGTCAGTTGTCAGCATGGCGACCCTGATGTGAGAAGAAAGGCAAAAAAAAAAAAAAAAAAAAACTTAAACTTTTTGGCCCTGAGCCACCGCACCAGGCCGCCAGGGATCCGGTAAGTGTACTCGTTTTCCCAGAACACAACCCTGGCAAACTGCTCGCCCTGGAGCTTGGCAATCTTATCGTCTGCTTCTTGTAAGCACTCATCTAAGATCGTAACTCCCAAGAAAAAACTTACATTGTTCCTTCCGGCAAGTCAACCACCCCACCAACACTCCGGCCACAGCCTCCCTCTCCAGCCGCTCATCATCCCAACTCTTCATCATTTGACTCACATCGTCTCTCTCTTCTTTCCGAGTCAGTTCTTCCTTCTTGCAGCGCTCCTCCTCTTGATTTTTCCTCTCCTCCCTCATCTCCCACGTTTCTTGCAGGACGTACTCCCCCAGACTGCCAAGCTCCTTCCCACCGTGAGAAAGCTCGTTCTCCTTTTTCTCCTCATTCTCCTTCTCTTCCAACTGCCACTGGTACTCCAAGGCGATCTGGTATCTCAGCGGCACTCTCTCTGCTCTCTCAGAGCGCGATTGATCGCCGGACTCAAAGTTGTTGGTGTTGCTAGCAATTTGGGGATTTGTGTTCGAATCCAGCGCTGGCGAGGTTTCTTCCTCCTCGACGGGAACGTTGATGACCTGGACCTGCTCATATTCCCGCCGCTGCTGCTCGCGCTCCCACCACTGTTGTATGTTTTCGTTGCGCACGCGGTCGACGATGTCAAGACCAAAGCCAAACGACGGGGGCCCAGGTGGTTGCTGTTGCTGCTGCTGCTGTTGTTGTTGTTGTTGTTGTTGCTCGGGAGGGGACTGGAAAGAAGGGACGTCAGCAGCCCGGATAAAGAGCGGTGGCTGCAGGGGGTTGTCATCAATGTCTTCTCTGTTGTCATCCAAGTTGGCGGATTCGATACCAGAAGGATTATCGTTACTGTCGTTGTCGTTCCATGTACCATCCATCCTCGCCATCAACCTTGCTTGAGGATCTAACCACATCAGGGCCTGCTGTCGCACCTCCTCAGCCAGCCTGATTCTCTCTATCTCCCGCTCGATCTCCAACCGCTCCTCCTCAGCCCTTTCCATCCTTGTTAACTCCTCATACTCCCTTGCCCTTGCAACCCTCACCCTCTCCAAAATCCTCTCCCACCTTCTTGTGGCCGGTAGCAGAGGAATATCAAATGGCGCACTCATCAACCGGTCTCTCCTCTCCAGCTCCTCCCACATCGACCAAAGCATCTTCCCAGCTGCGCCAATCTCCTCGTTTTCTTCCCGCAAAACAGACATGATTTCTGCGATAGCAAGCTCACACCGCCGTTCACACTCCCCCAACACTCCCGCCACCGGATCCTGCCACTCACCTTCGTCACCGGCCCTCCAGTTCTTCGTAACCCACATCTTCCTCTCCTTCATTCCCATCTCCTTCTCACTCCCCTCACCCCCTTCCTTCTCCACACGTCGCCCCTCACTATTAAACCACCTCCTCACAGCCTGCAAATCCCCAAGCCTCACCGACGGCAGTGTATACACCTCCGGATCTAGCTTAACCCCGGATGATTTGAGAAAGGCCTGGACACCAAGCCAGATGGTTTCATTGCAACGGAGATGGACGACAGGGGGGACATGAGATGGAGGTGATGGGGGCAGAAGGATAGGTCGAGGTTGGGGACGGGGACGAGGGTTAATATGCTGCTGCTGTGATGAGGAAAGGAGGGAGGAGGGGGTGACGCCCGCGGCGGCGTTTAGGAGTAGTAATGCCAGAGGGCCTCCAGAGACTCTGTGAGAGTTAGTGCCTGCTGTTATTAGGGATTTTCCATCACAGGGGGGATGGGGGAGAAAGCGAGAAAGAGATTGGGAAGACGTTGAAGGGGGTAAACTCACCATCGTAATTGCCCTTAGAGTCGGAGAAGGCCAGTCTGACTTCGCTATTTTCATGGCCCACGATGGGGATCTCAAAAGGCTGGAATTTCTTGGGCTCCTCAGGGGACACATACAGGGGCTCATACTTTAAAGGCTTCTGGGTCGAGGTGATGACCGAGCTAGAGCTGCCAGTAGCGGCGGAGCTAGTGCTAGCCGTTGCCAAGGGAGCGGGAAAAAAATAAGGGGGGGTACCAACACGACGGCCCGAAGGCTTCATGCATACGGCGCCCTCGTTGTCAGACTTGTCATCATCCTCATCATCCGACGCGAACAGAAACCTCTGGGATGCGGACTGAGAGGTATAGGCCTCGGGGGGAGGAACCCGGCCGGGCAAGGTGCGCGAGCCAGAGCCAGAAGAGAGAAACGGAACAGAGGACTGCGAGGTTGAAGTGGATAAAGTCGGGGCACCCGACGCAGAGACAGAGGCATAGGGAGACCCAGAGCCAGAAGAAGCCAATGCAAAAGACGACAAGATACGCATGGTCTGTGGGGGCCGAAGAAGACGCCTTTCACGTCTGGGAGGATTGGGGTGACGTGGAGGGGCATGGGGAGACTTGTACGGGATAGTCGCGAGTTCGGAGTGGATAAGCAGCCTGTCTGTCGACTTCGATTGCGGGAGGGGGTCGTAATTATACCTGCTTTTCCAGTGCTCAGGGTCCTTCCACTGTTCGGCCAGCCGGCCGGGGGCGCTGCCATGCTTGGGTTTCCTTCCCGGGCGGTTGCTCCAGATGCGTCTGGCGTCCCGCATGTTCTGGCCCTCGATCTCCAGGTTGCGTTGACGGCCAGCCTCGCCGTTGGGCAGAATATCGACCACGACTCTGTTGCCGTCTACATCTGTGTAGCTGCTGCTGCGCATGCACGTGGCATTGTCGTGCGACGTGGTGAAGCGACCCCACTTGGAACGCCGGGTGTTTGCAATCTCCTTGAAGCGCCTGTCAAAGTATTTGCGAAGGTGTTCCTTGTCGATGTGGTTGGATATGTCGTCCCGCCTGTCCGACATGGTGACGGTTGGCATGGAACTTGTGATGAGGAAGGGTTGGGAGAGAAGTTGACGAAAGGCTTCAGGCCGTTTGAGGCAAGTAGCAGAGATATGAGAGGGAAAGTAGCAGATAGATGAGAAAGAGGCGAAGCTTTGATGGCAAATGAGCTTCTGAAAGCAAGCAGTAGACGAGAAAGTCAGCTAAGTGAGGGTGTGATGGGAGTGGACCTGGAAGTATGTTAGTGCTGGAGTGTCAGTGTTTGAACTGTGCAAGACTTACCAGTGAGAACAAGCCAGCAACCTTATGAGATGAGTTGTAGATTGTAGACTTTCGAGTCCGGAGAACGGGGAAAAAAAACTGACATTTGGTCTCGGGAATAGAAATATATATAGACTCTAGGGCTGTCTCAAACACAGAGCTCTGCGCGTATTTTTCTCAGACAGAGGAGCTAGAGGGCCCTCGCGTGGAAATGAAAATCTCTACATGGCACGCGGGGAGAGCGTGATCGTCCATGGGGCGTCTTCAACCGGGCACATGAAGCCTTTGCTGGGGGGAGAGGGGCCAACCAACCCAGCAAGACAGATAAGATAACTAAAGGAGCCCGTATGTGCTGAAGAGGATCATTGCACGGCGTGGGACTCGCGCGCAATGATATGTCGCTTGTCCACGGGGCGTTTTCAGCCAAAAGGCCCGGAGTCCTTGCGGTGGCTTTGCGGTCCAAGCTTTGTCAGGGCTCAGCGAGGGGGCTTATGATGGGGACCTCTTAAGTCATTGACATGACTTCATAAAAGAAAATTGTTGAGTGAACGATCATAAAATTTGCGGCAGGTAGATCGGAGAGAGTGAAGTGGTTGGACATGTTGGATGTTCAGACCCAAGCTTATCTTGACCGCAGATAAATTCGGGTAATTCCAAGTTAAAGTCACCTCACTTCTGTGGTTTCAACTTGTTAGACCTGATTTCAAGTAGAGAAAGTCAGATTTCCTGTGAAGACCTTCCTGAAGTCCATGGAGTTTTTGGGAATTCACTTAAAAGGGCGCTCTATGATCGATAAGTTAGAAGATATGAATGGGGTGGAGAGGTGTAGCTATCAATGACGGAAATATTGGACAATATCTTACTCAGACTTTTCGATACCCAGGATTTGCCGTTATCGCTCGAAGAACGGGAGGTTGAAACATGTCAAAGCAAGTGTTTACTGGCCCTGTGGTATCCGCAGCGATGGCGCACACGACTGTGCTCCGTTGCCCCTGACTTGTGACAAAAAAGACTCGAATAGTTGATGTTAATAGCGATCAGGAGAGCATCAGAGTGTTATTTTGAGGTGGCCTTGTGGAGTGGCTGAGGAGAAGAGCATGGACGTCACAAATAGGTTGGAGTTTGGTTTCACTCCAGATCGGACTCTGCGAGCTGTTTGGGGCTTTTGGTTGTGAGAAACACGAAACCTATTGCTCGAGGATGTTTTGCCTATCTCACGGCATAAACTCTGTCATGAGACTTCATGTCGAAGGTGAATTTCCCAGAGCCGTTCACACGATGCTGTTCAAGGTAGCTCGGGCGGGAAATGTGATACTGAGCAGTCGCTCAGGGAACCCGAAAAGTTTTCGATGCATGACTGTTTTTTATTACCAATGTCGCTCGAACATTGGGTCATCTCGCCGGTGAAGGATCCAAGACCCAGAGCCAGAGTGTTGACCTTGGTTGCAAGCCGCGTGGGAGGATGGCGACATGAAGAGAACGATGCGAGAACAGCTTGAAACGAAGATGAAGGTGCTCAAGAGAGCCGAAATTCCTATCCAGATCATAGTCTGTACTTACTGCAATGCTTCGGGACTCAACCTGTTTGCCTTTAAACTGAGCTGGAAGACGAAATCTCAAAAAGATAAGGGATGGTACCCAGTGCACACGATGCTGTCAATGAATCACAAGGTTCCTCTTGACAAGACAGTGTAAACGGTAACCATCAATTTCACTCTCTGGATTGTTTTTATGCCCGTATGTAAGGAAGTTATGTAGGCCTTCAAGTATCATTCCAACACTCAACACGGGGGATAAGCGAGAATGAGAAACACTTATCGTGTCAGTAACTCACCGTGTGGCCAGATAGCTAGCACTCCTTCTACAGACGATCGTCAGGTCAGATGCGCGGTCTACCTTTGACGGACCGTGGCTACCGCGAAACCATCGTTCTGCCAGTCCGTTCCCATCCCACATACAACCGACCTCCCGCGTGACCAGCTCACGTGCACGATACAGATGAGCAACATCAAAAGGCTTATCTCTCTCCAGCAAGGGACGATCACTGGCCATTTATGAGCTCAAACGGACGTCAGACCAACGCACGTCGGAAAACTCGGACGTTCGCCCAGACAAACAGATGGAGGGCTTATGCTGGAGTTTGCTTCAACCCCTGACTGACAGTTCTTGACATGAGCGTGGTTGCACTCTATAATGGAGACAGGCAAGAAAGATCTGCATCAGTGGATCGATCTCGAAGGATCAGAACCAGCTCCTCGGGTCAATGTGGAGGAGGATGAGGAGAAGGAGGGGAAGGAATGTTGCGCAGCTAAGGAAGGGCAGTTAGCGCGACGATCGATCGGTGAAGCTCGTTTGATTAGGGGCATCGATCCTGTCCTCCTGCAGGCTTTAGCAGAGTGGACATCATCGTTAGAGATGGGAAAGGATATCTTTGCTAGATTTGAACAAGATGATGCTGCAACGAGGTCTGCGATGGTAAACGTGGTTGGTGTCTGTCTCAACAAGCCAAAAAAAAAACCCTCTATCCGTGCAGCCTCTCTGGCCACGCCAGCCAACCCTCTTGTAGTTGCATCGCAGTCGCCCATACCTATCCATCCCACCCATCCCGATAGCGAAGCCCACATCTCATCGCCACCAACCCCGGCTCTCACTGCATTAGCAGTGCCGCAGCCAATAGGGTAGCATGGCATTTGCCTTAGCACACATCCGTCCCGCCAAGCTGGGCAGACGATCTCTTACACTCGCAGCGGTGCATTCTCCGATGGCAAGCGTTTGTAAGCCGTCAGATTTGTCGGCTGCAAAAGAGTTCTTTCGACCTATTTGATTGTGCATCGGAACTCCTGAAGGCCAGTGCGGCTGCTCGAACCAGGATGACTGCGGACAGGAAGTGGGTTTTCCACAGCTCCTAGTGGACCGTGAGTGCTTTCGATAGAAGAATCACAAATGGTGACTGGGATTGTAGCTTTGCCAGCCGTGCTGGCTCCCGACGGTGCTCGAAGCTAACCCGTAGGCTAGTGTCCATAGCGGCGAAAGCTCGAGATTAGCCGGGCAAAACCTGATAGCAGACAATAAGAAAGCCGGAGAGAATGCTCAGCTTGGATGGACTCCGTCAGCTAGTGGTCGTTTCATTTCATTCGTGTCTAGCTTGCTGCCATCGATATGCGTTGTTGTATCTTACGTCTTGGGTCACCTGAAGTTAGCGAGTGAGGTTGTCGTCATCATGCCAAGTCGCCGCCCCCTTGGCCGAGGTCAGCCTCTCCGGCAGAGTTGCAAGGTCGGACTCAACTCACGGGAATGTGCATCTGCTGGGGAACAATCCTGCAGCAGCGTCCCTTGACGATCTCTCTGCATGCACCAAACCACTCTGGTGCTAGTGTTGCATGCAAAGGCTTGTGTGCGGTCGCCTTCGATGCAACACAGCTGTGCTTCGGGCCGTTTTCGTGCGTCGTTGGCGCCATTCAGCCTTGCACCTGAGCAGGGCCGTCGGCGTCGAGCCACGCAAAGATTTGCCGGGTTCACCACAAAATGTGGGCGTCAGTATTGATACCATAATGTTACCATGATGCCCCGCGACTGACTCCAGGCATTCCCCACACGGCGAAAATCCACCTCCAATTCTCCATGGGGCAGAAGAGCGTGTGGAGTCCTGGATCGTGATAAGACTCCGCTTCTATCAGCAGCCGATTAGCCGCCATTCAGGGCTGCTAACAGGGCAGAGGAGGCGAATGTGAAAATTCCATCTGTATGTCTGTCAACTTTCTCTGAAATACCAATAACCATCCACATCTGATTGGGAGTTTTTGATACTAATATGACAACCTGCAGCCTTCAGCCTCTTGCGGTTACTGGACGCAGTTGCAATGGTTTACGTACAGCACAGTCAATGGGCAGATAGCGGGCGACACAGCCAGTATAGGCAGTAATAAACGATGCTGGGCTATTGGAGCTCTCCCCACACCAATTCCACATCCCCAGGGCCCACTACAGAGAGAAATCCAACAGCCACGGGGTTGGTGTTCCTGGAGTCCGGAAGGCAACAGCAGCGCTTGATTCGACGTTGCATCGCACGCGGGACCCACCAGGGGATCCATCTGCTCCCCACCCAACGCCACAGGGGGTGCTTCATGCATTTCTCCAAGCCCCACAACACAAACCGCAGCGTCCAGGGGCGGCAACAAGTCAACTCTCACAGAAATAGTTGCGATGCAATGGGTGCCATGACCACCGCCCATGGGGAAGAAGACAGCTAGAACGCCCAGCCAGCACTATTGATTGGCCAGATTGGTGAAGAATGGAGTCTGGCCCGGGCTGGGCTGGCCGGCTGAGATCCAGGCGCAGAAGAGACGAAGGGGAGAGGAGGGAAGGAAAAAGAGAAAATGCTGGCATGGAGAGTCACCCACGCTGGCTCGCGCTCCGGTGCGGCGACAAGACAACCCCCGTCTGATGAACCCTCCCGGCTGCGTTCCTGGTCTATTCTCTCGGTCCTAGGTTGTCGGCCGATTCCTGCAGCTGCTGACTCTGGGAGAAACAACAAGTGGATGGCCCCCGGCTATCGCTGATTGTGTCATCTCTCTGTTTCAAGTTTGCTCTCCACTTGATCTGACATACTCTGTTTGAGAGCGAGCTGTGTTGAGATTTTCTTCAATATCAGACGTGGTCTAATAACGTTGAGACCGATTCCTGGAGGCTTCATGAACCGGACGAGTGCAGGCAGCATGGAGCCCTTTGCCCATGCCAACGACTTAGACGACATGGCGTATGTACTCTCTCGTCTCCATAGAAGACATCACTGCTAACTATGCTGCAGTGACAAGCTCAGCCAGCTTAGCACTTCGTCCCAGCCGTACGATGACCGCCCGCGAATCCCGTCGATCCCCCGTTCCGACTCACCGAGGACCTTCTTCGATGATTTCATCCCGCGCCCCGGCACCGCTAAATCACAAGCAGGCTCCGAGCGCCGGCCGTCGCGGGGCTCAACCCTCGGCCTTAGCATCTTCCCAGCCCCCAAGGGTCCGGCCCCGAATCGTCCTCTGCCCGCCGTGCCGCCTCTGAACCGCGCCAACTCCCACCGCACGTCTCTCCAGCAATCGATCGACGGCTCCGAGGCCGGTGTCTCGGGTGACACCTCGCACTATTCACAGTCTTCGGCAGCATCGACTTTGGAACGAACGTCTACGAATGGAAGTGGCAGCGCCGCATCGCCTCTCTCGCCCCCTCCTCTGTCGCCCCTGAAGCTGTCTGAGCTCAGGAAAAAGCTTTACCAGCCTCTTCAGCCTCCTATCGCTGATTCTGGAGTCACCCTGCACCACTGGAAGCAGCTCACTTCGACCGATAAGCCTTCAAAGGACCCAACCATCTACTTTTTCGACGTGAGCGTGACCTCTGCAACTCTCGCCTCTAAACATGGCAACAACCTCGTGAAAGTCTGGTCTGTCAGTACAGGCGAAGTTCTATCCTCTCTCAAAATCTCCTGCTACACGACCGCGCAGCGACGTTCCCGCGAGTACTTTGTGCGCTCTCATGCGGTTCTCTCCGAGCCCCAGTCCCTCATCGCAATTGCAACCGGCTTCGGCGACACCCTCGAGATTTACGACTGGTCCCGCAAAAAGCGCCTGCAAACCATCGACGCCGCCAACCGCTGGGCGGCGGCCCGCAGCTCCAACTCCCTAGACACAACCTGGTGTCCCCTAGCAACTTACCGCTCCGATACCCACACCATCGACCTATACACAGTAGCTCGGACCTCCGCCCTATCCAAGAAACCCCTCAAAAAGGCCCGCTCCATCGACCTCACCAAGTGCAACCTCCCCATCCTCCCCAAATTCCCCGAGCTCGCCTTCTCCTCCACCTCACCCCTCCTCGTCACAGCCTCTGGCCCCCGCCCCCCACGGCCCGGCCACCCTCCCCCGCAAAACGAAACCCTCCTCGTCGCCTGGGAAATCCACGACGGCGCGCCCGCTAACACTCCCTACAAGCTCGTCACTCCTTGGCAGCACCCCGAGATCGAGACTGCTTTGCCGTCTGGCCTCGCCACGTACGGCAGTGTGGCTGTGTCCATCTGGATCCCGGCCTCGTATAAGGCAGTCCCGATCCCCGGAGGCCAGGGCGGCTTCCACATCCAGCCTGTCCAGGTGCCCTACAGGTACGTGCTTGTCTGGGACTTCTCCGTCAACAGCACACGTACCTTCCGCATTCCTAATGCCCAGGCGGCGTGTATATCCCCTGACTGCCGCTTCATCGCGTACTGCGACGCCTCCGGCGTTGAGTCTGGAGCCCGGGGTTGCCTAGCCCTGCTGGATGCCATGTCAGGCAAGATGCTCTGGTGCTGGCCGGATCCGGATGCGCCTGTTGGCGGGCAGGAGGATTTGGAGAGGGAGTTGGGGGGAAGTTTAAGGGCTGTGAGTGAGATGGCGTTTAGTGAGGACGGAGGATTCTTGTTTGTAGGTGAGGACAGAGGGGGAATACATGTGTTTGAGGTTAGGGAGAGGGATAAGGTGAAGGGGGTGCAGGGACTGGGGCAAGGGGAGTGGGAAAAGGCAGCGGGAAGTGGGGTTAGTGTGGTGCCTGTGCCGAGCGCATGAGTTTCGGATGGGAATAACGGTTGTAAAGGATGGTTAAGTCGTTGGTGATGGATTGGATAGATGGGATGTTTGTTGGTCAAGGATTAAGGGTAATGACTGGGTGAATGGATGAATTGGATATGGCAACTACGCTGGATGGGTCGGTATATTGAAGGGGAATCAGTAGGGCTCGAGATGTGGGACCAGGAATCGGTTTCTTTCGTTCGTTACTGTATCTTTCCTTTTTCTTTGTGTATTTCCTCTCGTTTGAATCCTCCTTTTTTGTGGAGACGTCTTCCGGTGACCAGTGGAAGGCGTCACTTTGGGTTCCCTGGAACGGCGAATGGTTTCGGCTTTGGCTTTGGCTTGGATATTTGCAATCTTGCTTTACTTGGAGATAAATGGCTTAGCTAGGTACGTTTCAGAAGTTGACCAGCAATCCCATCAAACAGTCTGCCCTCTTTCATACTCGGGTGGTGACGGTTGGTCAGGACTCAGACCACCCCCGCCCTTTACGTCATTCTAGCCCCTATCGCTGATCTTGGGGGTTGCCAGCCATTTGTTCGCCTTTCCTGATCGTGCCAGCTTACCACTCGTGACCTAGTTTCCCTTGCCGCCAGTGAAAACAAAACCTCAATGACCGTAGTGCCACAGTTGCTTCAACTGCTGTCCCACTGATTCGAGCACGTAGCACCTCACGCGAATGCTCCTTTCCTGTCGCTGTATACATGTAGCGCCAGCCATCCAAACATTCCTTCTGGACTCCCTTCTGGCTACAATTAAACACATCTGATTCCGTCCCTTATCTTCTCCCTACTTAGCCCAGGCCAGGCGTCCAATTTCGACTGCCACTGCTGTAACCAGCTTACCTTAGACATGAACTGCTCTCGGTTCTGCTCCCATTTTCCGACTTCGATCACAGCAGCCAACTGAGCTTTCTTTTCCCCTGCTAAACTGTTCCCTGATGCCCGCTTTTCTTCCTCCAGGTTTCCTTGTCCATTCTCTCATTCACTATCTTTTGATTCCGGCTTCTCTTCCTTCTTTGATGAACAATTATTTGACTCCAAGTATTCTGCTTCCTCCTTTGATGAGCTGGTTCCTAATTCTCACTCTTCATTGTCCTCGTCCGGTGAACTGTTTCTTCGTCTCAAATCCCTTTCCTGACTCTAATCTGCCTTCTTGTCTGGATAAAATGTTCGTGGAGGTATTTATACGAGGGAGATCAAGATGCGCAGATCTGAAAAGTGGTCAAGGAGATCCTCCGCCGTTCGCAAGATCAATATCAAGTTTGATGAATGCTTGGGCATCCCTGCTGTGTGCTTAACAACCCACAAAAGGCATACTCAGATAGAAAACGCTAGCAGCTCAGGTCACATGAAAAGGCACGAATTGCATTTACACCGATTTTCTTATTGTCAAAGAGGTATCAACAAGGGGCCTGTTTCCACTTAAACGGCTGTCAGCAGGAGATTTTCAACTTATTCTGGTGAGCTTTGGTACTGCTGTTCGTGTTCAGTTTTGTAATAAAGTAATGGTTGAGACCGCTGCAAGCAAGAAATTCCCATTAGGAGAAATTGTGAGCATGAACGTCCAGGTCTTCTCGAATAAATGTGAGAATTAGAGTTAAGATGTTATCTGGTATGCTCGAAATCCAGCAGGCGTCCTGAAGGATCCATCCCTTTCTGTCTACAGCTTTTTGCAAGTGCTTCAATATCCGTTTTACTTGGTCGAGGTTCTCGCTGCTAACATCGTTGAGAGCTTTGCAGTGGTGTACGAATTGTCTCAAGACTATATAGCATTTGGAACGTGGAAGGCCCAAGACTTCTTTGGAAGAACTTCGACTAGTGAGAGTAGTGCAGAACATATGACAAAGTCATGTTGGACTTTAAGTTGAGCCCATCTCTGAAGACGTTGTCGCAGAGTTGGCCTGATGCGGAAGTCCTTTACTGTCCTATGTAGGAGAGTTATACGGAGATTATGCCATGCCATCATCTCACGATGGACTGTACAGTCTCTCGTCTTCAGGAGTCTTTTGCGGCAAGCATGGAGTTGGTCTCCGCTTTTAGTTGAAGCGGGTGTTCATCTGTTTAACTGTGACTGGTCGAATCCCAGATTTGTATGTGTAGTTTGGATTTTCGCCTGAGTGGAAAATATACCTGTAGGCCATAGTGGAAATCCAGAATAGCCGTTTAGCGTAGTCTCAAACACTGAAGCCGCCTTGAACCTATAATGTTTCTCAACATCTGATAGCAATGTTTTTCGAAGTTTTCATCCGTGTTTCGCAGTAACTCACAAAGTCGGAACTAAAGGTCAACGATGCTATCGCTGCGATTTCGAGCAGGATATATGTGGCTGCAAGTCAAATATAGGACTCATGCAACAAAGAATTTTCCGGATTTATCGGTAAAAAGATATAATGGGCGTCTTCTCTCAGATATCAATGAAGCCGAAGACCGAACGCTTCATAAACTGCCCACATCTCCGTTGCGAGGACGCCTCGAGATTCTTGAGCGCATTCGTTGGATCCTCCGTTTCCATCCTTCTTTTTGGTTGGCCTGGAGTCCGTCCAAATCTTTTCCGGAGAGGAATTCCGAAAGGGAGGCCTTCTGTTCAGGACTTAATGCAGCTATATGGTCCTTGATCAAATCTCGTAGGGGTACAGGCTGCATGAGAACGGTGCGCTTGACACGCAGGGGAATGCGAACGTTGGGATCAGCGCCACTTGCAAGAAGTAACCGAAGTAGTTCGTGTACCTGCTTGGGACTGTCCATGTCCCAGCGGCTTGGTAGAAAATGCGGCGCATAATACATGGGATAACGACTTCCCGCTACCGTCAGCAAATATAGCATCCATATAGAAGGATTCCAGATGGTGTATTCGCTCGATTTCAACTTGAAGTAGAGATCAGGGATTGAAGAATTTGGATCGACATGGAGCTTTTGGAGAAAATATTGAGCCAAGGTAATGTGATGTACGATTAAAGACACACAAAGAAGGCGTGTACGGCAGCCAACTCGATCCAATAGGTTTTTGTTATCTTCTAAGACCCGGTAAAAACAACTGTCCAGGCCGTTGAGAACACAGACTCCCAAAAGGCCCTCATAGATCGCATCTGTGGAGACTGGCTCCGTGAGCCTGTTGACTTTTGTAGAATGTGGAGGAAGCTTCCAGTCTCCAAACAGGGCAGGGCCAAGCTGAAGATCATCGGGGTCCCATGTGGTCTTCAAAAACTCCTTTAGGAGTTTGATGATAAATCTATGTTGGATTGGGATGAATCCATGTCGTAGAGAGCTTTGCAGTGTACAAGGAACGAATCAAGGACCGCTCTGGAGCATTCTGGGGGTCGTCTTAGTTTCGTCGGTGACATCTTCAAGTAGACGAGTGATGCGGAGCATATAACAGCATCCAAGTACGGGCCCTCCGAGTTCCAAGTCAACAGCCTAGAAGATATATCGCTGCTAGCCAAAAAATCTCTGACAGTTCTGTGGAGGAACTCTACAGGGTAGTCCAGCCAATCTCTGTCCGAAGTGATTGTGTCATTTATTGCGATGTATGGTCGGTTTTGCATGCGTTTTGCTTCCAAGAGACCTTTGGAATAAGCATTGAGTTGTCTTTTCATTTGCTCAAATAGAGTGCCGACTTTGCTGGGTTCGACAGGAGTGATATCTCCCAGTGCATATTCCTTCATGTCCTGAAGGTCTAGGTTCCGCGTGAAGACCCAGTAGGCTGTAAGTGGAAGGTTCATGTTGCTTTTAAGAGCCACAGTGAACATAAGTACGCTCATTCGTCGGTAAAGTTGATCGATGTCGGTAAACAAGATTTTCTCAAAACACTTGTTGAGGTCTGCTGGAAACTCCTGGAGTCGCTTCCGGAGAAATGCAACACTATCTCCGTTGACAAGTCCTTCTTTCAATGATCTGACGACAAGGATGACCCAAAGAAATACTCCTTGTGCGGAATCAATAATCTCTTGAATCAACTCGGCACCAGCGCCATTCTCTCTCGCTTCAAAGGCCTGGTAGTTTTCGTCGCCTGCAAATTCTTCACGCACATATACTCTGATGTCGTCACGGGTGAGATCATGCATGTAAAGCTTGTAGGTATTTCTCTTGCCAAAGCCCTCCTCAAATTCATTCCATGGACGGCTGGCGATACAGAGCTTGACACCAGGAATAGTTTGGAGAGTATGGATCAGTCGGACCATATCACTCGGCCAACCTTCGTATTCGTCGAGTCCATCGATAAAAAAGCAACAACGCTGACCACTTTTAGAAAGCCAAGTGCAGACACTTCGAAGTAGATCAATGTGTTCACGAACCGTCCCAGGTGGCGTTGGCAATTGTAAAGATGCAAGCTGAAGGTTGCTACCATGGTTTTGTTGTGGCAGTTTGACGAGGTCTGAAAACACATTCCAGATAGCATCCGGGCTTTGGCGGAAGATCTGGTACAGTAAAGATCGGAGAAGACCTTGCTGAGACTTCTGCAACGAATCTTTTGCGGCATACCAGAAGAAGAAACCAGCCAAGATCGCCGGCTTCTCTGCCGCCCATGATCTCAAGGCATCCTTGGTCTTTTTATGGTTGTATAGGTATTTCATGAAAGTTGACTTGCCGGATGCGGGCTTTCCCGATACCCAGAATAAGTCACTGTCAGACAAAAACCACTTTGCAATGGATGAAAGGGGCACGTCGACACCTTCCTGAGTCCCGAAAGCCCATGTAAATGTGTTCTTGTGCGGTTCTGCAATGTTCCAATATCGATCATCCATTCTATGGAATCGAAAATTGTTCAAAACCCTCTGCTCAACTGTGTACCGGGCCTCGTCTTTTGCTACGCTCAAAAGCAGCAATGCATCATTTGCTCGAGCCCTGTGGTCGCCAGATTTAAGCGATTCCCTGAGATCATCAACGGCTTCAATTAACCGTTGTATTTCACTAGTCCTGGCTGCTTCGAGGATCTTGTTTTGATGTTCGAGTTTTGTAAGTCTCTGGGACATTGCACTCAGCTGTTCGGTAACTATGCTGTTGCTCAAAGCGTTTCCGATCCTGTCGACTCTCTGGCTTAGAGATTGTTGATCTCCCGTTCCTGCCAGACCAATGCTAACGCTTGACGAAGGGATGTCCAAAAATTCTGTCCTTGTCGAAGCTCCAACGACTCAGTAGCCTCCAGAAGCTGACTCGCGGTTTGATCGCATTGGATTGCGAGACTTTTGAGATGCTCGTCTTGAGTTTGTAGAATTTTTGGGAGGGTGCCATCCTTAGAGGCACTGATTATAATCCCAGCCTTGGCACGCAGCTCTTTTGCGATAACTCTAATATCATTATATTCGCCTGAGTTGGCATCCCGGATATCGCGTGCTTTCCTGAACAGTTTTGCGGCGAGCTCCACAAATTGTAAGATATTCGCAATAAGGCCAACTGCTGTAACCGGCTCCATGTCGTTGCCAAAATCAACTTGGAGTTTAGAAGGGCGCTGGAGGTGGCAAGTTAGTCAATATCGGTGAAGGGAACCGCAGTTGTTTTCCCTCTGTGAAGTGAACCCGCAGTTTCAACATGGCCCAGTGGCGGGATCCTGATGGATTAAGAGATCGAAGAGCGAAAAGACTGCCTTGATGGCTGTGACCTTGTCTAATAAGCTGGCACTGCCTAGAAGCAATGGCTGAGCATCGCTGCGTTGCCAGATCAACCACGTCTCTGTAAGCTTTACCGTAACGTATGCATCTCTCACAACTTTTTGCCGCCTCAGAACATGCGGTGGAACAACAGCAGTTGTCCTGAGTGGCTGAAGATATAAAGAGGCAGTGCGAGAAATACCTAGCCAGTGCCCGCATCACACCCACAAGCATCTCGTTCGGCCAATGATGCTAGAGGACAAGATTGCCAGCGGAAACCATAAGGTCTCGAGGCTTGTCTCTAAAAATTGACAGGGGACTATCCAACCCCTCAAGAAAAGAGATATGAGTTGTGTACGGTTTAGGCTCAGACCTCAACTTTATTACTTCATATGGGCAAAATTCAGATTCGAGCCGGTGAAGATACATAGGACTGAAGGTTGAACCGATTGAAGACACGCCGGGTGTGGGCTATTAAACAACTTCGAAGTTGATAAGGCAGAACGAAGCCTACTGCGTATAGGAAAGCGGCCTGAACTGTGGCCAGGAGGAGATCCATGAGTATCCAACAAGTAAAACAAGGCAGCGCTTCGGTCTTGACGTAAACTCGTTGAGTATCTGTCAACCCTGAAAGCGGCGATGCCGTCATAACTAGCCGTTGGTGATGTGTAGTGTGAATGAGAGATTTTGGTTCTTCATCACACGACTTTAAGGGATAGATTTTGCACACAGCATTGAGCTTGGCTGATTACACAGATATACTCGGCGATTGGCAGGCTCCACCAGTCGGAGAATGCAAGAGTCCAGCATTACCCTGTGCAAACGATCTGGCAAGCAAGCTCGAACGAAGCCTCCATATGACTTAGATATGGCATCAAAACCTTATTATATTTTTTGTGTAATCCGATGTGTAAGTAGGCAGTAGTACTGATACAATTCTTTCTCAATCATCTCAAAATGTCAAGTTTCTTCTGGTCCTCCTCGACACCAACAAAGACTTCTCCTCCCCAGCCCTTCGCTCTGCGAACCCTGCGAAACGACAACCATGTTTCCGCACATTTTGTAACGATCCAGACAGACCTCCTGAGATGGGTTCAATGGTTGCCAGGCTGCTGGATTGAGAGACAGGAGTTCTCACACAACCAAAGTGGCCGTTGTGGTCACCAGTTGGTAAGCAACACTTTGTATTGCTGACTAGAGTTTTCTTGGGCCAGTTGGCCCTACTTGGAATTTATATACATCTCATGCACTCTTGTGGCTTCCCTTCCCTCTTCCTCAACAGCACAGACTGTTGAGAGTCAACATCCTTGGGTGTTGAGGAACACTTTCCCAATGTTCGGTTGTTGGGGGCGGATATCCAAGTTTGATGGGTCATAACTCTCTTCTACTTCGATCAGTGAGTAGCACGGAAGCTACTCTCCCAGATAGAGTCATTGTTGGTCGTGACACATTTGCACACAAGTTTTGCACCCACAAGATACCGTTTCCATCCGAAAGAATTGTACATACTCATTTAAATAATCTGTCAATGCTTTACAAGCACTTGTAATGAAATTCTTGCACATTTGTTGCTGTTAACTTGAAGCTGTCAAAAGTTCAATTGACTTCACGTCTCAGTATTCAATATTCTTGGCTGGCTGAGGTGCCTGCGGTGGCGATGTAGGGCGGGGGTAAAAAAGCGGTTGTCGTTTTGCTGGAATGGAACCCCGAGACCCCACCGCGTACCCCTCCCTCGTCAGACGCATAAACTCAATAATATTCAACAGCCTAAGACTGTAACCACGCAATCTCGGTGCCGCTGCTCGAAGGCCGACGCCTTGACCGGATCAAAAGTCAAGGCAAGGTAACACACAAGGAGAGATGTAATCAAATTGATCAACGTGTTCAAATCGAAGACGCGTCTCCCTCACCCACGACTACCATCGCCAACCTCATCACCATCCCTTCTCAACCGTGGCACATCCCAACTCAAAGCCCAGCCAAGTATGGCAGGCGGTGTGTGCCCACCCATCCATTCTCTCTTGCGATCCTTCCCATCCTCCACTTTCCTGCCGCAACACAGTAGCAGCTCGTGCAGTGACCTGCAACTTCAGAGAGTTCCACACCGCAAATCGAAGCATTCAGCTCCTTACGCGGTCGCGCGCTAGCCTTCGAAGAAGAGAGTCTCATTCTTCAAAACAACCCTGAAAACACATCTCTATCCAGCCCGACACCTCAACTGATTGAGATTGATAATGGCCCTTAGGCAAAGAAACAACACAAAGGCCTAGCCGAGACCCCGTCCCAATCCGCAGCGATAGGAGGAACAGGCCGGGTTCGAAGTAGCTTGACAAAGAAAAACCACGCGGCGTAGCCAGAAGCAAAATTTCTTGTCCAAGCTGTCGCTCAAGAGATCAAGCCTGCCAACTTTCGCCAACAAAGCAAACGCGAAGCAAAGCGGATCCCCCTTTCTCATACAATGCATGCCTCTACATAATCAAATTACTTGGCAACTGTTGAGTTGACTCAAGGCAACGGCCTTTTACACACTTGAAGCCGCAACGTCCAATCCAGAGCGAATACGATCAACACGCCTAACAACAAAAGAGAGTGCCCAAAACCCAAACGCAAGATCTCAAAAGTGTTGTTGCAGTGCGCATTGCATAAGCGCCGACAGGGGTGGCGCCACCCCTCTTCTGCTGCACCCTCACCGCTTGGGAGGCGATCGACTGCCAACATCCCACCACGTTTTCGACGTCGGGCGTTGAAAAAATTCTGATCTCAAACTGCTCTGCCTCTCGGTGCCAGATTTTCGGAGTTCTGGTCAACGATACCCTTCGAACTTATTAGATCTTAAGATATCTGGTTGTCACGCCCGCGCGATTGTGATCTCAGAGTCATATATCACGGCAGATCACAGCCAAGCGAGCACGAGACGACGGACCCACTCCACTTCCCGTTCCAACCTCGCGCTTTGGGCATCTCCGTCCGGACGTCAACCATCCTCGCAATAAAATTGTCAAACTCACCTTTCTCTTCAATGCCAAACCTCCCTTCCCACCCCTCAACCGCGGTCGCGGCCGCTTACTCAGCCGTATCCAGCATCACAGCAACCTGTACCCGCGACGTCTTCGCGTCCTCCTCCTCAACCGGTGCCAGCAACGCCGCCAACGCCCCCAACGTCCTTGCCAGCCTTCTCCGCTCCGTGCATCTCAATTTGCAACTCAACCTCAACCTCATTACAAGCACACTGGGTCAAAGCTTCTCCACGGGCGTAGGCAACCTTACAACGGGACATCTGCCTTCGTTACAATGTCTGCATGCTAGCTTGGGCGCGGCATCACATGCGTTGAAGACGGCAGCAACGACGTTGAAGGGTCTGACTAGCTCGGGGTGTCAGGGGGCCATGGGGAAGATTAATTTTATCCTTTCCACAACACCATCGACGACCTCAATAGGGGAGACGTGGTCGCGCGGCATTGATGCTTTCCGGGCGTGGCTGACCGAGCCACGGGATGAGAACCACCTCCTGAACCTGATCTGGATCAGCTTGCTTGTTATCGAAGCGTTGATGGTTGTTGGCGTGGTGCTACAGGCTGTGTGGATGTCAGGACGTGCGCGGAGGGAACGGGCCCATGGTGGGCATTGGACTCATTATCGGACACCTTCATTTGATGGGCGGTGGTCGCCTATTGACACCCGGTTCGAGAAGGTGGACTTTGAGAGTATAGACCGCGCGTTGGAGTCGGCCCAGTGGCCGGTTGAAAGTGATAGGTGGGTTGATGATGGCGAGATGGGCAAGGGGAGATATCGGTTCTCGGGGCAGCCGAGTCCTTGAGGTGCATGGTGTATTCGTTTCATGTCTTTGAGGCGTCTTTGGTGATGCTTGCGTGTGGTGTATCTTTTTGTTGAGTGCATCGGGTCCTTGTGGTTCCTGCATCGTGGTTTACATTGCATTGGATGGCGGGCTGCATCATGTTGCATCGGGTGCTGGCGTTTTGTTCGACGGTTTTTTGCATTCCCGGGATTAGACTTTTACGAGCTAACGATGATGGTAATGATTGATGGGTGAAACGTTTGTATAGCAGATTATATGCCACTTCAAGGCGTTTTTTTTACTTACTGAGCTTGCTCTTTGTCGCGCTATCTTTTGAAGCAGATTGCAACCCATTTCACAGCGGGGCATCGATAATCTGGTCTTCATAATTCCTCCGCAAACTGTTGCTTGGTTCAATGCTGAAGTAGACTGAGGTGGCGGACAGTTAATATCCACCATATGCCATTGGCTCAAGTTTTCGATTTCCTTATCATCGGTTGTAGAAGGGGCGCATGAGGATCTTATCTATCGGCGATCAGATTGATACAAACAAGAAGTGCGGAAAAGAGCGAGGATTCGAGGATGAAGTTCCGTTGAGTCTGTACAAGATCAGCACCTCGAGCCCGGTCCCTGTTATAGATCTCACCAAGCTCATATCCAGTTCTCCATCGCCTTTGTCCTTGATCAGGGTAAGCACTCATCCGAGTCATTGACGCTGGAGCATCTGACCTGCGAACTATTTTGCTAATCTAGCTCTCCTGTTATCCAAGGTGTTTGTAAGTAGTCCAGGCAGCTGGATTGTTGGTGTCAACACGTCACAACGGAGACCTTCGCATAATTCCCTCACAAAAAGCTGTTAATGGACACTTTACCTGGTTTGTCAAGCAGCGTTGGACCGTGAAAATCCTGGTCCCTGGATTCTCGAGTCCCCAAGAGGAGGTTTGAAGGCCTGACCGAGGGATTCTTGTCAAATACCACGTCTCTTCCATTTCGTCGAGTTCCCAAACACAATTGACAGCCGACATATCGTCTTCGTCCCCTGAACCCCACCGTCAGCGAGATCGACCGAACTGACTCGGATGGACGTACTCAGGGGTAGAGCACAATTACAGCGGAACCAAAGGGGCCAGTTCCGGCACAGATGTGGAAAGTGGGAGCGAGTGCCGGATGATGAGCGACCCCGCTGCGCGATGTTGAGAGAGCGGCAGGGCAGCCACTGCCTTGTAACAGAACCTGCTGCTCGCCGCTTCCCCTCACTGTGAGATGTCATACGACACGAAAACTGCTCTCTAAGTCCTGCGAAGGGCTTCGCCGGATCCTTCCATCCCCTGATGAACGGCGATAACATTAAAATATATTACTCTGGATGAAAACAACCGCCAAAGAAGAGCCGAAACAAAGAAGTGCCCAATCAGTTAGGCATAGGTGTCCGGTGGCGCAGTGTGAAGTCGAACCTGCCGAGCCTGTCAGTATAGCACGTACTCCACTCTACTCCACACCAGTTGCGAGATATGTTCATACTGGGATGTTGGGAGGGCAGATGTACTTGTACCTGCAGCAAGTGGTTGGGACATGAAGGCTCACGATCATGCAAAACCACAAAGCACAAAAACCGAGAAAAACAAACTCAAATGCGATCTGGTCCCAATACAGCGGAAACGCGAGATCTGATAACTTATTTAGGAGATGCCGCTCGGAAACAACACGCCGACAATCACAAACATTGGCCAACAACTTGTGGGCCCCCTGGCTTCCCCAGATTTTACCCCAGATATGGAGCTGGCCGGGCCGCCTGTTAGTGGTGCTGCAAGACGCTCGGGCCACTAGCAGCAGGCCATAAGGGTGCCCGCGACTTTGGCTGGCTGACGGGTGCAACACCGCTGCCGGGTGTTAACGGACGGCTCGTTCCATCATGATGTCCTTGTCACGCGATCTGACCGAGGACTGAGTTGGTAACGTGATGCGGCTTGTCAGGGTGCTGCCTACCCCGCCTTTTGATGAGTGGTTGGGTCGCTTCTTTTAGCTGACGAAGCCATGGATGGACGTCTGAACTTGAGGAGGGAATCGTTTGCTGGACGCACGGCTTAGCTAAGGCCGCTTTTGTGGGCGACGTAAATTGGAACTCATCCCCGCGCACTTCCCCTCCTTAGATTCTGTCCTCTTCTTCAATCAAATCTTGTCCAACCCTTTTACTGCGTAATTCAGGTACGGAGAGCATCAATTGGCTAAACATTTTTGTTCCATAGTAGCCTAGGCACTCACAAACTTCATCAGCTCTAACTCAAATCTTAATTTACCCTCTACCTAATTAATCACCATGTCGGCACCGCTGACCAAGGTTGACTCGGCCGTGCAGGGCCTCGAGGAGCCGGCCAAGGAGTCGCGTGTGAAGAAGGCCGATACCAGCGGCGTGTACAACATCAATGACCTGGGTATGCATCGATTACTAGTCGATTTGTCGTTATGGTTATATCAATTGCTGACAATTTGTGCAGAGGCGCAAGGAATTGAGCTTCAGATTGCTAAGGAGACCCAAAAAACGGGCTGGTAGGTAGCAGTAATGGCTACTCACATTGCCAACATCACTAACCTCCACCAGGAAAATCAATACCTCGCCAACAACAGTAGAGGACAAGGAGGTCCTCAAGAAGTTTCTTACAACGCCGCCAGTCAAGAAGATCGACCTCCATTTCCCTCTTGGCCTGGAAGTTACAGCACGCAACCTCAAGGGCGTCACCATCAAGGATGCCTTAGATGCCATCTACAAGGCGTACAAGAAGCGGGTGAGTATGCACTCTAGCGGTTCTGCTCCAATCCCACACTAATGTGTGCCCCCTCTCTGGGTCATAGGCGGATGACGAACTCGACACGCCTTATCTGGCGGGCTTCGAGTGGGACAAGGAGGAGTCGTGGACCAAGCTGATCGTCCACCTGTCGAAGGACGCTGGCGTCTCGGTGGGCAAGAAGAAGAAGAAGAGCGAAGAGTAGTGAGCCTTTGTTTCAGTCGGCGAATCGCTCTGATCAGGATCATCAGCAAGTCCGTCGCTTTGCCGTCTCGGTCGGTTGGCTTCTTCGGGTAATGATCGAATCAGTCAAGGTCGATGCGGTCAACGGAATGCTACGCAGTAGAATGTACCGGGCGGGTTGGGCGTGCTCAAGGTTATCATGACTTGTTCTGTGTGCTTCTTGGTTTCTTAAGGTGAACTCAGCGGAACCTAATGGTCAGCAAGTCTCTCCAATCTCAATCAGTGTCATGATTTCTTGTCACCTATACTCTCGCCATCGTCGATGTTGTGGTGAGCGTGGGCTGGAGCTGAGGGTGGGTCGATGACATCACGACCCCGCCTGGTGGTGTGGAGCCCAGCAGCGCATCCCCGGCAGACCTTTTCCCAGTTCATCTCCATGGATCTCCTCCGCCACTGATGCCGGTGCAGGCTCAATTTTTTCTGGAAACTTCGCAGTAAGTTTCTCACTGCACATCCCCAAGATTTTGTACCGGACAGACTTGCGGTGCCCCTCGGCTCAGTACAAGACATCTCCGACCGGGATGGCCAGCTGCGGGGTGGGGCTGGCTATGCACGGGGCAAGCAGGTGGCGCGCGTAGGCGCGGCTACCTTCGGTCTGTCCCGGGCGCAGGCCGCACCACAACGGCGCGGAATTGCGCTGTATGTCCTACTTACGGTGGTCGCGTCGGCTCGGATCGCCTCGGATCGCCTTGATAGTTCGGGGGGTTGATGGGAGAATGGATCTGGGGAGCACGTGTGATACTGCGCTGGGGTATTTAGGGTTGTGTCGCCCGGTATTGACCTGAGGAAGTTTGGGTTGTATCAAGTGTTGAGTGCAATGTTATCTTGACGTCGGGTCTGTCTGCACTCCCTACCTACTTTGTCATATTGAAGCAATTGGGATAGCAGGTCGAGTTCAACACAGTCAATATGCCCGTCACAAAGTTCGACATTCCCGAGAAATACGAGTACAAGAATGGTTTTGACTCGTACATAGAGTACGTTTTCCCCCATCCCTTGCTGTCTTAACGCTGAACGTCATTGACAACCCCCCAGGTCCGAGGCCGTCCCCAGCGCCCTTCCTACAGCCCAAAACTCCCCACAAAAACCGCCCCTTGGGCTCTACGCAGAAAAGCTCTCCGGCACAGCCTTCACCGCACCCCGTCACGAAAACAAGCAGTCCTGGCTCTACCGTATCCTGCCCTCGTGCGCGCACCCGCCCTTCGAGGACGTCCCTGACAGCGAGAAAAATGAGTCCCTTGGTCAGGGAGGTGAAGTTTTCAAGACCGGACTGAAATATCTACCGAACCAGTTGAGATGGGACCCATTTGACTTTGACCGGGGGAGTGATTGGGTCAGGGGGCTGCATCTGGTAGCGGCAGCGGGCGATCCGGCGATGAAGCAGGGGTGTGCGATGTATGTATATGCGGTGGGAAAGTCTATGGGGGATAAGGAGGCTTTCTACTCTGCTGATGGCGAAATTCTGATTGTGCCACAAACGGGGGCACTGGATATTCGCACAGAGTTTGGCTGGTTGCTGGTCAGGCCGATGGAGATTTGTGTTATCCCCCGCGGCGTGCGGTATCAAGTTCGCTTGGTCGAGGAGGGGAAGCCAGCGAGGGGCTACGCACTGGAGTTGTTCCAGGGCAGGTTTGTCCTGCCTGAACTGGGGCCGATCGGGTCTAATGGCCTGGCGAACGCAAGAGATTTCCAGATCCCTGTGGCCAGCTTCGATGAGGATTGCGGCACAACAGCGTTTGATGGCGCGAATGTGTACACCATCACGGCAAAGTTCAATAACGCACTGTTCCGAACGCTGCAGCCGCATACCCCGTTTGATGTCGTTGCTTGGCATGGGAATTACTATCCTTACAAGTACGACCTGGGGAGGTTCAATACCATTGGCACGATCAGCTATGACCATCCCGACCCGAGCATCTTCACTGTCCTCTCCGGCCCGTCGGACAAGCCTGGTACAAGCATCGCTGACTTCGTCATCTTCCCGCCCCGCTGGCTTGTAGGCGAGGATACTTTCCGCCCGCCGTGGTACCATCGCAATACTATGTCTGAGTTCATGGGCCTGATTAAAGGCGACTATGATGCTAAAAAGGGTGGTGAAGGAGGGTTTATTCCCGGAGGCGCCAGCTTGCATAATGTAATGAGTGGGCATGGTCCGGATGTTGACAGTTATGAGGGGGCCAGGAATGCAGAACTGAAGCCGGCGAAGGTTGGTGAGGGAAGCTGTGCGTTTATGTTTGAGAGTTGTCTAATGATGGGCGTGACCGAGTGGGGTTTGAAGACATGTCGGAAGGTGCAGGAGCAGTATAATGAACGGAGTTGGGGCGGTGTTAAGGTGCATTGGAAGGGTGTTAAGATCGAGTGTGAGCGGGGGAGAGGGCAGTAGATGTCGGACATGATTCCGAGTCTTGACTTTTGGACTATTTCATGTAGTGTTCCCTGGAATAAACCTGACTTATGCTTCGTATTTCATCCTGTGCCCTGAATAAGGATTGTCATATCAATCAAGCCTTTAATGTTTTGTGTTAATTTAGGAAGCAGGTCTGGGCAGGGCTCGCACTTGAATCCTGAGACCATTAAGCATTTAAACAGAGGGCTTCCAGGCCTCCTCAGACCAACGGAGTACGCCAACAAAGAGTAAACTTGTGAGCTACCCCAAAGCTAGGTTGTCTTTCAGTGGCTGAGCGGAGGGAGAGACATGGCACCCGAGAACTCTGGCCTTGAGCTTAAAAACCATTCAGCGAAGTGTTTGGACGGCCCTACACCGCATCGACTTAACCAGCATACAACCGGGAGGTTTCACCTCACTGACTTGCTCATGACTTCATCACCACAGTGATAGAAAGTATATGTAAACCAAGGGGTATCATTTCGTTGCCTAAGTCAAACCAATTAACTTTAACTAACCGACTCACTGCTAACATTGCATGCAAAATAAGATAAGAACTCATGCAATCCGTTATCCAAAAAGTGTTCATGCAGACAAACAGATAGATACCAAAACGTATGCACTTTTCAAAAGTGATAATGTATACACACATTAACATGTGCCAGTGGAATAGAGGACTGATCATAGTCCGTCTGCATATCCATAGCTCACTAATGAGCGTTGGGGCTTATCAAGCAGTAAATGGTTGCTCACTGTGACCGCTTTGCCCAAGTAGTTGGTAAGCTTTCAGCCCAGTACCTCAGTTGGACCGGTAAGAATATGGGAGCGATCAAATATATGGGATGCAATCCACATCGATCTTTGATCGACTTCCCATGAAGTGAGATCAGAAGCACTAAAAGGGCTGGGATGAGTAGCCAGAGTGATCAATGAATCATTGCTGGCTCAGCAGCTGTGAAAGCGCTGTGGGAGCACTTATTGTTTTGGTGCAGCTGTCAATGCTCTCCATCTCAAGAGACCTTTAGATGACATTGGCTTGATGTCAATGGTTTCATCGAACGCACTCAGCCGCAGATGGCGATCTTAGTGCGAATTTAGGGGCTGAACCCACAAGCCACTCCTGTTGGGAGTTTTTCCATGAGCAGACTGGGCATGCATATTACCCATGGTGCTGCCAGGAAGGGTCCTCGTTAGAGGTTGCTTGCGGAGAGTGGACTTGAGTGTTACACTCTCTGGTACCTGTATGCCATGACCGCTCAAAGCATGGCATAGCTGAACTCATCTGGTCAATGGTCCTATCAGCTCATTTTGTGAGCAGCAACCAGACCATTTCCAAGCCTTGTCTTTACCTCTCACTCCGGTTTCTTCCCCACGACAACATGCAGCGTAAAGTACGCATGCAAATCGCTTCTCATCAACGCCTGCCTGACTTCCATCAGGAAAATCTCAATCTGCACCGGTTGCCAGGCCAACGCCAGAAGCGGCTTGCGACTCACTCCCCTCAACCCTTCCAAGATTGCTTTCTTCATCAAGGACCCTACGGCCTTGGGAGCGTCGTCGCGCGGCCAAGGGCCGATGGGAACCTTGTGCTTGATCACCCTGACGTCGACGAACCCCGCTTGACGCATGATATCGGGAAGAGAGAGAATTGCGTGTAAGTCTGTGCCGATGACACGCAAGCCAGCAGCCATGTAGTTGATGTAATCGCGAAGAGCGTACGGGGTACTTGGAGTGAGGGTATTGTCGTCGGAGTTAGGGACATAGAGGAGTTCCTGGGCCTCGAAATAGGCTCCGGGTTTGAGGTGACTGACAAGTCAGCATGGGGATGCTTGACTCTTTGGTGAGCCGGGGGCTTACCGGTAGATGCGGTTTACGAGAGTAATTGGGTCGTAGACGGCGAAAAGAGTGTAGCGCATGTGGATGAAATCATATTTCTCGTCGCTGTCGACCCATTCCTCTTCGAAGTCGTCAACGTAGAAGGAGACGTTGTGCGGCACAAAGGACGGCTGGATGGGGGAGAGGTCTACACCGGTGATGGTACTGGTAGGGTACCTGTCGCCCACTGGGGCATGTTAGCGACGATGTGATACCAGAACACTCGATGAGTTTGCAGTTTATGAGAGCTCGAGCTTGACGTTTCGCAGACAGTGTTGCAAAGCCAAAACTGCCAGTGAAACGACCCCTGTCTTAAGGCGAGGCCACGAACAGAACAACATCACTTACACTCGATAGCCCAGATGCCTGTTCCCGTACCTGCATACTTGGGTTAGCCCAGTCCTTACATCTCAACTAGTGAACACAACGACTCACCCAAATCCAGCACCTGCGCTCCAGGGGTTGCAAGTCTCTCCTCGACCGGCGCATAGAACAATTCTTCGCCCATAAGCCCCAAGGTCATAGCATGCTTCATGTCATCCCGAGCCTGCTCCGTCTCGTCGTTCGGCAGCGGATACTTGCCGGCGCGGTAAGCATGGTAACGGATGCCGCTTTCGAAGACATGGTTCTGCACAGACGACGTCATGGACACGTCTGCGTGCTTCTCCAGATCGTCATCGTTGCTTTCGTCGGACGAGTCGGCATCCGACGAGGCGGGGGTGGCATTGGTGTTGCTGGCGCTGACGGCTGTGTGCATGCTCGCACCACTGATGCTACTCGTGTTGAGGCTGCTGCCCCTGATGCTGGTCGTGGTGATGCTGTCGATATTGGGGATGGATGGGCCAACTTGATGGTTGATGCACATCTGGGCGATGAGGTTTGGTTGATGGGGACTTTGGGAAGGTGGTGACTGAGGAGGAGGTGAAGGAGATGCCGTAGGGGACCTAGGACTCAGGGAGCGGGTGGCCATCCTCGGACTGGTGACGTGTCGGTTGTAGAGAGCCTCGGCCGTGACAGTCAGTTCCTGTTCGGAGTTCGGGTCCATGTCGCCGCCAGGCTCGATGATACTGCTGACGCTTGAATGGTCGTCGTCGTCGGCAGCGGACTGACGAAGTAAATGAGGGCGATGCGACGACATTCTTTTCTTCCTTCACGGCGATATCGAGTGCGGAATATACAACATTTAAAGGAGGTGATTGTCAGCGGATTGGCGGTCGACGATGATTTGGCCTGACAACGCTAGTATGAGTTGGAGCAATGCTACTGGACAGCTAGTGGGGTTAGCGCTGAGCGAAAGCAGTTGCAGCAGTAACAGCAGTTTGGGAGAAAGCCGAACTTTCCACAGCCGAGCCCAGATTGACGACAGGTCGTGTATGGACGGATGAACGAGTGAGCGAGGGTTCATGAAGGCCGTGGCACCGGGGGGCCTCGCCGATAAAAAAAAAACAGCTTCGGCTCGTGGGTCGTGGACGGGACAACGCAGAGCCAGAGCTTATGTTCAGCTAGACCAACGCTTGAGCTGGACCAGGAGGGTGACCCGAAGATCTGGGTCGGGTGGCTCGACACACACGGTTCGCAGAGAAAATGAAAAGGCGACGGCGGGATGGGGAAGTAAAGGAGGGGGTCCGGGAAGGATAATGGAAGAGATTGGGGATGGAGACGCTGACCGGAAATGGAGACCGAGACTGGACAATGGATAGATTGGTCGATTTGACGGACGGGATTCAATTGCAGTGATTGCAGCGGCAACCAGGGACGCATTGGCGAAATGTGTCCCGTGTGGCCCACAGTGGCAGTAACGCAGCAGCAGAAGAGAGGGGAAAGAACGACTGGATTCTTTTCCAGACGAAACGCTGGCACAAAAGGAGCGCAGCAACGGAACGCAACGTCTCGTCACTGGCACTCAGTTCCCGCAATAGGCAAGTCGCGACCAATCCGGCACCGACAGCGTGGACGAGAGGTCAGAAAAGCGAAAAGGGCCAGCGCCCAGAAAGGACCAAAATCCCAGAGTGAAGGGTGCATCAGGCTGTGGCTAGGATCAGGGTGCCAGGAGTGTGGTGCTGATGACCCTGAAGCGAGCCCAAGCCCGTCCTTAGTGTACTTGGACTGGCACTAGGCGGGTCCAGTTTTTGTCCTTTATGGTGGGGCTTCGTCGTTCTGCCGGGGACAGTGGAGATGGAGAAGTCGCCAAACGCTTGCACGACCTGCCACGACGACGAGCATCATCGCTCCACGCAAGCCCGACAATGATGCCACCCGTGTGGGACCGATTATGTGTAGTTGCTTTTTCTACCGACCAGAAGCTCTACTGTCGATGCGAGGGCCATTTTTTTATTTTTCGCATCAATTTTCGAGAGTTTTGTGGTGCGTACGAGGTTTTTTTTTTTTTTTGCTCTTTCACTACTCTTTCCCCCTCCCGGCCCGCGTCGCTGCGCTTGCACTGCTCTCTGCATCCCAAGCCTCCGCCTTGGCGACACCGCGTCGTGGTTGGCCCCGCATGGCGGTGAGCAAAGGCAGTCCCAGCAGTCTGGTTTGCATACCTCTTGGCGAGGGTGGGCCGCGGTCCAATCAGGCTCCGACTGTCGGCGGCCAGCGTCAGGCAACAAGCAAGCAAAATGAGGGCGAAAGCAACGCGAAGGGTTGAGAACTCTCAGTCGCAATTGCTACGACGGCAGCGTTGATGGTGATAGTCATAAAAGGGGCTCTCGTAACGAGAAAAGCAAGCAACAGGGCGGGCCAAGCGCCGCATCCATCATCAGCCATGGCACGATTCCAGTGCAGTCCCGAATTGCCGCCCCAGCAGGTTCCAACCAGACGGAACCTTTGTGTGCCTCACGCAGCTTTCTTTCCGAGCTCTCGTTTTGGGGGCAGGTTTGCAGCCTGCGACTCGGTGGCGGGACTTCCACCCATCGAGTCCGGGTGAACAGCACCGAAAACTTGGAACCGTGAAACACTGTGGCACGATTCCCATCCCTTTCGGGCCCAATCTTTCAAAATCCATTTCTCTGCAGCCTGCCGACAGGCAACGCACAGAGGACCGCACAAGAGGATTTCACTGGATGCATCCGCTGCAGAGCACTGCAGATTCTTGCTCGTTTGGTATGTCTCATCTGCGTCGCACTGAGCTGCTGTCTGCACCTGCTGCATCACCACTCCTGCGCGTCCTCCTCCTGGGAAACAGCTCACAGCGTTTTTGGCCAGTCGTTCTTGGCTGTGGCTCTGGTAGTGGGAAAATTAGGATGGCAGGGAGATCACGTCCCAGTTGACTGGGTCGGGGCGGGTGTAGCCCCACTTCGCCAAGCCCAAGCTAAGCTGGGGTCCTGCCTATTCCAGGCTGCGCGCGGGGCCAGCTGGCAAGATGCCGCAAGAGCCAGGTGCGCTTTCCGGCGAGAGCAAAAAAAAAAAAAAACCCTGATGCGATGGCTGCTGCCTTGGCTGTGAGCTGGTTTCTGTCACCGTGATCGCGATCGCGTTCGTGAAGAGATGTAGTGAAATATTGTGAGATCTGGGAAAAATAACAAACGTGGAAATTACAGGCGATGTTCTCACGGCTGAAAAAATTTTGCATATCCCATCGTTCTCACCCCGGTCGCTGACATGCATCTACTTCCTATCCCATCTCTGCCGCTCCTGTCACCTGGCCAGCTTTGTGTAACCGCAACGCTTTTCGTGGCTTCGTGGCCGATCGCCAAGGTGTTCGAGAACCTGATATGGTGGTTATCGACAGTCCCAACACCCAAAGGTCACGGCCCCGAGAGGCCACGGAAATTTTTCCTTCATTTGCCCAGGGCATTCTTCCCTGTGATCTTCCAGATACAACCTTCCGTGTGGCAATGTGTGACGACGAAGTTGCCGCGGTTCGGCGAGGGAGAAGGTGAAATCTGCTCACTCGCGCACTTAGCTGCGAGCAAGGGAGGAAGCAGCTCGTCTCGGCCAAGGATACCAGTTCCACGGTGTCAACACGCAGCGCAAATAGCTATCTTGATCACAATCATGTATATGGTAAATATTGGCAGCCACTGAAAAACTTTGTTCTCATCAACGTTCGTGAGCGTTGTGATCGCGGGACATCGTTCGATCTCGCAGAATATGTGAGATATGAGAAGTCCGCGGACAGCTCCACCAACGCTTTTCCTCCTCTGTCACCCTTGCTGATCGGGTAGAGCACGCGGAACGGAGCCTTCATTCCTCGCTGCCTGCCCGCAACCCTAAATCAACAAACCAATCGCGAACGTTTCCCGGACGGAATCAAGGTAAAACAATCTGACTTGCTTCATCTCTTATTCTATAGACCCGGCCCCTGACGTGATTCAACCATCTCGGTTCAGCGTGCTCTTCGTCACAGAACTAGCTTTGTGCACTAGCGCCTGCAAGTTAGAACATCACAACGGCTGTTTGCTGCATGTCTTAGCTAGCAGGCACATGGCGTTCCATCTGGGGCCGAATTTCTGGGGGTAATAGCCTCATTAGCTAAAGATGGATTGCCCACTGAGAGATTCCGTGTTGAACAAGTATCGAGAAATGAGGCTGAGGCGAATGAGTTCCGTATCGAGACCTCCATGGGGACCAAATGTGAGGTTGTGAGATCGTGAGATGGCCCCTTCGGACAGTTGGCTCATGGTATCAAGTTGCGTAGTTCCCCCGCGGGATGTCGTCAATGGTCTGAATATGGCCGGGCCATTCGCTTTAGGGGAGACGGATTAGACTCTAATAAAGACGAGAATAATGCTAAGCATGGTTTAGTTTCGGGGGTGGTGCCTGGGGACAATCTGATGACGGCGAAGTGGAAGGTTGTGATGCCGCTGGCAGCAGCCGTTGATCCATAGTATACTGTGCATCAACACCAAGCTACCATCATCATGAATCCTGAGTCACTCGAGGGAAATTTCGACTGCAAGAGAGCTTTTTTCAGCATGATCCAGATAATACCCTCAAGAATACGCAAGTTGGATCATGGTTGACCTGAGAATAATACGGACGGTATGCCCACCAACTGGTAAATAAAACTCAATTCAAGTTGGACAGTTCGAGCAAACAACAGGGAACGTCAGCGCCGTATCTAGCCCTATAACTCCCAAAAGTTAAGGGTCTAGACGCAAAAAAAACCAAGCATAGCGCATTTATGTCAGTCTTCCATTAAACTCTCTCACCAGCCTCTCTTTCGTAAGCCTAAACGATTCCGGAAACCACTCTTTTAGCTGGTACCCATCCCTCCCTTCCATCATCTCCCCCAATGCTCTAGCACACATCCAACACAACACCATTCCATGCCCCCCAAAACCAGCACAAACCCACAATCCTTGGTAGTCAGGGACCTCGCCCACATACGGGAACCCATCCGCAGTGAACCCCATTATTCCCGTCCACTCTGCCTTGACCCGTCCCAGACAATGATCTTGCCCCCAGTGATCGGGACCGAAGTATCGCGCTGGGGTATCATAAAGGTAGGTGGTTATCCCCGGGGAAAGAACACCATCATCCGTTGTATCAATCTCCGAAGCCCCCGTCATTCCATCTGCAGAACCACGGATCAGGCCGCCGCCGATGATTATCTCTCCCTCTCCGGCGCAGGATGCAGATTCAGGTTTGTCAAAGCCAGACTCATGCTCAGGGACTGAACACGGTCGGGTGATCATATACTCGAAGCCGGACGGGCCATAGATAAAGCTGTACGTCGTCGGCAAGCACCCACGAAACGGAAGTTTTGAGCCCGGTCGTTGGGCAGTGATTTGCCCTCTGACGGGAACCACTCTTCCTTGAAAGAGGGACTGTGGTGGCCCGGAAATGGCTGCTGTGTAGCCGTTAGTGGCTAGAACCACGCGGCGGGTGAGGATCACGCCGCGGGGGGTGTGGATTGCCCATCCCGTTGAAGAACTGGCACAGTTTGGAGATGGGACTGACAGTTTTTCAAGCTTTATAACGGGAGAGTTTGTTTGCAGGTTGAGGCCACGCTTGAGACACTCCCGAAGAACACCAAGTGTAAACCTGTATGCGTTGATCCTGCCCGCAGGATACCTTACCCCGCCCTGCACCCTATCCCCCCAAACTGCCTGATCAACAACCAAGTATTCCCTCATCACATCCTCCCGGCCCAAGATCTCGTACTTTGCGGCTGGATGCTCTGGTGGAAGTGCAGTCTTCAGCGACTGGATGTCCTTCACGGTTTGGGCCCATGTCTCAGGGGAAGTGTAGTGCACATCGACGGTAGGTATCTGCGCAGCTTCGCAGGGAATATTGTATTCGGCCGCAAAGGCGTGGACGGATTGAATGTTGGTGTGTTCTAGGAGGGCGATTTTGATGGCCTCGGAGATGGTGGTCTGCGCGTGGTGGGGGAAAGTTAGGTAGGAGGGGGCTTTGGTGTGGCCTCCTGCAATAGCGTCAGCCAACCTGTTTGTGTTTTTGCAACTTTAGGGATGTTGCGTGAATGAGATACCATTGCGACCTGTGGCGCCAGAACAAGCCTGTCTCGCCTCAAGCATCACAATCTTAGGCCCTGTTGCCAAGTGTTCAGTGCCGGGCGCAGTCCCATCCGACACCGGCACCGGAGCTGTGTCCTGCAGCAAATACCACGCGACCGCGGCGCCAGTGATGCCGCTTCCGATGATAACGGTGTCGGCTTCGGCCGGCAGGTCGGGCGTGGTACGGCAGTCGGCAAGCTCAGGGTCGGGCGGGGTCTGCCAATAAGATTGTGTTGGGTTTGGGACGGGGAGGGTTACGGATCTCATTTTGAGATCGTGGGAAAAGATGAGAGGTACTCTTAGCGATATGATCTTTTTGTGAAAAGTGTCCAACTTGCCTGTGGATGTGACGGGGAGTGTGTGAGTATGAGGAGGCGGGGAATATGCAGGACGTGATCGGTGGGAAGTGGTTGGTTGCTTGACTTGACGGGTGCAACGTCTCGCATCACTGACACCAAAAGTTGAGCCTCACTAAAACACATCAAACCCAGGAAAGTCGACAACAACACCAGAAAATATTGCACAAGACTTGGGCACAACATAACCACGCATCATGGTAGCACAGGCTAATTGTCGAAAGCTCAGTCCTCATTAAAATGCAACGGTGGAAGGCTGAACTCCTCTAGATAAGAATTCATGCCAGCACGCAACGACAACCTTGAGGGCTACCGCCACTGCCTGACTGCATACAAGACTCATCATACATTGTTCCCAAAGACACCCGGAACGCCATCAACAAGCTGCCGCCAGAGGGCCAGTACCTATCTTTCAAGCATCCCCATCCCCCATGCCACTCAAATTCCCCGGAAACATCATAAGGGAGAGCTCCCGAGCACCACCCAACCCTGCGGGCTTCAAGGCACCGCTCTTCATGGTCGGATGAGGTGCGGTAACTCCATCCACTTGTTCACTAACGCACAAATACACAAACCGTATCGTAATTACAGGACACCCCAACTGGTAAAGGGCTTGCTAGTCAGACCCAGCTCGGTTACCAGCCTTAAGGACAAGGTGATTAGATTACCTTGTCCCCGGGACACTACGCTTAAGTGGCGGACCGTGCTGGGACACGGCCCTCTTTTCTCATCTGCCGTGAGACAAGTCGTTGGCATGACCTCTGTGAATTAAAGAGGGGGTCACTGCACTAACCCCCGCGGCGGAGCACCCAGCTAGACCCCTAGAGAAATGAGCGGAGTTCATCCTTTTTACCTCTCCGACGGCCGGCCACAGTAACCTGGCGGTCTTGCCCATGAGCAACCGCCCATCCACCCCTCTATCTTCTCGCCAGAACCGCCGCAGATGATCGGAAGGACTACATTTTCATGAACGTTTCGTTCGGCCGTCCAGCCTTCCATTTCACCCATCCCGGGCAAAGTTAACAATTCATATATGGGCACAGTGAAATTCCAGTAACAGCAACAAAACTTACCAACTTCAGCCAGATAGGCGTACTGCCGAGCGAAAAGCCACAGTCGAGTCCAGAAATTTTTTGTTGAGAGGAGAAGACTTGCTCAACTCCTTACTTGAACACCAGATCAGTCGATTGCTTCACGGATCCGCCAACAACCAAGCATATAACTTGCTATCTGGATACTCCAAATCCCTCAATAGTTTTATCCGGTATATGAGATGCCATTTTCGGTTGCAGAGGAAACACCCCGCGAAGAACTGGGTAAATCTCGGACTCCATTATGGTTGCATTACGAGAGAAGAGAGATGATGAAGTAAGTCACGAGGGCGTAAAGTTAGGAAAGATGGTGAAGTAGGTAATATGAAAAGCATAAAAAGTGGCGGTATCGTCAAGATCATGTTAGTATGACTTGTTATCAAGGTTATATACAGAGATACGAGAGTGTGTGACAGCGGAACTGCGAAGTACGCGCGCGACACGCGCGAGGAAAGGAAGAAAACGGGAGAAATTTGGCAGAGGAGGGAGAGTTTATATTCGCGGAAGAGAGGAGGATGAACGCTGAGGATCGGCAGCAGACCGCAGGCAGAAATCAGAAAATCTCATCCGCCCAGCTAAACTTCTCCTGGCCGGGCTAGAACAACGGTAATCTAGATCTCAATCCAAACCCACACCTCTTCCCACCGCCTCAGCACTCAGGCACACTTCTTATTTCTTGATCTCAATTTTCTAGTTGGCTATTGTGGGTTCTGTGGCTTTTTGTCCAACTTACAAAAGTGTGGGAAAGAATTTGCTGAGTGATCCTGATCTGGGAGCATGGGAGGTACATCTGGGTCACTCAATGCACGTAGCTCCAAAATCACGTATATCGCATTTTTGCCAACATCCTTGCAGTTTCCAAGCACTGATTCAAGCAATCCATTGAATACTGTGATTCCCGATGTGGCTGATCAGTAAATTTCTGCGAATGACTACGCGGGACAGAGCTCGTGTTGCTAAGAGTCATCCCAGCTTGGGCCTTTACATTCTTTCGTTCAATTTATGCTCGACTTAACCCATGTTTCAAGTAGTTTAGTTAAGGGTCAAACCGTGTTTCCCATGTCAACTGATCGTCTGATGATGTCTTTGTCCACAAGACCAGGCGATAATGCCAGTTCTCGAGGGCCAAGGAGCGAAGGTGCAGCCATGTGTTCGAAACCTTCGTGTCATGCAACAGTGTACTTCATCTTTTAGTGACATGGGATATCTTGAAAAGCATATTCGTAACACATGTCAGTAAGTATGGACATCACGGTAGTTCACTTTTTCGTGCTGCCCGCTTATCCCTGTGGATGTCCGCTCCCATTGATAAGCCACCGTGTTGTAACAGAATGATGGCAAGACAAGCACCACATCGTTTCAAATACACATTCAACATGGTCTAAAAACCATAGTAATATATTGAGTTAATATTTCCACTCCGGAAGCATCGTCTACCATGACTCGCTGCAGATCCCCCCATTTGTTTCGAGAAGTTACTATGACAAGCATGTCGCCAACTCCGACCTATACGGATGATCAAGTCCATTGTCCAAACTGTACTTGACATCCTACTGGGCCGTTCTTCATGATGATATGACCTCTCAACAGTCGAGTATCTACAAAAAGGGAAATAACACTTCTTTTTAGACAGATTCATGATGGACCAGTTAGCCAACCTGGTTTCGGCGTAAGTAATAACGCCTTTCGCCAAGATGGGGGAGCCGTCAGTCATCCTTAAACATATCTGTAATCTTTCTCCGCTCTCCTTACGTCAGATCTGATTGCTACATCCCGTGCCATCAGAACTCATTTGAGCCAATTAAGTATAAATGATCAGGAACTGAGGTTAGAATATGGCACGCCCCACAATTTATATTACAACGCATCCAAATATCGTTGTTTCAACGTGAGTACCAAATACTAGAGAAACGCCGATAAACCATCACCAAATAACCTAATTTAATGATATAAGTGAAAGAGAGTTATTCTTGTCTTTTATCAGGTATAGCCGTCCTTCGTCATCCAACGGTGATGATGCTTTTGCTTCATCAAGGACTTGAGTCTTTTATGCAACCCAAGACCTTTGTTCTCCCTCCTTGAAGGAAAGTTATGATATTCTGACAATTTGGAGAATTTTATGACCAGAAAAATGTTAGTCCTATATTATAATGAGCTGGTTGTATCACGGAAGGTATTGAGTGACTTGAGAGTGAAATATGAACTTGTTTAACATGACTTCTGCTGTCGGATATATGTCGTTCTTCTCTCTCCTGATTTTCCATCGATCGAAGCAATCACCACAGTCTTACTTGCTTGAGTAACTGGGAATGCCAATGAGACTGACTCTATGTTGTCAAGCAGTTGTTATGGGTAGTGTACACAATGAATCTTGCCAGCCGAAATGGAGCCTGGAGTGATAGCTATCCCGGCGCTGGCGGTGGGTGCTCGGTTTCCCTCACTCGGTTCCTGATGTATGCATTGATTTGTCATACAGGTACTCTAATTTCTACAATTGTAGCCAAAATCGTCGTCCTGTCATCCTTAGGGGCTGGAAACGTAAATCTCGTCGATTGCTCTGGGAAGCTGTTCTGTTGCTCGGAAATGGTCAACTTGACAATAGAAACTTAGCTGAACTACCGTCCTAAAAAGGCTGTTCCTCATATTTAAAAGTATTTGTGTTTTTTCCTTTGCACTTCATCGGCTTCGCTGCTTCAAGTGTCGGAGTTGATCTAACTGTCGTCCTCCTCCTCCCACTCTGGTTTTTCCGGCCTTGTGGACCCACTCAGAACCAGTAATTTTGACTTTCATGGAAGCCACCTTAAAATAGATAGTTCGTTGGGAAAATTGGGAGGAATTTTCTTCAGATGCATTGTTCGGCGAGAAAATTCAATTTTGTGATTTGGATGCGTGGCACGCAAGTCAACGCGGAGTTGCCAACCCGTTCTTAGTAAGTGCATTACGGAACTGTGCAACACCTCCGACTCACCATCGACATCATCCTGTGTGTTTTTTTAGCCAGAAGTGAATAATAAGTATTGTCCAGTACATTGATACATGATTTAGATGCAATTACTCCGGTAGCCCGTATACAGGAGCATGGCTATCGAGTATCTGTCTGGCCCCAATTTCCCCGAGCTTCTCTTCTTCTGCCCATTATTCAGGATGTAATTTTGCATGATTTGAGCAATTGAATCAAATAAAATTGGCTAAGAAGACACATATGCCGTCGTTAATTTTAGTTCCTTGTGTGTTGGTGGTGTCCCTCGACGAGCAAAGGCCTGCTGAAAACAATCAAAGTAAAACGCGATCATTAATTCCATGAATAAATAGTCGATTCTTGCCTCTTCTTCCACTTCGTGTCCAGATCGTTGGGTTAAGAACTGATGAATGATGTTTCCAAAACGCGGCCAACTGCTCGGAGAACGAAAAGATGCTTGTCATCCCGCCTGTAACTGTCGACAACAACCTCGCTGCCAACTGTTGAACTTCGTAGCATAAACGACAGATATGGATATGCCGTTCGCCTACAGTGTTAGATTTCCTGAAAGATGGTTGTAAATTAGCTACTTTGCAGAAAGGCCAGTACTGGGTGTCGCGACGCAATTGATTCGAGATCCTCGAGTTTCTAGACGCCACGAACCAAAAAAGAGGGAACAAGCATCGAGGGCACGTTTAGAATGGCAAAACCATTTAGAAAACCATGTAGAAAACAAGCAATTTAGAAGTGTTAGCCTTGGTAGCGATAAAGAGCACCTGTAGATAGCATCCTGCTCCCACAAAACATGTTATACACATCTCCCAGCATCCCCGTGTTATCTCAAAGTCACCTCAATGAGCA